TATATACATACACATTGAGCTTTTAAAACAGAGAAATTCAACACCTCGTTTGACGTCAATTTTTATCATGAATTAATACAATGACTTTGTGATTCAATTTCATGGATGCAAAGCATTAATTGTGATATCACATAATGTCTATATCATTATCTCGTGCTTTGAGTGCCCATCCTATCCCAAATCTGACGATAAAGGATAAAGCACACGGCCGGGAAACCTTTCTCATAAAAAGTGTTGATTTACAAAAAAATTTATGTAGCTGGGCGGGGGGGGGGTCGACCCCCCCCCCCCCCGCCCCTCTGGATCCGCCCCTCTGGATCCGCCCCTGAAGCTAAACTTAGTAGCTTGAGATTTCAACCCTCTAGATAACAAAACTCATCTCTCAACCCTCCGTGTTTCGACGCACGTCAGTAGACCTCAACGTTTTTAGCTAGGTTCTCGCGGCTAGGTACGCTTGCGCAAACTCAAATCAGCTCCCTTACGCTCGCATTCGGAATTCTAAATTTTTCATTGAAATAAACCTCGAAAAAATGAAATGAAATGGTGTTTTCTGCACCGACTGGACTAATGAAGACGGGCTTACACAATCCAGTGTGCTACGCCCTACTCTTATCTCGAATTCCAAATGTCAAGCGTTATTTTACGTGCACGCTAATGTGTACATGGGACCTCGGTTTTACATCACACCCGAGCGTCCTGCACCACGGCACAACGGGTAACCGCGCCAGAAAAAACAGAGGAACTTTCTCGGCCTACACAAGTAGCGAAACAGCTTATTATTATGTCACAAAGATTTTCCTCAATAACCAAGTTGTGTAAACGCGAAGGTAATTTCAAAAGCTACAACACGCACCCTTTCAACCCAATCACCCACACAAACAATGTTCTTAATATGTATCATGTCTTACGTTTGGTTACCAAATCACATCAATACTAAACACTCGGATTTGAAGTTCTCGTCATTAGTATCTTAATTTTGAAATTGACCTTTTTCAGATTTAAGAAACATGTACTGAAATTATGACAGATGCTGAGCTGGCTGTATACATTCCATTATATATGGTGACAGACTTGCATTAAGAAGATTCTTAAGGATGCATTATGTAAGAGCTAAATCTGCCTATAACATATTTTTATTTTGGCCTCAAATGTTATATATATAAATTATTATTTAGACATTTATTCACATGACAAGCCTATAATAATCAACTCTCTAGACCATCATTGCGCAGGTGTAAAAAGGATAAAAATACGATCGCCATTTAAAGATTTAAGTTAAAAATGTAGAAGCGAAACGTCGTCTCGAATGACAAGTAACGTTCCTACGATAATCAACAATCTATGTCAAAACTTCAAACGGTTTATATTTTTTGTTTCTAAAAGAATTTCAGTTCTAATTCTGATCTCCCAGTGGAGAGGTAAACTAGAGTCTTCACCCGCCGCTAATATTTGAGAAAAATGCTGTTCCCATTCAATACAGGAAATATTTGGATCTTCATTAGACTTTTTTATTTTCAAGTATTTTATTCACAAGCTTCCAGTATCCTCATGGGTTGTAGGTTTCTAATGCATTAATTTTATCTAAAATTTTATTTTTTTACTTATCCGAGATTTAAGTTTGGTTATCTTTTTATATCCCCTACGTCTGTCCGAATATATTCTCAATAAACTTTTATCGTTTGTATATTTTTGAAGTTGCCATTTGGCTTTAATCATCGATCTGATGGCGTTTACAATCCTTATCAAACCATTCGTTCTTATTTTGATTTCTTTTCTCTTTATATTTCATCAGTTTAAGTTTGGTCTTGGCCGCACTTATAATAAAGGATATCACTAAACATTTCCGTAGCAATATTTATCCCGTTTAATGAGCTGTCGAAGTTTGAAAGGAGGAAAACGTTTGAGCGTTTTACTGGGTCTAATTGTTTTAAACAGAATTTAAACGCCTCGTCAGAGCCCAGTGCCCAAACAAAGTTAGCAGCATGCGGATTGTCTTTATTAATTGGCATAGGCGTACGGGCTCGGTGACAGTTAGGGGGCCAGAACCCGAAATGCCCGAAAAAATTTCGGGTGTATAGACAGCTCAATGACAGTAAGGGAAGAAAAATTAGAAATGCCCGAAAAAATTTCAGGTTTATAGACAGTGGCGCCGGTTTTCTTCGAGAGGTGAAGAAGCAGAACTGACCTTGTATGGACCCCCCGAAGAAAATTTTGGAATATTTGACGGCCGCAAACGCGTTTTACTGCTATTCCAGCCCGTAAAATTAGTGTTTTATTAGATTTCGGGCACTTATTTTGCCAAGTAGATGAAGTAAAAAAATTTTTCACTTTACCCTTCTGCCCGAAAAGTCAGCTTGCCCGAGGCTCGTACGCCTTTGTAATAATTGGAGTATAGGTTACACAGGGCCGGCGGAAGCAATTCTTGATTGGGGGGACTTCCATCCTAGGTGCTATAGGCGTGGGTCCATGGGCCGCAATAACCTTGAGAAAAGAGTACTTGCGGCCACTTTGCCCCCCCCCCAGCCCACCCACTCCGCCGGGCCTGCTACACATATTATTTTATCGCATGTTGGCCGTCTGGGTTTCTCTTTGAGTGTAGTGACTGGTTTGACCTGGACTAAACTAGCAATAGATGAGACAATGATCAAACGTATACTTAATGAAGTAATTTCTTTAAATAATGTTGAACTAACATATTATAATCGACGATATTACAACCGTTATTGTGATAGCAAAAACCCAAAACACCACATAAAGTCCGGCCATTTAAAATACACATGTCCGTACCTCACTGACACCATTTGCTGTCACACACCCAATATTATGAGTATTTTGTCGGAAAATTTGCAAGCTTTTGGGGAATTAATGAAACGACTGGCCATTGGGCGTTTCTTCTTTGTTGGAACTTCCACGCAGTACCGGATCTAGGGGGGGGGGGGGGGGCAAAGTGGGACAAATGTCCCGGGCCCCCCACAATTCTGGGTCATACTAATATTTTATCGCTGACGGAGCCAACCAGTACCTGGGCTGAGGGGGCGAGGATTGGGGCCCTGGGCAGTAAGGGATATTGGGGGCCCCGGGACTGGTAGGTACCAACAGATTTTCGGGGGCCAGGAAATCGCTACCTAAATTGTCTCAGATGCACTGAAATTAATCCTAATTTTAAAAAAAAGTCCCGGAGGAAAACACCCCAGTCACTCAAGGGGGCGGAATACGGCGGTCAGTACGAACAATTTGAACAAACAACAATGGGGCCCCCGCACAGTTAGTATGTCCCGGGCCTCCCACAAGGTTAATCCGGCACTGCTTCCACGACACCCAATCACAGACATTGTCATATTATGCATTTTACAGAGCATATTTTGTTCTCCTGCAATCATCGAAAGAACGTCGAACAAACAAACGTGTCGCCGTTTTGTTCTCACTCCATTGTAATTTTATACATGTAAGCACCTACATGTAAATGAGCAGAAATCTTAAACATACATTATGCAAGAGCTAAATCTGTCTATTGAAGATCTTTCTTTAGGCCTGAAATGTTATCTAAATTATTAATTAGACATTAATTAACTCATCCAGACCATAATCAACTCTCGATGTCATCGCTAGCCTGCGACGTTTATTGGATTAGGTTCCGATTTGCTGTTCGATTTCCATCCATGATTTAATCATGAACTGGATAATCGAGACTATGTTTTTTGATCGTACCGACTTTACTTGATCGAAGCTAGGCCTAAAATCCAGTCGCTAAAATCTCGGTTAAGAGTGGATCAATTTGACTAATATTTTTAGCATATTTCCTTTACATAAACTAGTTTCTAACTATTGTAGTGAGAACTGCCAGCTCTTTATCTAATCTCCCATAATGTATCTTTAATAATTGTTAAAGAGCTTTTGATTTTATAAAATTCTCGGGATGAAATCCCCATATCTTACGCCGAAACTGAAGTTGCCTTCACCTTGGAGAACTGAGAAAGAGTACGCTTCTGGGGTTTGTCTTCCATCAAAAACTAATTGAAAATTCGTATTATTTAACCATGCATTATGCAAGAGCTAAATCTGCCTATTGCAGGTCTTTCTTTAGGCCTGAAATGTTTTTTAAAGTATTAATTAGACATTAATTAACTGATCCAGGCCTTAATCAATTCTCGATGGCATCAGATTTCTCGGATATTAAATAGATTAGAATGGTTGAGCGATACTTTGATTTAATCAAATATGGAGGACCGAGACTTAACTTCGATCAACCAGTACGGTGGTTGAAATTATTGCACACGTCTGTCAAACCTTCAAAGGCTAATATCTTCGCTTGCAATAGAGTAATTTGAATGAAATTTTCAAATTATTCATTTTACATCATCTACTTTCGAACTATTATAGCAAGAATGGCTAGTTCTTTATCTAAATCTTACATAATGTATCTTTAATCTATATAGGAACATACATATATTGACAATATATACACCTCTATGGGTACGGCTAGGAACAGTGTCTAGTTGTTTGGATGGGACCAAAAGACAGAAGGCGCGGATTTTATCCGCTGAAGTGAAAACTAGACCGAGGTCGCGTAGACGTAGGGCCTTAAAAAAAAAACCTTGACAGTTGGAATTCGATGAAGATAAGGTGGAAATGCCGCTGTCCGGGCAAAATGTAAATCATAGCATTGTGCATAGCGCATGCCTGTCTTAGGAAAGTAGGGCGTTTAACTCTATTTCTGTCGCACCCTCGAATAAAGAATAGCCCGATCCAAGGTCTGCGCGCTTCAGCACAAATTAGAGTTGCCCTTTGGTGGAGTCCATAATGAAAAAGGGGTGTTCGACAGTATATTTTCCGGCATTATTGGCGTATTTGACAACCTTAAATATTTTCTAACAATATTCTTTAATTTTTCAACCTTTTTTTTTAAAAAGAGAATGCTTTCGTCACTCTAAATAAAATTCGTTTTGATACAAATGTCGATTCCAAATTTCATACAAAACCACTTAAAATAATCTATCCCAGAATTCAGTTTGTATTGGTTAGTCATTCAAGATGGCGCTCCAGAAAGCAGTTCATGATAGTAAGTTATAAACAAACACTTTATTATAAATTTTATTGAATACGTTGACTGTCTTTCACCTTAAAAAGTATAACTCAAAAGTTTTGGCATTGTTAAATTGTAGAAGAATACACCGACTTTTTTCGAATCATTTGCAATCTCCAACACACCCCCTTTTACTGCAGACAATTTCCAATAATTTGTGAATATGATAATATTAATAATTAGGCCTGTAGTCTATTTAGTCCACCACAACAACAGTGCTATTATTATTATCTTATCCAGAAAGTACAAGCATTAGATTCGCACATTGATAAATGAAATGAAACGAAATGTGGTGTAACGTCATACTGGCACATTGATATTAATCGAAATGTCATCAGATTTACATATCATCTTGGACAAAGTCAACAGAACAATCTAACTCTGTCATAAGTTATATGATTGTATGAATGATTGAATGTAATATGTAAGTTACAAAAGACTCCAGTTGTAATGATGAAATATTGAATCTCTGAATCTGATCTCCCTATATAACCTAGACCCTGTCTCTGATTCAGGCCAGCTTTGTGATGACAAAAATGAACCTTTTCTAAATTTCCAAACTCATCTAAAAACAGGACCAAATGCCAGGAATGGTTCTGTCAACCCTCCCTGTTGGGTCAACATTATGGTCTAAGTCCTAGTTCTATGTAAGATGGTGAGTGAGCTACACTAAAATAGCTTAGTTGGTTAACAGATTTTTTAAAGATAACTACATGTATGTCATCTCTTTTTTGTCAAATCTCAGTTTGAACACAAGAGATTAAAAAAAGCAAAACTGTACATTTCTGTATGTTAATTGCACCAAGTTTCCAAACAATCAGCTAAACCATAAACATGTAGGCCTAATGTCAATGGCAGACAGATTTAATAATGTATGAATTAATTTATATTGTACCGTGGAAGGTAGCAGTGTTTTTATTTCTCAATCGTTTCTTAACGACTTTAAGAATCGCCGATCAATTGATCAATTATCGTCAATAATCTAAACTTACTCAGATTAAATACAGTATTCGCCGATCAAGTAATATTGGTTTTACTTTAATTCAAGGTCTGTGTGGGATAAATAAAACACAACTAACAATGTTTAATTTCTTTATTATTTTGAATGGTCTGTCTTCAGCCTCACCTAAAACGAAACAAATAAAAGTTCAGGTGCGTAAGGTCTGTGTACATGGGATAAATAAAACACAACTAACAATGTTTAATTTCTTTATTATTGTGAATGGTCTGTCTTCGGCCTCATCCAAAACGAAAGAATAAATAGTGCATATGGTCTGTATGTATGGGATAAATAAAACACAACTAACAATGTTTAAATTCTTTATTATTGTGAATGGTCTGTCTTCGGTCCCATCTAAAACGAAAGAATAAACAGTTATTACAAATACATACATAGAATTTTTCAGCTTTTATTGAGTCCGAAAAGTCGCCAGTCCGAGTCCGGAAAGTCGCCATACCGAGTCCGAAAAGTCGCCAGTCCGAGTCCGAAAAGTTGCCATACCGAGTCCGAAAAGTCGCCAAGTAAGTCCGAACTGACGCGAGACCGAAATGACGTGCTACCGTACGGTGTAGGCCTACCGGTACTAAATTAAATCAAAACTACCATTACTAATTTAAGCTTAGTCTATTATTTTACATTGCATTTGTATGTATTTTATAGAGATAATGAATGATGTGATATTGATGGCTAGGAAGACTAGTGAATGGAAGGTTCTAGTTGTGGATCAACTCAGTATGAGAATGATCTCAGCTTGTTGTAAGATGCATGAAATTATGTCTCAAGGAATTACATGTAAGTTTAATTTTTATTCTCCCCAATGTAGGTGTGGCTATGGTGATTCTTTTGTTATTCATTATTGACAAAAGATAAAAAAAATTGACAACCCTTGTAAACTGATCAGATGAATAAGCTATTGTGGATGTATGTTTCGTTGTGTAGGAACCTATAGTATCTTTATACATGTACTTCCATGTTGAAATGTGGTTGTATATTGTTGTAACTCTGTGGGGGCCTGTCTGTTGGCCTGTCCATCCATTGTACACAATGCTTGTGGATGTTTCTAGAAGTTAACGTTATCATCTAATTGACTTGAAATATATACTCATTGTTTATAAGTTCATTAGATGAAAATCCCTATCAAAGAATTTCCATAATTACTTTCAGACTTATTGCTCTTGATTGATTTGAAAAATATTGTTGAGGTTAGGTTATAATCTGATAGATTTGAAATTTATGCTCAGTGTCTATGCTCAGTGTTTATGCCCGTGAGATGAAAAAGACTTGAATTTTAGCGATTTACAATAACTCAAACAGCTACAGCTGTCACATGATTACCGGTACTGGTACATGTACATGTTTTGTTTATATAAGCACAAGGAAGAACTTGAATCCTCTCAAATCTTGATTACTTCAGTTTCTAGTGTCATGTAAATGCTTCCATTACCTACTTAATACTACCTTTCTGGACTGCTTGGCTGATGTGGGCATATTTCGGTGGCTGGCAACCTATTGTTATCAGATAAAGCTGCATTGACAGATTTAGAGGGAAACATGATGTTTAAGAATTAAATTAAGATAAAAGATATATTTTTGCAGTGGTAGAAGATATTAATAAAAGAAGAGAACCATTACAATTACTAGAAGCTATTTATTTGATAACTCCATCCGAAAAGGTGAGACTTTAAACTCTAATGAAAACCTCTACTGTGATTGGGGTGGGTGGGGGAATTATCCTTTATCCTGAGTATAAATGAACAAGGTTCAGAATGAAGATGCCATTGTTAAAATTTAAACTCTTTTTCAGAGAATGTACATATTATTAATTCAAATATAGAAAAGTCTGAAATATTACAAATAGAAAATATGGTATCTAGGTTTTGAATAATGCTAATCCACTTTGAAATTGTTTATTTCAGTCGATTCGTGGATTAATATCTGATTTCCAGAATCCAAATAACACACAATATAAAAATGCCCATGTGTTTTTCACTGAAGGTAAGAGCAACCAATACAGGCTAACCAGTTTTGAACTTTCACTCTAGATATTGACTGGAGTCCTAGAATATTAAGTGAATTGAATGTAGTAATTTGAATTTAAATTGAATATGTTTTATTTACAGTTCCTCCCAAATTTTTGGGACCGAAATCGCGGCGACGCAGCGAAAAAAACCTCTCAGAATTCTCTTAGATTTCGCGCCAACGGTTAACATACCTTGTATTCAACTTAAATAAATTACATTTTTTCTTCAATATGCTTACATCGGGATGATATTGGCACTCAAGCGATTCAGCGTGTTCCACCGCGAAACACCCTATTTCACAGTGATTTGGCTATCTGCCGTTTCGCTAACGATTCTCCAAGATTCCACCGTGAAACAGAGTGTTTTTCCACCGCGTTCGTCGACTCTAGTCCCAAACTCCAGCACCGTAGTGTATCCCTAACATGTCTTGTTATACCATACCTTTATAATTATAGTTTATATAGTTTTTCTTAATCATGTTTTTCAGCTTGTCCAGATGAATTGTTTAATGAATTGTGTAAATCTAGTTCTGCCAAGTTTATTAAAACATTGAAGGAAATAAATATTGCATTTTTACCCTACGAATCACAGGTTTGTAAATTGTTCATCATTTATGCTAAATCTTTCTTTTAATTCTGAAGATCAAACAGATTAAATAAAAGTGATAAAGCAAAGTCCAAAACAAATATTTTAACTAAATTAGTATAGCGTTTGCCCAAAAACCAATTACTGAACATGTTAATCTGATTCAACGACTTATTTCCATGTCCTTCTGATTTTATTTCAAGATTTGTTATAATGGACTTATTTCTCTCTTTAGGTTTATTCACTGGATTCTGTGGTGACATTTCAGTATTATTACAACTCACAACGTGCATCTGGTCGTACCATGAACCTAGAACGTTGTGCTGAACAAATAGCAACATTATGTGCTACATTAGGAGAATACCCAAACGTTCGATACAGAAGGTACATTACTTAATTATTAGTGTTTAAAGATTACAATCAAAATTTCTTTTAGGGATTGATGGGTAGGACAAAATGGAATCTTCATATTTGATACATTTAAGATTCCCACTTTCAAATTGGAATAAAGCAGTTCTTTCAAGCCATGTCTTGTTCTGTATTTTCAGTGATTTTGACCGTAATGCTGAATTTTCTCAGATGATACAACAAAAATTAGATGCGTATAGAGCTGATGATCATACAATGGGAGAGGTAATATTTGTTTTTTTATACGCCCACATTTTTATGTGGACGTATATTGTCATCTCCCCTGTCTGTCCGACCACAATTTACTACAGGTCACAATTCTTATCCGATTTTGACGAAACATTAGGTTTATATCCAAAAGATCTTGGTTTCTTTTGATATTGGCAAGTATCGGATCGATGGATTATGGCCCCTGATTGTACAAAAAATCATGCTTTTAGCTTGTGGACACTCTAGAGGTCAAAATTTTCATCTTAAAATACATGTTTATAACCCAAAGATCTTGGTTCCTTTCAATATTTGTGCATATCGGATCGTAGCTTTCTGAATTATGGCCCTTGATTGTACAAAAAATGGCCTTTTTAGCTTGTGTTCCCCTCAAGAGGTCATAAAGAAAGACAGATGTACATAATTGTTCTGTAATCTAGGGCCCACAGAAAGATAGATCAGTTTTGTTGTTTTGTAATCTAGGGCCCACAGAAAGATAGATCAGTATTGTTGTTTTGTGTTTTAGGACCCACAGAAAGATAGATCAGTATTGTTATTTTGTATTGTAGTGACCACAGAAAGATAGTTCTGTATTGTTGTTTTGTATTCTAGGGACCACAGAAAGATAGATCTGTATTGTTAATATTAGATAGAGGATTTGACCCAATCTCACCTCTACTACATGAGCTGACATTCCAGGCTATGGCCTATGATCTGTTACCAATAGACAATGATGTTTACAAGTAAGCAATATACTATTTTTATACTCTAATATTTCTTCTTGTATATTTGAGTTTGTTTGTGCATAGTTCAAGTCATAATTTCAAAAACGTGAATTTCTGCCATAACAATTGTGCCTTTAGGGGTCTTTAGCAGTTGGAGGACCCGGAGAAAACCCACGAAGTTGGACATGCAACCCTACTCCTTGTCACATACAAATGGGGATCGTAACCACGCCAGTTAACTCAATAAAAGACCTTATGATACAACGCACACACGCTAACCATTCGGCCATCCAACCCCCCAGACAGGAAAGAACCTACAATACAGTATTATTCATACCTGGTTCTCTCTGCGGGGCAAACAAGAAAAGTGTGCACATGTGTAATAAAAAAAAAAAAACGTTTGCAGAAGGAATTTTGAAGAATAGTAGGCAGAAACCCCACTTTCTGGGCAAAATTGATCCCACTCACATTGCACATGTAACTCGAATCGAAAATTACCACATGTTTGTGTTGACATTTGATTCAGTCTTTTCAGACAACCTGTTACCACTACTCATTTATTTGGCAAGTTGACATAGTCATAGAATATTGTTGTAGTTTTGTGATATTGTGTATTATTTTTATATATGATTTATGTCCTTTAACAATTAGGTATGAAAGTGCTAGTGGACAGGAAGTTACAGAGAAAGAGGTTTTATTAGATGATAATGATGAACTGTGGCGTGAATTGCGTCATCAACATATTGCTGTTGTATCTCAGTAAGTTAGTTTATTACTAATATTTATTTTAAAGCCTTCAACCAGCAATTGACATCTATCTATGTTTGACTGCAAAAGTTCCGACATAGGCCTACTGATGGTGAAGACGCTGATATTCCTATTTGTTTACATTTCATGGTTACATGAGTCATTTCTATTGTAAGATTTTGCAAGCTTGTCGGTTTCACACACAGGGATTTTATAGACGGGTGGGACAGAAAGCGTAACATGCACAGTTTTAACATACCAACTATAGCTATAGAAAGATTATTAAAATTTCACTGGTCAATGGTACAAATCCCAGTTGCTCACCCCTTCCTGTAGGACCCTCGAGTCGCAGATGCACTCTAAAAATTAACAGTAGATGTTTTCCTGGGGAACAATGTTGACACATAGCGTTTCGCTCTAGCATTTTCATATCCCAAGTCCTTCAATCGAGAAGGATCACGTTTGTAATGTTCTGAACAAAGAGAAGCCTGTTTGCGTTGGAAACTAGCCATTCTTGCCCCCGTTGACATCGCTGTGTCCAGGCCTCTCCACGTGTTGCCTCTCTTGGAAATTTCAAAGACTGACACGCCATTCTAGATTTAGTGTTAGTAGTAGTAGTACATCCCCAAGCAATGCAATTGACCATGACTCTTCTTCCAGTTAGTTAAAAAGATGGGATGCACTGCTTAGTTTCAATAGGGATATTTACAATCTATGTTGTCTTTGACGTCACTCCCGGCAAATTTCAAAACGAGGCTGCAGATATCCATAAATGTCAATTAGGGTTTTTTGGGTACGTTTTTCCTTTGTACAAATATTCTGAATGACTTAGATTTTCGCGGGGCCAAAAATGTGCTGATGTTAAACTTATTTTTCATATTAAAATAACTTTTTGCGGTAGCTTTCTCCTTTAAAGGACATCTGGTGACAAGCTGGTGAATATTTTAAGATAACAAAATATAGATGTATTTGTGAGACTGAATTTTATCAGGACAATGTTAGTAAGATATGCTTATACACACCCATAAAATAAAGGGCTGTTAAAGTTCAAGTTTATTAGTATTATTACACAAAATTAGAAACTACAGTTGTACTTATGACAGTCAGATAAACAGGGTAAGACCATAGCTTACACACTGTTGAATATTTACAATAAAGTCTAACCCAATTTTAACCCTTTCAAACTGGAGCAAACACAGATCAGTCAAAAATAATTAAAATGTTCTTTAAGTAAGGTGTAAACAAATTTTATCACATTCAGGCTGGAACAAACACAGATCAGTCAAAAATACTTAATGTTCTTTAAGGTGTAAACCAATTTTATCACATTCAGACTGGAGCAAACACAGATCAATCAAAAACACTTAATATTCTCTAAGAAAGTTGTAAAGAAATTTTAACACATTCAAGCTGGAACAAACACGGATCACTTTTAAAAAAAACCCAATAATATTCTTGGCATAAGACTTTGTGCATGTCATTCTAAGTAGACATTATCTAACCATAGTTTTATTATTCAGAAACTTAACATTGTGATTAAAAATAAAACTGGGATTTTGATTTGTTTTTAGACAAGTAACTAAAAAGTTGAAACAGTTTGCAGTGGAGAAAAAGATGAGCAACACAGATAAATCCAATATGCGGGACTTGTCTCAGATGTTGAAAAAGATGCCTCAGTATCGAAAAGAACTGAATAAATATTCCACACATCTACATCTAGCGGAAGATTGCATGAGACAGTATCAGAAACAGACAGATAAACTCTGTAAAGTTGAACAGGTTGGTCAAAATATTGTATTCTTTGACATTTGAACTTGTGAGAAGGATTATCAGTTCTTTGAAATGTTAATTTCTTAGATAATTCTACAAACTCTACAGACTATTTAACGATTGGTATAATTAACTCATGTTAATAGTTAATGGCCCCTGACTCCTATGATTGTGTATACACTAATACAGATCCAGTTTTAGGGATAACACTGATAATGCTAAGAAGTAGTTTATTTTTAATCATTTGGATAAAATTAAAAAAAAAAAAAAAACACAAAAAGACAGTATTAGAATTCAAAACCCATTCTCTTGCATTGCATGTATTATAGAACACAATAATGACTGATTTTCAAAATAACAAAAATAATGTTTTGAGATATTATGCCTTGTTCCTTTATTTTCCTATAATCCACTACTTATTAGGGGTGATATGCCAACTCTTTTATATTTTGTAGGATTTAGCTATGGGAACTGATGCTGAAGGTGAAAAGATTAAAGATCACATGAGAAATATTGTTCCTATTTTACTGGACCAAAATGTCACAGCTTATGATAAAATTAGAATTATTCTACTCTATATCATCCATAAAGGTGGTAAGTACCAGAATTATAAAGGCTCATGCATGATGATCGTCACGTTTTGCTCACAATTGTGGGATGAATCATGTTTGTAAACGCCACAGTAGATTATGAAAGATTTATAATCAAGTGGCTCTATAGCAGTAACTTTTACAGAGCTTGTAGATCTTCTGACACAAACCTTGTTTTTAAACATTTGAAATACAACATATTCACAAGCACAAATCTGATATTCCTTTAAGACTATTGTTGATTTATATATTTTTGGGGACAATGTTGCCTCCATAACCTCTGGCCGAATCTGGCCTCATGGCTGTTGTGACAGATTTAATGCAAGGTGTAGGGTAGGCAAGAAACCTATTGATTTTTAACATTTTCCAATCGTTACTAAAAGAAATATGGACCTAGAATCTACATTGACAAGGAGACGAGTCGTTGACCCAACAATGTGGCTTTTCTCTGGGTTCTCTGATATTTTCTGACTGCTAAGCACATTGAAATAAAAATGTACAAGTCTGAAAGGTCCTAGTTTTAGTTGAGGGGTGGACATTTAAACCCCATCCTGAGTTCCCTTTTTTCTCTTATAAAGTGTCTATTTTATAATTACAGGTATTACTGAGGAGAATTTAGCTAAATTAGTTCAACATGCTCAGATACCTGGCGATGAGAAGTGTATTCTATCTAACATGCAGAATCTAGGTGTACCCATCATACAAGATGTGAGTTTAAATAGAAAACCATTTGAAATGTTTGGGTGGTGATGACGGGAGAAACATGTGCCCGCAAGTTTTTATTAGGAATTGAAAATAATTATTTTTTTTCTTTTTTAGACTAACACACAATAATTTCTGGTTGCCTGGTATATAAAGCACTAAGCATTAAGATTTTAAGAGCTGAAAATAAATACCAGTTAAGTTATAGTTATTGAGGATAGCTAAATCAGATTATTTCAACTTCTTGTGACATATAATAGTGAGTCGAATTTTCGAAGACACACACTTTTATTCATGTTTGTATTGATTCAAAGAAAAAGGGCAGATGTGTTCATATCGGTTGTGTCACAGAATCCATTACAATATTACTGATATTTAATTTCAGCTCAGTGAATGATTATTTTTGGTTGTGAATATTTTGCATATTTTGAATCATTTAAATAGAATTGCATCATCTTTTTGGAGGGAATGAATAGGGGATGGTAACCAGACGAGAAACTATTTTATAATTTCAGCACAAATTAGACCTTTCTGACTTGATTTGTAAAACTGGAAATCTTTTTAGTACTATTAAATTAGATTATATATTAAAGGAGATAATCCACTGTTTCTAGATTTTAGCACTTGATAGATAATGATAACAGCTACTACTTTCAAGAAATTTGTAGACACCTCCGTTCAAACACCACACTAAATTAAAGACTGCATTTGTTATGCCACTGGCACAATCAGATCTGTCAATTGGTAAAAGTCTTTACACACAAGATAAACAAATCTGACTCATTTACAAAAAAAAAATACCACAATTTTTCTGCTTGAGGAAGCCATATTGAAAATATAGTAGTATTGATGACATCACTAACACATTCTTCAATTTTTCTGAAAGTTGATATGAGTTGCTGTTTTCATTATTTGTTTTTTGTTAATATAGAAACAGATGCTCCATTTACTTTGAAAACAAATAAAGCTGAGAAGTCAAGTTGTGTTGACATAAACAAACGAATGAATGCACATTTTTTTTTTTTACTTACATGCAAGTCTGTTTGCATCCGAACTTTGTGAACAAGCTTTGTTAACTTTAGTATGAAACAATTATGTATCTTTTTTTCTTAATGCTTGCTAAATTCTTCCAACTTTTGTACGTCTATCTTCTACTCTGTCTTCTGCGAGTTTAGACTCACGGCACAAATTGTAGTCCTCCTACTATCTTACAGAGTACAGCTAGTTACGGAACTTTTCAGTCCAATTTCTCGACGCAGGTGAGAGATATCAATATGTTTTAACGCTACGCAAAAACACCATCCAATTTCTGTTCGCTTTACATTTTTTTTGGCTCTACAGCTCGAAAATCTTTTGTTTATTATTTATATTCCTGTTGGGTGCGGTGGAAATGGAAGACTTGTGCATCTTATATTTCAAGTGTTATCTATAGGTTATTTTAAAGTTGATTGATGACAATTCGACTGAACTATTTTCTAAAAACTATTAAATTGTTAGTCAGAGCCAAATTATAAATATTCTAGTGGGTTTTGTAGACTTAAGCATGGTAGTATTGGACAAGTTTTAAAAGAGCTAGTTATTTTTATAGACTATTAAGCCTACATTTGTTTGTATAAATTTTCCTGATCAGGTGTAATTAGTATTTCTTGTCATTTTTTTCCAAGAATGTGATCTATGTATAGCAAACTGTTTTTCTTTGACTAGTTTGTATGGAAACTTTGAGACGAGGAAAGGAATGTAAAGAGGAAAGAGATTTATGCATGCAAGGGAACAAAAGCTCTTTTGAAACAGTTCTTAAGGCCATCTTTCATATTAATACTACAGCTTCTTCATCAAGCTAGAAAATTGTTTATAGCAAAAATCAAATTACACAAATAGACAAACTCCAAATATATTTTTGATAAAAACTTTATTTTTTTTAATCTTTTATTTTACATAATTACCAGCTCAAATTTGCTATCGTTGGTAAGAATAAGACATATTTCATAAGGAAGTATTTGATCATGTATGACTCACATTCAAGGTTAAGTGACACTTGTCAGAGGCTATGTAAAGGTTTGAAGTAGGCCAGTGATTCACATGGAGATTGTAATAAAGAAATTCTGATCAGTCTCACTTAGCTATTGATGTGATCACATTTACTGAATGAACATGCATTCCTCCATGGACTACCCTACTTAAAGAAGATACAGTATAATTATAGAAAGTACTCTGATGCATATAATATATAGGGCAACTCTTGCCAATAAGTGTGATGGAACTGAGCGTAGTAATGGTTAATACTGTCTTACCCTTTTCTTGATTCTTTCTCAAAATTGTTACATTATATGAATTCTATTTACTGTCACTCTTTTTTGGTGACTGTACAAGGTCTTCTTAGGTTTTTAAAGGTTCTTAGTAGGATTATTGTATCAAAGACACTAAAGCAAGACCTCTTTCAACTATTTTGGTTTCCTTAATATTTATTGCATGAATAGGAATATTTATTGCATCTTTGGTTATAGAATTTTGAATTATTATCTAAGAATATATTTGTCATGAGATGAAAATCAATTTTTACATTATCAATACCAGTTATTATACATGTTTTTTTTTGTAGAAAGTTTTCATTTTATATTAATAGCTGAACGCTCATGATTTTCAGATATTTGAATAGATTTAGTAGATTTTGAATTTTTATTTTTTTTAGCCACAGTTTATCTGTAGATAAATATTTTCACATATTGTATTGTAGATATATGTTTTTAGTTTTCTAATTTTATTAGAGAATTTTTTGTAATTACATAACAGTTATTTTTGGAATGTTTAGATTATTTCAGTGATTTAAGAGCAATGTTTATACAAGTCTTACCTTATATTATGAGAAATTGGACTGCAAGAAAAGTTTTTAAGAATGTTTTTAATGATTTAGACAGTTAAAAGTTAAAATTGTAATTAGATATCTCCAGGTCATTGAAAATCAGACGCATGGAAATAGCATGTGCCTGACTGTTGCTGTATATTCAGCAATCCATAAATGGTTGCATGGAGCCTTAGTGGGAATCAAGAGAGTGGATTATCCTAATTCAGATCTGTTCTTTGATTGTTCTTTCAAGATGAACTGAATTGAATTATCATTAATAGAGGAGGGGTTGTTGATATTCTATATTTATTTATTCTTGTTAAAAGTGATGATAATGCCTCTTTTAAAATATAATCCTAAAGCAGTGGAGATGAGCAGTATCACTCAGATAATTAACCATTGCTACTTCAGATAGCAGTTATGAAAGATTGTTTTCACAGGATTATCAAATTGACTATTTAATAGGCCATACGCTCTCTGTTGTGTTTACTTCGATCTTCTATTAAACCGTGTTATACATCATTCGAACAGACATCAGTTAAGCTTTAAGGAAAGGTATGTGAGCCAAATTAGATGAGACCTTTCAGGTGACTACATCAGGTCTTAAAATGATAACCTTGTGGAAATATCACCTTGCCAAGGCTTGTGGAGAAAGTGGTTACCTCAAGAGTAAAAGTAAGAACTGGAATCCAGGGGAAGATAACTAATACAGTTTACTGTATTATGTGTAACATCATGTACTGTTACTGGACAGATTATGTTTGTGACCATTGTATCAGAAATGATAATTAATGCTGCTTTTGAATCATGTTATGTTTCTAGTAATTACAAGTTTCCAAATAGATCTCAAATCATGATAAATATAAATTAAATCTATTCTAACTGGATTTATCACTGTTTTCTGATAGGAAAATTGTAATAAGTCAACATGATTTGTCTTTTGAGCACACCATTAGTAGAATTGATTTTAAGCTATGTTTGTTTTTATGAATAAAGTTCTAAAATATGGTTTATCACATTTACTAGATTTTGTTGATGTATTAAACATTTATGACTTGTATTTTATGTTTTTTGATTGATGTTTTCAGGGAGGAAGACGTAAAGCTCAACAGCCGTATCAGCCGTTTAATAGAAAGGCACGTGCCCAGGAACATCAGTATCAAATGTCAAGATGGACGCCATATCTTAAAGATTTATTAGAGGTACAAACATGTCTCCTGATATTTTTGCTTTTTGTAGAATTATATTTTGTACATTTATTTTGATGGTATTAAATTCTATTTTGTCTATTGATCAGGGTGGAAATAAACAGAGTTCTCGGGGACCCAGGCTGACATAAATTAAGATCCTTCAGGCAGATTTTCATCAAAGATGGCCTTTGCATAATTTTACTGGGCTATTATATTTCCATCACACACCAAGTGTTTTGATGGAGGACCCACGCTTTGGATTTTATGAAAGTTTTCGCTTTTACAGTGTGAATTTCAAACACTGGCTGTGATTGAATTTATGTATCAGTACTTTTTGTTTGAATAAAATGGCTGCATTAAAATGTGAAAAGCAAAAGTAATTATTACAGGTTCTGGCATTAATAAAATGCTTATAATTTTAAATCCATTATTGTTGATTTATAACATCTATTTGTTTATGTAGGATATCGTTGAAGAAAGGCTTGATCCAAAACATTTCCCGTATCTACCAGGTGGAGCTGCTAGACAAACTATGTCAGGTGGTGGACCTAGAAGGTAATAAGACATTACATCTTGATAGCTTTTTTGCATAGATTCCGAATCTGTATGGAGATCAGCCGTTTGAGGGGGTGTTTTCGAGATATGAGGGGTCCAATGTCTACAATTGGGGGAAAATGTCATTATGTTGACATAAATGATGATCATGTTATATATTAATAAAACATAAATTTCTAGTACTGTCTATCTCTAAATAAGTGTATATCTCGAAAACACCCCCTCAAATGGCTGATCATCACCCAGATTTATAACCTATGCAAAAAAAAATGGTCTAGAAAAACTTGGTCTCATAAATTCACAGATCGGGTGGCGATTCTCCCCCTTCAGCCACCGGACTTATGCCTATCTTCTTTAGTCTGGTTGGTGCAGAAAAGTACAATGTTAAACACCATTTCATTTATTTTATATGCAAAAACCCTTTATATAAATATTTTATAAAATTACTTTGAGTGTTTATTTAAAGAGCATTGTATTGAAAAAATATTAAATTGCTAGGATAATATTTGTTTTCAGTGTAAGATTTGGTCATTGGCATAAAGAGAAAGGTCAGTCGAGTGCACGTAATGTTCCTAGATTGATTGTGTTTACAATCGGCGGTATCACCTATTCTGAGATGCGAGTAGCATATGAAGTAACTCATGCTGTCAAGAACTGGGAGGTTCTTATCGGTAAGGTTAATTATGGCAACTCTAAAGCATGAAATAATGAGTTTATTTTTAAAAGATAAGGCCCTTATTAAAATGGGTCTGTCCTGTCCTGTCCTGTCCTGTCTGTCACACACTTTGGGACACAATACTTTCCTTCTAACTGAGCTAGAATGTTCAAACTTGGTGTAGGTGTTTATTAGGTGAATGCCTTGATGGAGTATGAAGATGGGACACGATAACTTTAGGTCTAATTAAGTGAGAATGATGAAACTTGGTATATAGTTTCATTACATCAATACCTTGACATAGTTCGATAATGAGCATTTTCTGCTCGGAGTAAGCAGAGTGATAAGCAATTTGATTGGCCGCGACTTTGGAACACAATAACTCTCCTTCTAATTGAGCTAGAATGTTCAAACTTGGTGTAGGTGTTTATTAGGTCAATGCGTTGATGGAGTTCGAAGATGAGCATTTTCTGCTTAGGGTAAGCAGAGATAAGCAATTTGATTGGTTGATGTTTTAAGTGAGAGTGATGAAACTTGGTGTATAGTTTCATTACACCAATACCGTGACTAAGTTGGATAATGAGAATTTTCTGCTCAGGGTAAGCAGAGCGATAAGCAATTTGATTGGTTGAGACGTTGGAACACAATAACTCTCATTCTAATTGAGCGAGAATGTTTAAACTTGGTGTAGGCTTTCATTAGGTGAATGCCTTGATGGAGTTTGATGATGAACATTGTATGCTTACGGTAAGCAAAGATAAGCAATCTGATTGGTTGATGCTTTGGGGCACGACAACTTTGGTTATAATGAAGTGAGAGCAATGAAACTCCGAATATAGATTCATTATATCATTACCTTGACTAAGTTCGATCGTGAGAATTTTCTGCTTAGGCTAAGAAGCGGTAAGCAATTTGATTGGTCAAGACTTTGGAACATAACAACTCTGCTTTTAATTGAGGTAGAATGTTTAAACTTGATGTAGATGTTCGGTAGGTGAATGCTGTGACTGAGTTCAATGATTAACATTTCGAGCTGAAGCTAAGCAAAGCTAATCAATTTCATTGGTCAATGCTTTGGGACAAGTTAATCTTGATTCTATTTGATTGCTCAATACTTTTGAAAAAAATAAATGTGCTATTGATTAATATGTGTCATCTATTTATTTAGGGATTTCGGCAGGGGACAGCAGCCTCACTGTTGGCCTGTTTCTACTACCCTGTACTGATTTATATGTGACACATTTGGAACCTATTTCCATAATATTTGCCTATAATTTTCTCATGTAAAGATCTCACAATACAGCATTTCGGAAATCACTGTCTAAATTTAACAGCAAATAAATCAATATTTTGCTTGTTTTCTTTCAGGAGCCACACACATTCTCACTCCAGAAGGATTTCTGGGGGATTTACGAGATCTCGGAAACTGAATCACAAGATTTTCTAAATGTAGAATTACAGTCTTTTTCTAGAATTTTCTTATCTCTCTCTATAGATATTTTTACAAGTTTCTTATTACTGCTTTCAAGTACAGAGTGGATCTACATCAAGCTTGTAAAACCCTCTTTAACTAATGAACTCGTCTGGAATGTGGATTAGTTCATCATTTATATGAGGGTTTCTGTAAAAGTTAAATATATTTGTCTGTGATACTACTGTTAGTTTAAGAAGTCAAAAAAAGGTGACATGGTTGTCTGCTCTAGTGAAGAATTCCTTTGGTTGATAAGTAGATACATGTAATGGTCTTGTTCATCTGATTCATTCCAACAAAAATAGTTGATGTGTAAAAGACTATATACCATGGTGATTTTTGTGAAATTTGGTTTTATGGGTTACCATATCTGCCCAAACTTTTATTTGAAGCATGAAGCATACAGTCTTGTGATATTTTGTTGGGTATGTTATATATGCCATAGAGATAAATGTAAGCACAGATTATAGTTAAGAACAAAATGTATGCAAGTTAAAGATCCATTGCCTAGTTTATAAAAAAAAATATTTAGATATTATTTAATCAATCTAGTGCCAAGTTCTTATATTGTATTCTACTTTTATTACCATATATTATATAAATAGCAACATCATCTCAGTTATATAGAAGAATAGAGCTTTATTTGTCCAAGAAAAATAGAACTGTAAACTGTACATCTAAGTTTTGAAGTATTGTAAATGGGTCAAACCACATTGAATCTGGACCAGAACTGGTCCAGTGTACATGTAAATATGGTTTTAATCCCTTCTAATTCTTATATCTAATATTTTTTGGAACACCTATAGAGATAGAAAAAGAGCTTTCAGGATTTATCCTGCTGTGTGCTTAAAAAGTGGTATGGGTAGTTTGAACAGTGCAGATAAACAAAATTTTGCAGAATTTCTTTAATGTAAACTGTAAATTTAGCTCTTCAATCCATATGTCTGTCACAAAATTTGATTTATATATCCAGCTATGCACCACCATCACTATATATTTATCCACATCCATCTTAATTTATTACAAGTATAAGCTGATGTGGCTTTTATTTAAATATATAATCATAGAGTTTAGATGGTATAGATTTCTCATAAATAACATTATTAACTTCTTCAATGTTTTATTTCCTATGATACAGTGATTGTGAATGTAGATAGAATAATTAATATATACATAGTATACTTATATATATATCTATTAAAAGGTCATTTTTTCAAAAATATCTTAATAATTATTAATTTTTGAGAAATTGGTCTCAAGTTTTTATTGAAGTTTGCTCATAGCTATATTAGACTTATGGCTTAGAATTTTAATTTTTCAAACATTAAGATAAAATTGCAATCACTGATATTAGTGACCTACATCTAATTGTTTCAATTAGGAAAGATTATTAACATTTGAAATTTGTTATTTTTTAACATTCCTTATGAAATGACCAGTTCTTTGTTACAATATTTTTGAAGATAGAATTGTTTGTAGCAATTTAAAAATTGAAAAAATTGCAAATAAGCTGTGGTTGTTCTTGGGCCACAACAAAGCTCGAACCTGGTACGCAACTAGATATGGTTTTAGTGTTGTAACCACTGTGGCTCCCAGAAGTTTGGAAATTAAAAGAGAGATATTCTAACCATGTTATGTTAATTATGTGCAATATTATTGTTTTATTATGGTTTGTTGATTATAATGTATGTATGTTTACAGTTATTCTAGTTTTACCATATTAAATCAACAAACTTTGCTACTGACAACACTTTTTCTAAGGGTTTTAGGTATGAGTTGATATGAGTGAAATTTTAATTAAGGGAGCAGTCCCAGATTTCACGGCTATTTGTTGATAGAAGTGGCTTTTAATTATACAAATCCAATGCTAAAATGTAAAAAAAAAGTCCAATTATCCTCTCTGAAAGTTTCAAACCAAAATATGAAACCATTCGGAAATGGAGTTGTCTGAATGACGATGTTCACTTACCAATAAAATATATTTGAGACTGCTCTTTAAGTCCAATCTATGGAACTTTCTTCAACACTAAGACTATAAATATGCTCATCCTGAGTTCTGTTCAGTGGGTGAATGTTTATTATTGAATGATAGGATTAAACTGTTTGTGTGAATATATTGCCATGATGTTATCACTATGGTAGTGATGAATGTTACGTCCTTTATATCTGCAAAGAAGCAATACAAACCAGCTAACTGCCACTGAACAGCATTGAACTCTGATCAACACAGCCATTGGCATGTCTCAGTCTCAATAAGGTCACCAAAGACTATGTATTTTTTTAAAGGGACATTTTACTGAAATTTCTTGTCAACATGTAACAAAAGTTACAATTATTAACAAAGTAAATATAACAGATCCCAAAATATGTGCAAATAAATTGTAAAATAAAGTAGCACTGATATTGAAAGATATTGCCTTCCACGCAAGAAAATGGTGTAAATGTTTAGCTATGATCTGTGTAGATAATAATTAGATCTTGAGAAATGTGTGACTGAAGTTTTCAACTACCAGCAATCAAAACAAACTACATTTTGTGAAATGTCTCTTTAATTAAGAGTTGCTAAATATTATTTATCATTCCTGTTAAATCATTTGTATATAATTTTATTATTATTAATGTATATTATGTTATTATTGTAATATTATTTCCTGTGTCACTGTATAGTTTCAATTTGTTTTTGTGTATTTTTCACTATAAATATATATATCTTGTTTCTAAATGTAGAATTAGAAGGAAACAATAAACGTGTTGCATTTAATACATGATTTGACTTATGTATAAACTATATACAAACCATTAAGGAAGGTAATTTACACCACTTTTGTGCATCTCTAGGAGACCATGAAGACAGTTTTGATTGCCTGCTGTGATGATACCAAATTGAGATTCTTTAGGAATTCAAAATTCATTCTGTTTGGCTCCTAAAGATTTTCAAATCTGCAAATCTTATAGTTTATTAAAACTAGAAAGAAGTTAGATTTGGATTCTTGACAATCAAATGCATCCCCAGTGTTTCACTACCCCAATCAAACACACCCCCTGTGTTTCAATACCATACCTAAAGCTGTGGATGTGGTGTTACATTCAGAGAGAGAGAGAGAGATTATTTCTGTGCACCCAGCAGAATTTTCTGACACAATCTAGCACTATCCTGCCACTACGCAATTACAGCGAAATCCAGATGCAACACATCGGTAATAGGTGCACAGTTTGCCAAAGCTACCCTGTTTGGCATTACAATTTTTGAACTATCTGAAACTATGATACATTTTCAAAGGCATAGAAACTTTTAATTTCATGTTCAGTTGGCTGGAAGTCACCAAATTCTACACTTTGTAAGTGCCTGGATAAACTTGTCTATATACTTGCCAAATAAGTCACTTAAGAATGAAATTCCTGAAATAAATTACACAAACTAGTTAAGCCAACATTTCCAAAAGTCTCAATATTTAGTTTGAAATTTTCAGACAAGTTATTTAGGCCAAATTTTGATGTTCGGTTTCTAGTTTTATTTATAGCACCTTGAAATTTGGAACTACACCCTTAAGAACATCAAACAAAATACAACAAGCCATTTACATATAGAAATATTTTAATAGCACTTTCTTTATAAATATATTCTCACCGGCAAGAATTTTATCCTGGCAGATTGAAATGAGGACTGATACATATACATTTACTGGTTTCTTAAGCTTATAAATATATCCATAAAATGTCACTCATGTACTGGGTATCTTGAACATTCTTAAAAGATAGCCTCCCCAAGTGATTTGTTAACAAGCCAGTAATAGAAAATTTTATATACTAAATAAACAATGTGTGGCTAATGTTTAAACTCCTAAAGACAATGAACAAATAATAACTTTATTATAAATATATTCCTTTGATAACTAATTAGGTGCTTATCAATAGTTTTATGGATATATCTATTTTAAGAGAAACATGGATTCTTCCCATTAATTTTCATTACAATAGTAATCAAAATATCAGATAACACCACTATTGTATTTAACATACATGTGCATCCATATTTTTGCAAAGTTTAACAAGTTAATTGTAAACAAATTTCGTTTTCTAGTAATCTGTATTTAGTATAATATTTAATCACGTGGTCATAGCAACTGGTTCTATAGACAATAAACTACCAAATAAAAAATGTTGAATAACTGGATGCTTACATAAAACCTGGAAAAATAAAAAAAACATTATTGATATTTAGCAATGATACTTATTCAGTTGTCAAGTTCATACAGATAAGAAACTTTTCTTGCATTTGAAATGAAATGGGTTTTTAGAGCGTGTCCGCGAGAAAACCATGCAGAAGGTGCTAAGGCTTTAATCACAGATTTTTGACCAAATTTGGTTTATAAGTTGGGATAGTCCCAAAACACATAAATGTGCAATATTAGATAAATCTTTCAATTCCTGTATGAGAAAATTGAAAAAACATTTTTCATATGGTGAAATTGCCAAAATCTGTCTTTTCTCAAAATACCAACTTTGGCAAGTCCTTACACCTTTACTATACGTAGCAGAAAGACCAAACTAACACAGTTTATCGATGACTCAGTGCTGTTACCACAATATTAACTTCAGACGATTCTGGCGAACGAGATCTGTATACGGACTGGATATCAAAGCCTGTCTAAATTCCCCATTTTTCGTCACCCAAAGTTTGACGCCCTATAGCTATTTCTTTCATGGGGTGGGTTTAAAAAATTTATGCTCACGTGAACAAGCAAACTCCCAACATTTGATACAAAAAATAAAAATGACCGGAATCGACTTGACAAAAACAAGGTAAAGGAAACAATAACCCATGAAATTAACCTGTAATTTCCCTATTTTGGAGATAATTAACCGTAGTAGATAAAAAAAAAACTAACAATTTATTTTCCTTTTCATTCATATGGTGTTTACTACCAGCCTTAAAATACATTAGTATCTGTTTTATAAAAATATCTTGAAAAAAAATACTTTCAAAGGCCTGTAATCGTTCATGGCTCATCTGTCGTCAACGGGAATTGACTTCTGCAGTTGTCCACGACCTTCCATTGGAGTTTCGACGTGCTCAATCTTAACAAACATATCCATTACTCTCAAATAGACATTATTTTAAATAAAATAATCCAACGAAAATGAAAAATTCACCTAAAAGTGAGATTCGAACCACCAACCGTATGACTTCCCCCGACCCACCCTCTCACCGAGTTGTTTGTCCCAGGGCCCCAAGGTCCATGTCGTGGGCCCTGTTCAGGGGGTTTGCCTAGGGCCTCTCTTATTCTAAATCCGGTCCTGAAGGTGCAGCTGACGGTGCCCGAGAGCTGTAGCTACCATACTACACTCTTCAATGTCACCCACTTCGACACAATTAGGCTTACTTGCTGTTAATATTTAAGCTACCACATTTCTGTATTGTAGAAATCAGTGGATGTGTCCCAAAATGAATAGTGGAAACATGCTCTGAAATTAAACATTTTGTTGCCATTTTCGGTAACTTGTTTGAAAATGAAATCTTAAAGAGACAATACAACAAATTTGTTAAAGGCCTAGGGACAATACGACAATACCAAATATACAATAAATAGAGTACAACATGGTACAAATAATGGCTATGGATATGATGAAAACGTATAAAAGTCCAAAATTTTATTTCTCTAATTAAATTCGCAAAAAAATGTATCACAAAAGCTTTTTTTTTAGCACTTTTCAATAAGCTGTATATTTTAAGTATGTTTCATTCCGGTCATTTTTTTTACACCTATGCATACTATGTGCTTAGCACTTCAAAACCATCCAAAGAAATTCTACTTGCGACCATGAAAGAAAAAGTTACAGTGTATCTTTTTCTGCACTACAAGGACAATGTGAATATGGTACCCTAAAACAAGTCCACACAAAATTAGTATGTACTGATTTTTTTTGTTCAAATAAGTGCTGGGGTAGAAGTTGACCACTCGCTTTATCAGACAGGTTCAAAATTAGAAGGTTGCTATTCCACCATAGAATTCAGTCTGTGCTTAAAAAAGGTGATAAATACACATGTGAAAACCGCAATTTTACCCATAAAATGAATAATTCCTGTACAGTCCTTTAGAGCGACATCAGGCTGTAACCACTTCAGCATGTTACCTCTTGCCCCTAGGGGGTGTCACACCATAAGTTTGATCAAAAACTTCCGACCCCCCATCTTAGCACTTTTTGCGATTTTTGCAGGGTCTTCTCGCGGATACACTCTTAAATTCTTTTCTGCATCAGCAGGGCTAACGAAGATGGATGTATACCATGCAGTGAGTTTTGAAGTGAAATATGGTGTCGACAGCACTGTTTCTAACTATTCTTCATCAATGTGTACACTGGACCTGAGTTTTTTTCCCATCCAAATGACAAGACGATGTTTCTTGTCAGGTCCTTCCTCCTGCACCACTGACAAAGGAAAAATCAGGCTTCAAAATCCTAAAGAACTTCTCAGTCAACAATAGGATCGAACTTGGGAGTTTCAAGTTAGTGAATGAGTGCCTTTTGCATTTCAACTTTTGAAATCCAGGCCCCAAACTATCACTCCATTTATTATTATTTGTAACTTAGTTCAAATTGAGTTTATGACACTACAGCAATCGGATCATGTGCATTGGTTGGGATATTTGTACATGCACACTTCACAATTATTAATGCGTTTAAAACTCCCACCATCCATCCCCTTACCCCCCCCCCCCTCATCTTAATTGGATAGTAAGACATTCTGTATATAAGTTATGAATCAATTCTTAATGGCCTCACTTACAGCACCATCAAAATACCTTAGTTAGTTTGATGTATTACTATTAGTGTAACAATTGCTTATTTGTCACTTTTAATATTCATTGGGGCCACAGCTTCACATTTCTTTGCTGTAACTTAATTTTTTGGTGAAGTAATTGGGCTGCAGCTCATTATCTAATAAATCATAAATCATCACGTTAATCACAGGGGCTACAGTCCCGGGTCTACCAGCATTTCATAAGTAGATCGCAGGGGCCGCATTCCCAGGTATACCAGAATTTCATAAGTAAATCGCAGGGGCCTCAGTGCCGGATTTACCAGTCTCATATCTAGATTCTAGGGGCCAAAGTCCCGGGTCTACCAGCAGTTTACAAATAAATCGTAGGGGCTGTAGTTCCGGATTTACCAGAAATTTCACACATATATTGTAGGGACTGCAGTCCCGGGTCTACCAGCAGTTCATAAATAAATCGTAGGGGCTGCAGTCCCCGATTTACAACTTTAATTGTGTTATTAAGCAGGGCTGCAGTCCTGGTTTACTTAATGTTTAAATATATCTAGTTTATTGTTATAATTCCATTATTATCATTCTATTGTTATCTTAAGATAAGGTTTCACTTAATTAGGTCAGATTTGTTAGTTATTGTTACTATGTTAAAGATACATTATGGGAGATTCGATAACGAGTTGGCAGTTCTCACTATAATAGTTAAAAACTAGATAATGTAAAGGCAATTTTCTGAAAATTTCATTCAAATTGATCCACTATGAACCGAGAACTAAGTGATTGAAATTTCCGCATAGTCTCGATCATTATTACTCAAGTCAGTATGATAAACAGTATAGTCTCGATTATCCATTTAATTGTTAAATCGTGAAGAAAAGTTATGCAGTAAATCGTTTCATAATCCACTTAAGATCGCAGGCTAGCGATGCCATCTAGAGTTGATTATGGTCTGGATAGGTTAATTAATGTCTAATTAATAATTTAGATAACATTTCAGGCCTAAAGAAAGACCTGCAATAGACAGATTTAGCTCTTGCATAATGTATGTTTAATTTGTTTTTATCTTGAGATAAGTTTTTAAACTCAATTTACTTTTTTTCGTGCTGTCGGGGTGCAACTCTGGGTGTATTTCTCTGTGACTGAATTTGGTGGAGTGCATGCCCCTTTGTGCAAATAAATTGTTCAAATTTTTACTATTCTTGTTCTCTATTTTATTGGCGTAAAGCTATAAGTAGAGACCGGTGCTGTACATGAAACTAGGGTATGCTTACAATTCCTAGAAAACCTTATACCACTTCTTATTGGAAATGTTCAAATAATTAAGAACCATTTGAATTTTAAAGCACAATGATCTAAACTATTTTAACAATATGAGGCTTAATTGTCACATCTAATAGTAATTTCACTATTCAAATATTAAGGAATTTGTGTGGAAACGGCACCAGAAAATTATCCCTTTCGCCATGCACATAAAAATAACTGTATGTTTTGAAGAAATAACTAATGTAAAGCTACATTCACTATATTTCACAGAAATGATGTGCAATGTACCTTGACATAACTAACTCATTTTGTTTTGAGACTAACATATGTAGTAATTCTATTCTAAGGATCTTTGTAGTTGGATATAATTGGGAGACCAAACATCTAGAATGCAATCCTTTAGCTCTGCATTCTCACTTCACACCCATTATCAACACTAAGACAAATTTATTTGATTTTATGAATATAATAGCTTATTTACCTCTGCTTTATACATTTTAATTAAGCCAGAGTTGACTTTTGACCAGTTGGGCACTCCACTAACATTCCACAGTTGATTAGAATGTTCAGCAAAAGGTCCAGTTTTCACCTGAAATGGCCAAGTTTCCCATAAAATCTTTTAATTTGTTGGTACGAATCATGCGCATCAATATCCACTCCAGAGAGAACAGAATGTCAGATTATGTGTACACAGGAAACATAGACTTGTGATAAACAGGTTTAATAACTGAGAGACCTAAACCTAACCAGTCACATTCTAATCATGGCGTTAATCAGAATAATTACATAGTGTTAGAGAGTTACATCGTAAGAGTAGTTAAAGTGAGATCTACATATAGTCAAATAAACATACATAAGGAAAGTTCATTAAAATAGTATACAATTAAGCAAGGTATACACTTATTAAGTCTAAATTTACTGTGTTTCAAAGAATAACCGTTTAGATTGCAGCAGGACATTTAACTGTGTGTTGATGGCCTTGACATTGAAAATTAGAGCAGATGTGAAATATCATTGCCTAGAAAATTTCATGAAGATTTGAAACAAAAACCTATATAACTAAGAAATGTGGGCATTTAAAAATCTGAAAGGAATAAATTATAGAGTTTACCTGATTAATATATTTTATACAACCTAAAAACATATAATCTTTACAAAAATGTTCGTAAATTTCTGGATTCACAAAAGATTTCGGTTTAATTCTTGGATGGTCTGCAATATAAAAAGTTAAGACATGAACTATTAAGAATAAGAACTATAATCAACTTTTTTAAATTAAAGATATATTATGGGAGATAAGATAAAGTTCTGACAGTTCTCACTATAATAGTTAAAAACTAGATAATGTAAAGGGACTTTGCTGAAAATTTCAGTCAAATTGATCCACTATGAACCGAGAATTAAGCAATTGAAATTTCAGCATAGCCTCGATCATCATTACTAAAGTCTGTACGATAAAAACATAGTCTCGATCATCCATTTCATGATTAAATTATGAATGAAAGTCGAGCAACAAATGGGATCATAATCCAGTAAATATTGCAGGCTAGCAATGCCATCGAGAGTTGATTATGGTCTGGATAAGTTAATTAATGTCTAATTAATAATTAAGATAACATTTTAGGCCTAAAGAAAGACCTTCAATTGGCAGATTTAGCTCTTGCATAATGTATGTTTACTTAAGGCAGCAACTGAAATAATGGATTTCTTCATTGGAAGTTTTATTTTTAGGACACTTCATTCAAATCAATCATCTTTTGAGTGATATGGTCAACATTCAGCCATCCTCAGACAAATATTCATGCCACTTCCTAGAAATGAGGCCCAATTTATTCATATTTATATTTGAATATATTTCTATAGATAAAACAATACAGTGCATTAATCTGTGTATTTGTGAGATTAAACACAGAAGATCCGTAGATCTATACTAAAATTATATCAACCTCTCAATGAATTGTTTGTAAATGAACTTACCTATAAGTTGTGAACTACCCCATATAAAAGGTATAAATTGAAAATCATCTAAACTCCAGACTCCATGACTACCAGCCGGTTCCATTCTATACAATGTCTGGCATTTTCGCATTAATTGAAGATATCTGTGGATTATAATAAGATAGGTTGCCAGGCAACAAAACATACGCCCACAGCAGCTAAATCGTCCGAGCGATCGACAAGGGTTGTCGCATATTTATTCTTCTATAGGTAATTAGGGGCAATTAATAGACAATTTCCTACAGATGACATTATAATTTTCGTCATTTGAGGGTTCACAAGGTTCTAAAAACTAAAACAAAAGCCGTAACTCTGGAAGTAATCTACAGAAATTGTTGAAATTCGACAGGTTTTTTCGTTTTACTAATTCAAATAATGCATATAAATTTCATAAAGAACGGATGATAACTTTTGTCGTTCGAAAGTTCACAAGGTTTAACAAAGTAAATCAAGGGCCATAACTCACGGCATAATATACGGAAATTGCTGAAATTCAATAGGCTTCTTCGTTGCACTAATTTAAATGATGCATATCAATTTCAAACAGATCGGATGATAACTGTTGTCATTAGAGCATTCACAAGATTCAACAAAGTGAAACAAGGGCCATAACTCTAGATGTAATTAACGGAAATTGCTGAAATTCAATAGGCTTCTTTGTTTTACTAATTTAAATGATGCATATAAATTTCATACAGATCAGATAATAACTTTTGTTATTAGAGCATTCACAAGATACAACAAAGTGAAACAAGGGCCATAACTCACGGCGTAATTAACGGAAATTGCTGAAATTCAACAGGCTTCTTCGTTTCACTAATTTAAATGATGCATATCAATTTCAAACAGATCGGAAGATAACTGTTGTCATTAGAGCATTCACAAGATTCAACAAAGTGAAACAAGGGCCATAACTCTAGATGTAATTAACGGAAATTGCATATAAATTTCATACAGATCGGTTGATAACTTTAGTCGTTAGAGCTTTCACAAGGTGCAACGAAGTGAAACAAGGGCCATAACTCCAGAAGAAATTAACGGAATTTATTGAAATTAAATAGGCTTCTTCATCTCACTAATGCAAACAACATATATCAATTTCAAAACAATCAGATAATAAATGTAGTCTGTAGAGTGTTCACAAGAAATTGTGGACGACGGACGGACCGACCGACAGGTGGACGCCCCGGGGGGCGACAGCAATATACGACCACATTTCCATGTGGGCGTATAAAAAAGGTATTGAAGTCAACTAAATGTGTAATCTTCTTTTAGGTGACAGAACATGGGGGTACTTGCTAGCATCTGGTCAATACAAGCCTTGAAATAAGGAATCTGCCATAGGCAATATCAGGCACAGTTCATATGTGTATCGGTATTACTCACTGGTTATTAGGTAAGCTCAAATTTGTAGCTTTTTAAAAACATTTTCCCTGAAGTGTCTTGATAGATTTTTTAAACCAATTTTTCTTTCTTTCATATTTTGGATAAGTTTCCATTGGAAACTTTCTAATCATTGGTTATGTAAGAAACTTGCTCACCTTTCAAATATTTTAAGTACAGCTGCTATAAAATCATCAGGTTTTAAAACACCAACTTTAAACAGACAACATAAAAATGCAGCAAACGCCATTTCATGTCCTGAACCATAATCTATTCTAGTAGAATTACCAACACTTTCTACTAAATAAACAGATAATTCTACGATAGCTGGATGATATTTCTCTTCTAAGGCTTTCTTTAATAAATCGTCTACATTCTAAAAATAAACAGAAATATTATTTTCATGTCAAATAAAGACGAATATCATTCTGACCAAGAACATAAATTAGCTTTCAGCGATATCAAATTTAAAATAACATTAGACTCAATAACTCGATTATTGAAAATCAGTGTAGTATTTTTACAAGTGTTCGTTAAACTTGTATGATCGTAAATTGAAAGTTAAAGATAGGTTGCCAAGCAACAAAATATATGTGTACATGTTTATGTCCACATGGCCACACCAGCTAAGTTTAGTAGTCCAAGCAGTCCACAAAGGTTGTTGTATATTCTATTGTAGCTAATGGAGGCAACTGATCAAAACTAACCATGATGTAATTATCAGAAATAATTAAAATTTGATTGGTTTCTAGTTCTTCCTAGTAACATTTATTATAGACTTTTTCATCTAACAAACATAAACACTATGTATAAATTACAGACATACAGATCGGGTTAATGACAATATATGATGTCAGTGTAGGCATGTAAAAAAAGTGTGTATATCAGTGTGTAACTGTTATTTTTACGATCACTGTCGATTAGAAAAAAAAAATTACCCAAGTACTACAGTCCATCGAATTAGTTAGCAACATACATAGTTTAAGGATGTTCTGTAGATAAACATTAAATCATTACCTCTTGTAGTTTAAAAAACCAGTCTCTAAAAGCTTTATTACCAAATCGCTGAGGTTGATCTATTGGAGGTATTTCATCTAACCATTTATCTAATTGTTCTAATAACTCTAATAATTTAATTATATTCTGAAAATAAAAACATTGATTAAAATTAGACAATAAACTGTTAGCTAAAAAAAAGAACAAAGAATAAAGAATAAAATAAAAAATTCACACTCTGCAAGAAAGTCATAGTCATTCCACAGTCTCAACTGTTTTCATCAGATTCAGGGAGAACAGTAAATACAAAGCATGTTGTTGTTACATTTTACTCAGTAGACTGTTAATATTGTTAATTATTTTTCAGCTCGATTTTTATGTGTTCTTTATTGACTAAGAAAAAAAAAAAAAATTTGAGCGTCTGGTGTGGTATATACAAATTTCACTCTGTAACGAAAAATAGTGCAGTTGTTTTTGTTTGTTCCCAAATCTCCATTAGTGTAATAGTCAAAGTCACTAAGAGTTCACAACAGGTACTGAAAGCATCTACAGTGTACTGAACATTATTTACAAGTTGTAAAGATAAATATTGAGGTTGAGGACTAACCATTAACCATGTTCGATAATGCTCAGCATAAAAGTCAGTATATACCTATTCTTACCTCTGATACTGGATATGTGTCACTTATTTTTTTACCCTGTATTGCTTTGTTTAATGTCATCAATAAGCCCATTAAATCAGCATATGCCTATAAATAAACATCAAAAATCATTTACTATTAAAACATTTTCCTCGCTGATGATCGATGGATTAATAAACCTCTGAATGACTGGATACACTTTAAATAGGATTCTCAAGTATTTATCAAGCATTAATACAATTATAAAAAATGATGGCACATGTAAGCAACTATAATATACATGTAAGCAACAATTACAACAACTTCATTGATGATAACCAATCTAAGATATGGCACTAACTATCGTGAAGAGAACCTAAACTGATTTCCAGTTGAATTGCTAAATAGCATTAAAACAATTCTTCAGGTTACAGTGGTAAAACTAAATTTTACAATGGGTCAGGAAGTGTCAGATGGGAGGACGTATAGAAAGGAACAACTAGAACCATTTACAACATGTAATTACATGTACCTACTTTTGATTTTTCCCATTTTGGTATGTGTTCTGGTAAACTGACTTCTTTCTGTGGTGGTATAAAAGTATGTGTAGAAATATCTATTGGTTCATATTGTCCTTCTGTAAATATTAAGAAAATATACATTTTGGCTGGAGAACATTTAGATCCCTGGGTCTGTATTCAAAGGTTTTCTTACAGTTGAGTAAAAATAAATTAATTTTTCCAATTAACTCATTGTGTTACTTTAATCGGTATTCAGAGGCTGTATGTTACATCTCCTTGGCTATGTGAAAAACTTAATCGTACACTTAAATTATGAAATACCTGCAATCACCAAAAAGCATGAATTTCTAACTTATGGAATTACACACCACTGCCAAAAATCACAAATTTCTAACTTTGCATGCAAGTTATGTCCCCTTATTAGCACCACTATACCAACACTAAACTTACCCTGTCTGTTTGCAATTAGCTCCACTTGAGAACAGACACTAAGCTAATTGACCGACATTTAAATTCATAACTCGACGATTTTAGTCAAAAACTTTAAGTATGCTTTGATAATTTAGAGAAATCTTTATTCTGCTTCAATTTAATATCATTTAGTCTATGGCGGATAGCACCACATTACAAAATACACGTGAAATGAAATGAAATGGGGTTTAACGTCCTACTGTTTTGCTCCGAACTGGGCTAATGAAGACGGGCATACGCCATACAGTGTGCTATGAGGGTAATTTTGCCCGGACAGCGGCACTACGGCCTACTCTTATATCGAATTCCAACTGTCAAGGGATCTTTTACGTGCACGCCAATGTGTACACGGGACCTCGGTTTTTCGTCTCATCCGAATGACTAGACAGCTGTCCTTGTCAGGCCCTCCGTCCTGCATCACTGACAAGGGGGAACCACGCCGGAAAATCTGGATGAACTTTCTCGGCCAATGCAGGGATCGAACACCCGACCTCCAGGCTAGCGAGCCAGCGCCTTACCCACTTAGCCACCGTGATCCCCACAAAATACACGTAGCATACTAGTTTTTGGATAGGCAGCCATTTCGGGCAGAGATCTATTCTCAAAGAAGATATTTAGAAAATGATCCAGTAAGCTACTCCTGAAACAACTGTAATCATGACTATTGTTTATGCCATTATAATACATAACAAAGGAGAAATGACTCCATCTCAACACAGTCTAGCTTACTATATTTAGTAATTTCTTATTAAAATCTGAATGGTTGACAGCAAAGGGAGAAATAAAATAGTCAGCAAATTATTTGAAACTTAGACACATCTATGTCTGTACTATACATTTTCAATGTATAAAAATGTAGCCTCTTGAGTCTACAGGCAAAATGCAAACCATGCAGTTACTTTAACTATTCATCCCACTTCCGAGCAAATAACTGGACCTCTATTTAATCTTGAATGATTAAAATTAATTCGCTCGAATGACTTTTAAAACCATGGTATTATAACAGCAAAATTAATAAAAAGTCAGAAAATTTCTCACCAACACCTGCCATTTTGGATTTATATGTAAACATCCGGCGATGTTCTTAAACGTAGTCAAAGGGAAACAACTTCATATTTTTCGAAAAAAAATAGAGTTGCCTCCCTCTAACTGTAAACATTTGTTTTAGGTCACGTTTCCGAGAGATCCTCGAACTTATCAAAGAAACGCGACCCAGGGTTTAGGGTGACAGCGAGTTCAGACGCTCCAAATAAAAGTTTTGTACTTTGTACCTTCCTTGCCTTTGTTGAAATAGATATCAGTCTGTGACAATTAACATTATGCTTCGTCACTTGTTGAGGAAACCAGTGGTAATTTTTATCAATCTACATTAGTTTATGGAATATTTCTAAATAATCTTAATTTGCATCAGTGAGAGCTTATAACATTATAACTCAAAAACAAGGCAGGCATATTGCACAGATTGCAGTAACATCCAAATTTATTAATATCATATCTATATGTAGATAGATCTACACCAGTTGTTTGTTAACACTGGTGTAGGCCTACATGTATGCTGGCTCGCTTGATTGCCTACGTACAGTGTCAACATCAGTATCCTTATTATAAATCACAGAAGAATAGCATCCTACTCAGTCCTAATTTTTGGAAGCTCTGCCATCTAGGCATTAGGCTGATTAGCCTTGTGTGATGATTTTGTTAAATACTGGAGCAATGAAATTTTGCTATATAAAGTATTTTATGATTTCTTTATTATGCTGTCTTTTTATTAGGCCTATGTGTTTTTCTTTTATTTTAACGGTGATCAGGCATATTTTGAATACGGTAGCCTACTGGGTAGTTAATAAGCTTAAATTTATTCATTATCATTTTATTCAGTAGGCCTATAGTGTAGACTGACCTAGCATTTATTATAGGCCTATACCCATATCTGGATTATGTCAGATGTACAATACAAAATGAATTTTATTAGAATTTATTAACAAAACATTATTTTAAATATGGCGACATATGAAGATGTATATTTTACAGCATTAAACATTGTAAAATTTAATGTTATTAACCTGATTGATTCATCGTGCCTGTAAAAAATAACAAAATATTATTACTTTGCCACAACAACAAAACCCATTTCATTCCACATTGCTTTTAACAATCTCTAAAATATCCTCAATATCCTTATGTGAAATTCACAAGGTTTTCAGAAAATGGGGCTGAACATAAAGTCAAGGAATGCTGAAAATCGATTGAGTTCATGCTCATGACCCTGACCCTTCACATCATGAAAAAAAATCTGTTAAAAATGTAGCTCAATTGTTGCAGATTGTCGCACGTGGTAATGACATTATACACCCCCCCAATGGAATGTGGATGTATAAAAAATCACCACATCATATATAATAGACATAAGACTGAAACAGTTCCATTTTAATGCATATGACAAATGATTGGAACTATTAAAATCATTGGATGTGGCAGTTACATCATGGCTGGTTTTGTAGCTGTAGACTAGGTGTTTCAATATTATTAATACTTATCGAGTTAACTAGTATTATGTTAAAAATTAGCCTACTAAAGAGCGGAATTCATGGCTGGAACGAATCCATCGGTCAATGATTATTTTAGCGACAATGGTACACTACTTATAATGCAGATGAACATAGCTTGCTGATCATTCTTCTGGTGTGAATGTTCTGTTGAACCTCTGTTGAAAGTTATTGCATATTTTATAATTGGCTTATAAAAATTGTGCATGTTTGACACGTAATTTCTGTACCTTTGCAATATAAGTTTTGTTTATGACTCCTGTTTAGCTAAAACATAATTTCATCATTTAGATTTTTATGTATTTTGCAGATAGATCATGCAGCCTTAACAATGAACAGTATGCCAGCTCTGGCAATGGTAGGTCCCAGGAAGGGACGAATGTTTTCTGTTCAGGCGTCATTGCCAAGACTGCCTGTTCCTCCATTAAATCAGACACTTGACAGATACCTGAAAACCATCCAACCTCTCGTCACTCCAGAAGAATTAGAATATACAAAAAAGGTAGATCTGTAACATGTCATTAATAATCCAATCGAAGCTCATACCTCCAGAGCAATTTGTTGATGTACACCAGACTCAGTGTCTGGTTAATCGAGCCCGAGGTAACTTACTAGCTCTATAATATTACGTAAAAAGCACAATTGACAGATACCTGAAAACCATCCAACCTCTCGTCACTCCAGAAGAATTACAATACACAAAAAAGGTAGATCTGTAACATGTCATTAATAATCCAATCGAAGCTCATACCTCCAGAGCAATTTGTTGATGTACACCAGACTCAGTGTCTGGTTAATCGAGCCTGAGGTAACTTACTAACTCTATAATATTACGTAAAAAACACAGTTATCCAGACATTATTCAATGGACTAGCTTCCTCTTATGTTTCTAACTTAAGGAAATGAAATGAAATGGGGTTTAACGTTTTACTTTTCTGCCATGACTGTGCTAATGTTTTCTGCACCGACTGAGCTAATGAGAACAGAACTTAACATACATTATGCAAGAACAAAATCTGCCAATTGCACGTCTTTCTTTAGGCCTGAATTGTTATCTAAATTATTAATTAGACATTAATTAACTTATCCGGACTATAACTATATTCAACTCTGGATGTCATTGCTAGCCTGCGATATTTTCTGGATTAGAATCCTATCTGCTGCTTAATGCTCATTGATAATTAAATCAAAAAATGGATAATCGAGACTGTTTTTTATCGTACTGACTTTAGTAATGATGATGGAGGCTAGACCCAAAATTCAATCGCTAAAATCTTGGTTCAGAGTGGATCAATTTGACTGAAATTTTCAGCAAATTCCCTTTATACATTATCTAGTTTTTAACTATTATATAGTGAGAACTGCCAGCTCTTTATCTAATCTCCCATAATCATAATGCACCTTTAAAGAAACAAATGCCATATCCACTTAGATCAGCAAGTGAAAGCAATTGAAACCTGAACTATAAAGTTTGAGTAAAAGTGATCAAAATATTCCACATTACTTTTAAATAATACAGAGATGTTTTACTGATAAAGTTAACCAAAATATTCCATTTTTTGAGTTTTTTTTACACAGGTAACAGAAGAATTTCGAAATCATCCTGGACCTGTTCTGCAACAATTTTTAGAAGCAAGAGCTGCAAAAACAAACAACTGGGTAAACTTTTATCTCATCCATCCATCCCTCCATAATCCCTTTTTTTGGGGGAGGGGGGGAATAATTCTTTCAAAATTTTCAGTTTCTAAAGTTTTGTTCTTCTACAAGAATATATATTCACATGTGATTAAAATATAAATTAATTAGATTTCAATAATCTTTCTAGTTGTCAGAATGGTGGAAACATGTTGCATATCTGGATTTTAGAGCTTCTGTTGTCCTGAATTCAAACCCTGCAGTCATTTTTCCTAAACAGAATTACAGTGGTATACAGGAACAGTTACGGTGAGATGTTTAAAAAGAAAATATAAACTTATAGAATTATTGGATTTACAAGTAACTGTGTGAATTGGGTCTGTTTTTGGTTGAAAAGATTTTATCTGTTGAAATAAATATCTGGAATTTTGATGTAATTCGGGCATTCCCTGCAGATGAGGAATATGCTAATTAGCCAGTCACGAGATGGATTTACCCTTACTCATTCATGTAATGTTCTTTAAAATGTATTAAATTATTTTATAGGTTTGCAGCCAAGTTGGTATCGGGAGCACTCAATTATAAAAAAGGAATAGACAAGTAAGATTTACAAAAAGATACCTCTTTGAATTAGATGACAAATAAAAGTGTTGGTATAATTAAATTTGTCGAAGTAGGTAACTGTTGACCTTTGAAATTTGAGGTCTACAGGAAAAGCCTGTGTTGAAATATAAATGATTTTGTGCTCAAGAATTTAAGCCAATAAATTGTTCTCTCACTAAATGAATATACATCTCACACAAATCAGCTTTTTATTTTGACATTAATCAGTGTGGTTTTACAATCCAGTAAAGTGGTTATATTTATCTGTAAATACACAGGTCACTATTTTATGGATAACATGACCAGTTATTACTAAGGCTCTACGATACACCTGTGTGTATTATATAATATATTAATACAAGGGTGGGGGGGAGGAGTGGATGGCCGTATGGTTAGCGCAGTAATGTTGTATATACGGTCTGTCATTGAGTCAACTGGTGTGGTTTCGAATCCCCGGTTGTACGTGACAAGTAGTAGGGTCGTCTGTCAAACCTTGCCAGGAAAACCAAAATCATGTGTATACCGTTGGCAACACATAGAAGATCCCCTGACAGTTGGTTTTCAAAGAAAGTGTAGGCCGAGTGTTACTGTCGGAGGCGGAGCAAAATTTCCCTTATGATGTAGGCTTATGTTCATTAGTCATGTAGAAGATGAGATACAGGATACACAAAGTTTACTTACAAGATAAAAATGACAAATTACATCAGTCACCTTTATCCAAAATAACCATCAAATTAATATATGTTTTTTCTGAGATATCGGTTCACAAGCTATTCTTCTAAGAATCCATCTTATACACATATATATTGCTTTGATTAGATAAAAGGGATGCACTATATTAACAAATAGTGTATCATAGTCATATTGTACTATGTATCATCAGCATTATTTGTGAAATGTGTCGTATCACCAGAGTGGTGTGTCATAAAACCCAGCGATATTTTGACCAAGATCCTCTTGTCTTTTATGAAGCAGATGATACAATTTTAATAAATGAGACATACTTACAGATCAATTACTAAATGCCATTAAAACAGTTTATTTATCTTTGCAGTCAATCAATACCAATTGAAACATTAGGGGGTAAACCATTATGTATGTCCCAGTATTATAAAATCATGTCTGCCTGTCGAATACCAGGAGCAAAGATAGACACTCATTACTGTTATACACCTGGCTCTTCTAAACCACCTCGACATATAAATGTCATTCACAATAATCAGGTAGGTCTAATAGTATGAAATACTAATTCAGTCTTCATATAATGCTGATGTTGATCATAAATCTAAACTAGTCAGCATTTAGTCTAGCTCTAGCTCCAACACTGAAACAGAACAGTCCAATTGAAATGTAATTAAATACCAGAATCCCTTGTGACAATGACAAATACTTTCCGAAATGTTTTGGACTAGATATTAAACATGCATTATCCAAGAGCAAAATCTGCTTATTACAAGTCTTTCTTTAGGCCTGAAATGTTATCTAAATAATTATCAATTAGACATTAATTAAAACAATCCAGACCATAATAAACTAGGTCTGCAACGATACACCAGGCCACGATACGATGCGCATCACGATTCATACCCCACGATACGATTAATATCGCGATGCAGTTTTCTCGGTCCACTGAACGAATTCCATTCTTGTCATAATTTACGGGAAATCCAAAAAACTCCCATACTTGTGACTTATACTTGGCAGAGGGATTTTCAATTTCTACATTATTTTTGTCGCCCGTACGACCTGAATTTGTTGACGAATGCATCATTATTAAAAATATTCTGTTGCTGAATCAATTCAATGGCTGGCTCGTATTGCTACAACAATTTCAACCAATGGAAAGCTTTCTCGTTGTCAGGTCAGTCGTAGATGAGAGAATGGCAAAGAAAATAACAATACGAAATTTGAATGTCAAAATATTATTATACATTGAAAATATAGAAAAGATAATTGTGCTGATCATTGTATGCACCTATCACCATTCTTGTACAGTAGTCTTATTACAAATCGCATATTACTGACGTATTTATAATATGTTGTATGTTTTTTCCGCATATTATTCAAGTGTGTAATTTGCAAGTAACCTAATTTCATGCCTGACTTGCTTATCCAGACTGATATTTTATTGTCCCCCGCCTTTCGAAGAAAGCAGGGGACTATTAAAATGGGTTCGTCCGTCTGTCTGTCTGTCTGTCTGTCTGTCCGTCTGTCTGTCCTTCTGTCTGTCCGTCTGTCTGTCCGTCACACTTTTTGGGACACAATAACTCTCTTCCTAATTGAGCTAGAATGTTCAAACTTGGTGTATGTGTTTATTAGGTCAATGCCTTGATGGAGTTCGAAGATGAGCATTTTCCGCTTAGGGTAAGCAGAGATAAGCAATTTGATTGGTTGATGCTTTGGGACACGATAACTCTCTTCCTAATTGGGCTAGAATGTTCAAACTTGGTGTATGTGTTGATTAGGTCAATGCCTTGATGGAGTTCGAAGATGAGCATTTTCCGCTTAGGGTAAGCAGAGATAAGCAATTTGATTGGTTGATGCTTTGGGACACGATAACTTTTAATTGAGCTAGAATGTTCAAACTTGGTGTATGTGTTTATTAGGTCAATGCCTTGATGGAGTTCGAAGATGAGCATTTTCCGCTTAGGGTAAGCAGAGATAAGCAATTTGATTGGTTGATACTTTGGGGCACGATAACTCTCTTCCTAATTGAGCTAGAATGTTCAAACTTGGTGTATGTGTTGATTAGGTCAATGCCTTGATGGAGTTCGAAGATGAGCATTTTCAGCTTAGGGTAAGCAGAGATAAGCAATTTGATTGGTTGATGCTTTGGGACACGATAACTTTAGTTCTAATTAAGTGAGATTGATGAAACTTGGTGTATAGTTTCATTACAGTAATACCTTGACTAAGTTTGATAATGAGCATTTTCTGCTCAGGGTAAGCAGAGCGATACGCAATTTGATTGGTCGAGACTTTGGAAAACAATAACTCTCCTACTTTGATTGTCCCCCGCCTTTCGAAGAAAGCAGGGAACTATTAAAATGGGTTCGTCCGTCTGTCTGTTTGTCTGTCTGTCCGTTCCGCTTATGGTAAGCAGAGATAAACAATTTGATTGGTTGATCTTCGAATTGAGTAAATGTTCATGCTTATTGTCCCCCGCCTTTCGAAGAAAGCAGGGAACTATTAAAATGGGTTCGTCCGTCTGTCTGTTTGTCTGTCCGTTCTGCTTAGGGTAAGCAGAGATAAACAATTTGATTGGTTGATGCTTTGGGACACTATAACTTTAGTTCTAATTAAGTGAGAGTGATGAAACTTGGTGTATAGTTTCATTACAGTAATACCTTGACTAAGATCGATAATGAGCATTTTCTGCTCAGATTAAGCAGAGCGATAAGCAATTTGATTTGCTGAGACTTTGGAACACAATAACTCTCTAATTATTTTCCTATTTCGGCGGGGGACATCAGCCTCACTGTTGGCTTGTTTTATTCTTGACGAAATAGCTGAAAGTCTCGAATTATTCACGTGCCGAAAGCGAGTTAACACGTACTCGCTGAAAGTAAAAAAAGTTATTTTACTCATAGATTTATTTAGGCATTCCTCGTTAGGATATTTAAACAACAGAATGTCAGTCTATTTTTTTTTTAATTTTGGATAACGAATCGCGATACGGACATTGATTGTATCGTGCATCGAGGATTTTTAAACTATCGCGGTTCATCGATTCATCGATTCATCGTTGCAGCCCTATAATAAACTCTCAATGTCAAGGCTAGCCTTCGATGTTGGCTGGATTAGATTCCTATATGCCGCTAACAGCCGTTGATAATTAAATCAGAAAAAGTGGATAATAGAGACTATGCTGTTTATATTAATGATTTTAGTAATGATGATCGAGACTATGCAAAAATTTCACCCGCTTCTTTCTCAGCTCATAGTGGATCAATTTGACTGAAATTTTCAGCAAATTACCTTTACACTATCTAGTTTTTAACTATTATAGCGAGAACTGCCAACTCGTTATCGAATCTCCCATAATGTATCTTTAACATAGTAACAATAACTAACAAATCTGACTTAATTAAGTGAAACCTTATCTTAAGATAACAATAATGTATCTTTAATATAGCTATAAACATACAGATGTAACAGCTTTGAACTCTTATCATGAAATTGAAAAAAAAACCTGTTGATATCTTTAAAGGCTAGACCATTGTGGTGCAAATGCATACAGCTTGGATAAGGACAATGCCTGTCTACAAATGTCAAATGCTGTATCATCCTGTTTTCAGATCTTTTCATTAGATGTATATGGTGAAGATGGAGGTATATTAACTGTGGACCAGTTATTCGATCAATTGATGAATATAGTAAACGAATCCCAAACTGTAGCACCACCTGTAGGTATGCTTTGTGTTTTGGACAGAAAGTCATGGCACCAAGCTTATAAAAAAATTGTCAAAGGTAATATATATACAAATATTTTTGCTTTAGTGTGATGTTCACCATATCACCCTCTGATTATTCTACACATTTCAACTACTGTTTTCATTTCCCATCCCGGTTAATAACAACTCATTATTCCAATCACCAGGGGGCAGTTTCACCAAAGTTCGTAACTTTAAGAAAAAAAACTACGTTAAAAAAAACTTACGAAAAAGATACAAATTATTTACGCCAGTTTCACAAAGGCCGGTGTAAGTTTTTTCTTAACTTAACGTCATGTTGCATCACTTCATTTAATCTTCTGTAAACATTCCCACGGTCTGAATATTGACAATATCGGTATTATTTATAGCCGTAATATTTGATTTGATCCTTACCTTTTGAAACATAAACGACGAAATGATATATTCCTTATATATACGCCAAGATTTAGCTGTGTATTTATGAATAAAATGTTATTTTCGTGGCTATTTTACTTGTTTTTGTTTGCTACGCCATAGCACGTGACATAGTAGCATACGTCATCTGTCAGTCTGCCAAAAGCCGAAATTGAGGCTAAAAAGCGTAAACAAAATTGGAACCCTGCAGCTCTCAGTGTTTTGATTGAGGGCATTGAGCAGAACTATGGAATTCTGAAAGGAAAATTGAGCAGCAGCCTGACCAAGTCATCGAAAGACAGTGTTTGGGAGAATATTTATACGAAGTAAGTGTCGGTCTTTGCCACGATAGGCTTACTCTTTAGGCCCTAATAAGCCTACAGGGCCTAGTAGTAGTAATACTAGGCCTAATAGTAATACCGGGCGTTAGCCTTAGTCTTGTTCAATGAAAACTAGTATACTGAGATTATTTTTCCTGGGCTCCTTTTTGTGATAAATTAAATTAAATACTATGTTGTAGTGTAAATGCTGGCTTACAACCGAAGGCCCACAAGGCCCTAGGCTTCAGCCTGAGCCTGCCAAGCCTAGGCCTATAAAGGCATACCGATAGGCTACTATAGTAGGTAAATCCAACCCTGACCATAAAACTTAAAAGGCAATTAGTCTAGACACTGATGGTATGCTAACCCCATGTGCCATCAGCAATAAGTTTTTGGAAGCTACCTGTGGCAAAGTAGCCTATCATAATGCAATCACGACTTGTACAGATGGCAAGGATTTCGGACGGTAAGTTGCGGTTTCGATATCCTCATTAATACAGTTAATAACATGTAATATACTGATCCGATCAAGTCTGTAAGCTACCGCGAAACTAACTCCTCGTCCGTATGGGCGTCGAGAGGGTTTAATCTATCCCCGAATATTCTTTCTCGCCGAAGTTGCCGATCCACATAAAGTAACAAGACGGCCATTTTGTCAAAGATACGTAAAAATTTCCAACTTACGACAAGGTTAGAGTTGCCGTAGACTTTACAATAAAAGTTACAAATTTCATAAGTTAAGAATTTTAGTGAAACGCGATTTTTACTTAAGTTTATGGTACGATAAACATACGCAAATTTTTCATCGTAAGTTGCTTTGTGAAACTGCCTCCATGTCTATTCCAATAGTTACTTTTACTACCTGTCTTCCCTTTTCCCACTCTTCATCATTCCATCCACATTCCCCATACCAGATAGTAACCATTCCACTGATTGTTGTGGTACTAAACATTCCACACGTCTTTACTTTTCCAACTAATCAACATTCTTATTATACACAAGCACAATGTTTCGATAAGTATCCTCTTATCTTTAACAATAAGAGGACAATAACAGTGTTAGTTTTGTTAAGTTTCCAATCGCTAAATGCCACTAAAGGATTATAATCAACATTCTAGTTACCTTTTCCTGCCACCAATGTGCTTTTTCTCCCACCATCCACTATTCCCCTCTTTATCATTCTATTTATTTCCCCTATCCCAGTTACTGATCATTCTGCCCACTAGTCTTAAAAGGACATAGGTAAAATTTTGACGCATTCTATCCCACACAATTTCTTCCATTCTGCTGTACGTACTCAAGCCAAATATAATAAGTATTTTACCAATTGTAACCTTCTCATTTCCATCCAACTACTTATCTTTCCACTTCCAGCTACTGTAGTAAGCTTTCTACCAACTACTTATCCTTCTATTTCCATCTCCGAATCATTTCACCACCTTCAAATGTCAAGCTACCAGTACTTAACATTTTATTTAACTTCTGGTCATTTCACCAACATACAGTGTTCTGTTTTTATGACATGCATTTTACATTTACTAGTAAGAAGAGCAAAATTATTATGAAGAGGATTGTCATATTTATGTTATGTTTGTTTATATTTTTTAGATAAGAATAATGAGAGTATTATGGCGTGTATACAGCATGCTATATTTATTTTCTGTTTGTTTATATTTTTTAGATAAGAATAATGAAAGTATTATGGAATTTATACATTGTGCTATATTTTTTAGATAAGAATAATGAAAGTATTATGGAGTGTATACATTGTGCTATATTTTTATTATGTTTGTTTATATTATTTAGATAAGAATAATGAGAGTATTATTGAGAGTCTACAGCGTGCCATATTTGTGTTATGTTTGGATGGCAAAATGGGCAGTACAACCGATGAGACTGAAGAACGCAATAACAGTACTAGACAGATGTTATATGGAGGAGGAAGTCAGAAATATTCTGGTAATAGATGGTTTGATAAAACTTTACAGGTTTGTACTACTGGTCAAATTGACTACCTTTATTGACATATTCTGCAGTTTTGTTTAGTGTAATTGTAGATGATAGTGTTTATGATTTGTTTAATGTAAATTGTATTTCATGGGATTTGTTTACTGTAAATTGTAGTTTATAGTATAATAGATGAGCTGTGATTTGTTATTGTAAATTGTAGTTTATAGTATGTATTTGGTATTTTTTTTTTGTAAATTGTAGTTTATAGTAGGAGATGATGGTGCATGTGGTTTAAATTATGAGCATACAACAGCTGAAGGTCCACCAATAGCAGCTATTATGGATCATGTTTTAACATACATGTAAGTTATTTATTCTCTAAACTACACTTTTAATATTCTGTTGAAGGTTAAAGCCTTGAAGAATATCTGGAAGTTGGTGTACGTAATGGGTCGCATTCAAATCATCATTATTTCTTCTTCTTTGTTTATTATGGTGCAAATAAACGTTGTCTTTTCACCATAAATTATTTACAACCTAAATATTAACATACATGTATTTTATTTTCAAGAAAAGATTTGAAAAATGTTTGAACACGAACATAAACTGGTTGTCATAATGGAAAACATTCTTTTTTAAAACATTTGATTTTAAAGAGGGGATTTGAAAAACATTTGGACAGAAGCATATTTTAGAATATTGTATTCTGTTAAAGAACAACTCTTGTTTTGCATGCTTTTGTAACCACTTTAAAGTTTATTTTAAAAATTTCAGCATATTTTTTTTATATTTTGAACAGAGAACAATATAAGGGAGGTGAGAAAGCAGCTCAAGGGTTATCAGCCCCTATTAAGTTAGAATTTAATCTGACCAATGACGTACTTGAAGCAATTGAAGAAGCTAAAGATGCAGCAGATTCGTAAGTAGACAAAATAGAAATGAATAATCAAAATGAAAATACTTGTGATTTGGCATTTATCAGTGACTTCTAAAATAATGCTTTTTGATTCTATAGTGTTGTTTGATTATGGAGATATTTTTATTGTCAGTTTTTCATTTGTTTTTTTTCTTATTGAGAATGATATAATAAGAATATATATAATAAATAAAATGGTGTTAAAATTTGATACTTGTATGAGCTTCTCTACTGAATTTCAAGCATGTAAATATTACATTATAATAATATGTAAAGTTAAGGTTGTTCTTTCTAAACAAACCCAAGATACTAGAATTACTAATAGAAAAAAAAATGTCCTTCTATAGAATCTCCTTTGACACTCATCGACAAGCTCATTATATTTTTGCCATGTGTACAATATGTTTGTTGCTCTATGTAGGACAAGTTTCATATTTTCTGTGGTTACTTTTTGAGTAGGTTGAATGAAATCTTTGTTGAAAATTATATTACATTCTTCATCTCTCTATTTTCAGATTTGACAAAGATATAGATCTTAATGTTTTTACATTTAAAGATTATGGTAAAAACTTTCCTAAATCTGTAAGAATATCTCCTGATGCATTTATACAAATGGCATTTCAACTAGCTTACTACAGGTTGGTTCTTTTAGATATATATTTGAGCCGGGCTGTTGTAAAAAAGGGGAATTTCTCTTTGAAAAAAGTAAGATAAATAAAGATCAGGGCCCTTATTCACGAAAACATAAACTAAGATACAATTGAAATTTTAAGAAATACTGCAATTCGATTGGCTGACCAGTAAAATCGATTTGCATATATCCAATGAAGTTGCAGTATTTCTTAAAATTTCGGTTGTAACATAGTTTAAGTTTTCGTGAATAAGGGCCCAGATTTTATTCTGTAAACATTCTATACAGAACAGCATGGAAACAGCACGTAAGTAAATATGGTAAATAACAAATATGAACAACCTTACTAAAGATAAAATAATAAGTGTATCTGTCAGTGATTGAAAAAAAAATATTTCATTTGTTCTTACCCAACTATATAAGCTTACCATTTAAAATAGGTCAGACAGGTGCCAGAAAAAGGTTTGGATGGCATTTGTCAGGTTTTGAAAAAGGACTGCTTTATGTTTGTTTATTCTCATATAACTATCTACCTATAGAAAAATCAGACATTGCTTCTGTCATCCTTATTTGTGTACACATATTTGCTTGATAACGACTTGTGACATCTTGTTGAAACCTTGCAGTGTAATAAACCCTAGTAATTGTTATTCCATAAAAAGTATGTTATTTGATTATGTCAACATGTCCCAATTACTAAATGCCATTCAAAGAATAGTTAGTGACAGCATCCATTTTTCTTTCCTAAGCATAAAGGTTGGGTGGTTGATTGCAAATACTTGTGCTTTAGATCATTGATTTAAGGTGTTAGGTTTCGGTCATGCTGTAGAATGTGACAAGTACACGTTATTTTTATAAGATAAAAGTCTAGATCTGGTTTTATTTAGACCCCGTATAATACAGCTTGGGACACTGGTCTCCAATTCCAGATGACAACTTCACAACTGACAAGTTTAAGTTGTTTGAAAACGTATCACCTATATTGAGTTAGTTGCTCGGCCCTAAGGTAGAGGATTTTAAGGGCTTTTAACACAAAACACATACAACTATTTCATATTAGTAATATACAAGTTCAAATTTAATTACTTTTCCAGAATCTATAACGAACCATGTGCTACATATGAAACAGCTTCATTACGACGATTTCAAGAAGGACGCAGTGATACAATAAGATCATGTTCGATTGATTCATATAATTTTACAAAGGGAATGGATAATCCATCTCTCAGTCCAGCTGAAAAATTTGAGTTGTTAAAGAAAGCTGCTCAGTCTCATAGAGAATACACTGATCTAGTAAGTGGAAATATGGAGTCAAATGTTGATGATCAATTCTAATTGCTGGTTGGATATCCACTTTTCAACTAAGCACAATATGCTTGCACATTGACTCACACTTTGGTTTGAAAATGTATTTCATATTCTGGTTCATCCAATTTTAAAATAACATTGCATGAATTGTATTTTTTGGTCAATATCAAATGGCTCACTTCTTCATCCATGCTAATACATACTCAGATTGATTATTTAACATTTAAGAAAGAAATCAAAATATCAACACTAAATAAACTCTGGCTTGGATTCAATCAGATTAAAAACAGGCCCATCAATTTGATTTCATGAAAATATAAAGATGGCGGTGGGTTTGTTGTTTTATCGGAATACTGTGACGTTATCTGCAGAATCCGACAATAATTTATTAAAAATACTTGTACCTGACGATTACCGTAGATTAGAAAATGGTAGAAAGTTCAACAATCGAAGAAATGTAGGGATTCCTATATCACACTTTAAATAGATATACTCAACTTCAAAATAACATTATTTTTATTATTAAATTTTGCAGGCAATAACTGGGAATGGTATTGATCGTCATATATTGGGTTTAAAACTAGCAGCTATCGAAATGGGAATGGATATACCTAAATTACACATGGACAGTTCATTAGCTACCAGTACTTACTTTAAAATGTCTACAAGTCAGGTATAATATATATTAGTAATATTACATTGTTACAGCAAGGAGGGGTTTATTGGGTGTCATAGTAGATACAAGGTTTCCGTTCCTCTCTTAAACAATTACTATGGAAAATGACATCTACCATTGAAACCTGGAGCAAGAAATTGCCAGAAAGTACTAAGCTAAATTATATAAATAAAAAAAATAAAAAAATGGTTTGTCATAGAATTCAAATGGCTGGCAATATTTTCACAAATTGTATTTCAATTACTTGGGTGTAATTCTGCTGTTGAGGGCTCACAGTGGCTTAGTGGGAAAGATGCTAGCTCCCTAGCCTGGAGGTCGGGTGTTCGATCCCTGCATTAGCTGAGAAAGTTCATCCAGATTTTGGGTGTGGTTCCCCCTTGTCAGTGATGCAGGACAGAGGACCTGACAAGGACAGCTGTCTAGTTGTTTGGATGATATGATAAACCGAGGTCCTATGTACACATTGGCGTGCACGTAAAAGATCCCTTGATAGTTGCCGCTGTTTGGGCAAAATTTCTCTCATAGCACACTGTATGGCGTATGCCCGTCTTCATTAGTCCACTTTGGAGCAGAACAGTAGAACGTTAAACCCCATTTCATTTCATTAGATTCTGCTGTTGGCCTTGAAGTAGAAATGCTACCACAACGGATGTCTTCCGTCTTGCTCCAGTCACAGTAGTGGATCATTCTATGGACTTCTTTTGAGCATCTGATGACAAAAAAGTTACTGGCCTATAACTCCCTTATACTCTTCAAAAAAAAGTAGGGGATATTCAGAAACAATATTTCACTCGCAAAGAGATACACTGTCAAAATTGAAAATGAATGTTTTTGATTTTTGTCCTAATGAGTAATTGCCCCACCAATCCTCAGACATTCAGCAATTCGTCGTGGCATGCTCCTAATCAACCGTCCAATCACGATTTGGGGCAATCTGACCCACTCCTTTTGCAGTGCCACGGCCAATTCTTGCAGTGTTGTCTGTTGACGTTGACGAACACGTCTCCCGATCAAATTAAACATAACACACTGAAGCAAAGATACGCTAAACAGTAAATCTTCTGCAAGAACCGATAGGAAAGCAAACATGGATAGATAAACCAGCACACGGCAGTTTTCATCAACTCTTCCTTGAAGTGTCAAATTTGACAATGAACCCCTCCCACGTGTATGGAGCTATTGCGTGTCGCATGTGCAGCTCAGTGGTTCTGTTATGGCGATAAGTTCTTCATCTGTGAACATACTCTCAAAGCATGTCAAATGTCCATGACTATTTATCATATCGCAACCTGCATAGGTATTTGCATTTTTCATTATCCCCTACTTTTTTTTAAGAGTATATAATAAACCAATTCCCATTGAATTAAAGGTGAAACTTACCACATAAATTCATAAATTTGAGAAAATCCATTGACTGCACGATATTTCTGTCCCTTCTTAAATAATCTCCGAACCAGAATTAGTGCACACACTGGATTTCACTTCACCTCGAAAATATACAAAAACTGTTCGGTAAGATAAGAATAAGATTTCATTGTTCTACTCTTCACTACTGTAACATAATTCCAAACTGTGATGATATGTGTTGAAAATTTTGCAGTTTTAAGACAATTATCACGGCTATAAATATTGCAGCTAGCCTTGAACCACTTAGAACATATACCCCAGGTAGTAAATTCAGCTTCTGAAATCCAGTCCATTTGGCTATAAATATGAATAAATGACAAGTGTTGTGCATGGGGTAGGGTATGCTTACAATTTCTAGAACACTTGATACCACTTAATACTCTTTTTATTTGGACAGGTTGGTGCGAAGTATGAGGCTGTAATGTGTTTTGGACCTGTTGTACCTGATGGTTATGGTTTGTGTTATAACCCACAAGAAAAGAAATTCAGCTTTACTGTGTCTGCTTATAATAACTCACCAGAAACAAATTCCAAACGTTATGTAGATACCTTAAATCAATGCTTAAAAGATATGCAAAGACTTGTTCCGACTCCCTCCAAACTTTAAAATCATGATGTTAATCAATGTATAAGGGACAAATTGGCATCAAGAAGAACGGTGCAGCAAATCACCTTGCAGGGAATAAGCCGGTATTAAAAATTTAGGGACTATTGTGATAAGTATACACAAAGAAGAAAACTGTGTTTCCAACTCAATGTACGCATTGTTAAATACACAGGGTTAGCTTAAAAAAAATTCTTTGAGTAAGCTTATATATTAATAAACATAACAGAACAGAAAGTGCTACTTGAGATAGTTCAAACTTGGTGTAAATGTTCATTGGTGGAATGTCTTCATATGGTTTCATGGTAACCATTTTCTGCTTAGTCTAAGCAGAGATAAGCAATTTGATTTGTCAATGCTTTTAATGCAATGACTCTGATTTTAATTGAGTGATGAACTTAAATACATCAGTACCATGACTAAGTTCGATAATGGGCATTTTCTGGTTTGGCTAAGCATTGTGATAAGCAAATTGATTGCACGATGCTTAATAAAAAGATAAATGTGCCATTAATTAATGAATGTCATCTACATCTGTTTATTTTGGCACTGAGGCAGGAGACATCAGACTTATTGTTGGCTTGTTTATAATGGAAATCAATATTAAAACAAGCATTAACTTAAAGACATAGTCTAGATGCACAAATTGTAAACATACTTGAAGAACTTTAATGATATAAAAGTATTTTTATCATCCAGATAAACTGTAATGGATTGCTTGCAATAATTCCATTCTTTAATTTCTGGACTTGAAGAGGGATGTTAGGGAGTGTGTAATGAAGAAATTTTCAGCTGAACATTTAAAGTGTATCAGGGAGCAAGTGATGTAATTTCAATATTAAAGTATTCTTTATTTAATCAAATAAAATGTGTTCAATGTCAAACATTAGCCAATGAAATGGCCTGCTTAGTCAAGATGTACATGGAATTCTGGGAGACATGTATAAATTTAAAGCAGCAGAAAACAAAACAATGGTTTATTATAAATAGTTTACACAATTCATCCAAATTTCACTCCGATGAATCCTGATGTCACCTTCCACACAAATGGGTTACTGTTGATGTGTATTGATAGGGAGCCATCAAAAGTATTGTGAAATAAATGAACTGTGTTTTAATCAGATTGACAAGTAATGTAATGCAGTGCAAACACCAATAAGCATAACTACATTGTAATCTAATTTTGATTCAATTCTTATTTAGTGGAATAGAATGATTATTCCATTGTTAATTAGTAAATATATTTAATCAAGTGGATATGGGATAATACTGTTAATTGTATCATACAATTATATTATATATATATAGGCATAAATGCTATTTGTGTATCATCAGAATTATTCCTCTTGAGTTTCAAGAAATTCTGTCAGTATAACTTTTTCAACTAAATTATTATGGTTATGGGGGAATATGCTGTGGAAATTACACATTCTCATCTAGACATTTAAAAAGAAAGAAAAGACAATAAAAATGTGTTGTTTTCTTCAAAATACAGAACAACGCTTGTGTGAAACACTATTGTTTTTATTAAGATTATTATTCTTATTAGGCTTTCAGACTTTGAAAGACTATTGTTATTACCAAAATTATTATTTATTATTTTTTACCACCGAAGTCTATTTCTCCATGATCGAGAACAGATACGGATCTAATTTTCTTAATTTTCTATTCGGAAACTGGGTGGTGGCTACTTAATAAAATATTTTTGAAACTTCTGCACAGACCGCTTGCACATAGGGGTCTTTAGCAGTGAGAGGAAACCAGAGGACCTGGAGAAAACCCACGAGGTTGGTCAGGCGACCCTACTCCTTGCCACGTACAACCAGGGAATCGAAACCACCCCAGTTGACTCAATGACATACTTTATGATACAGCACACACATGCCAACCATTCAGCCATCCACCCCCACACCGGTCTAGACTGGAATAACCAGACACAAAGACTGCCATTCAATTGGGCCTCTTCGTGTATTAGAAATTACAGTAAAAACAAAAACGACTGAATGTAAATCAGTTTACATACATTCATAATACGTTATTATATGAAGAGCCCCACCAAAGAATGATCTAAGTCACCTTTAATGGCGCCATGTGGTAGCAAATTGTATAAGCTTTCTGTGGAACAATCAATTTCAGGTAAAAACGATCTGAGTCCCATCGAACTAAGGCCCTTCTGAAATGGCCTTCCGGACAAATACGTCAATCATACCCTTTATTTGACCTTAATTTGGATGAAAAGCGGAAGTCAGTAAAACTGTTGTTGTACTGTTAATTATGATTCGTATTAAACATCATTTTGAAGTTGTAATTAAACCAACTCATTGTTCTGTTCGCGTCAAGCATTCTCGTCCAAAAGTCTGTTTTGCCTTTTATGCGAAAAGACAAAAATGTGACTTAGATCGTTCTTCCCCTGGACTCTTCATATGCATTGCGACCCATTTGTGTCCCATTTCTAGCGATTTAGCTCCTTTTAAGTTGTTGACCCACTTTGGTTTGGGAATTACTCGGTTTTGGGGCAAATTATAAGGCAAACTTAAAAGATCTTCTTCAGAGTGGCTAAAATAAATCACATTTACAAATTAGAAATATCTCATTACGATCTATTCACGCTATTATCTAGTGCAGGGGTGTCAAACTCATTCATTTCAAACGTCCTTGAAACGGGTAATTTTTAGACTGGTGTCCAAATTGCCAAGATATAAAAATATTGAACACAACGTTCTCTGTATTACATAAACTTAGATATCTATGACAGTACAGAACTTCGAAGTCAGGGTTTTACTGAAACCATGGACCTTATTATTATAATGTATTAGGCCTACACTGACTATAAAATAAGATCCATTCTGAAACTGGATAAAATAATAAAAGATTTCCACCACTAGCAAGTTTCTAAGAATTATCGACACGTCAGATTGTTGAAATTTGTTCCACGGGCTACTTTTAAACCCTTGTGGCCCGCCTGTCACATGTTTGACACCCCTGATCTTGTGTATTTTCATAAAGAGAAACAACAGACGTGCGTTATTGCTCTACTTTCGATTGCTCGATTCATCAACTCGCCCGTTCATATCTCCACTAAAGGAGAGCGTGAAGTCTTGTTTCACCAGTTTCGATAATAATAATAGAAATGCAGTCTGCATCTACCGTCTTGACGAAAAAAGATAAACCGTCCCCGTTATCTAACCCACAATTCATAGTTCATATGATTCGGTGGACTTCAGTCAAGTCGGAGATTGTCCTGTATAAATGCATTGATTCTATTTGACATTTGAAATAATTTGCAAATATGGGCCGCAAAGTATATGTTGTTGGAGTTGGAATGACCAAATTTGAGAAACCAGGCCGACGAGAAAACTTTGATTACCCAGAGATGGCCAAGGAAGCTGGCACCAAAGCTCTTAATGATGCTGGAATTTCTTACGAAAAAGTCCAACAAGCTTGTGTTGGATACGTGTTTGGCGATTCAACCTGTGGTCAAAGGGCCCTATATCAACTTGGTTTGACAGGAATTCCAATTTACAATGTTAACAACAATTGCTCTACTGGTTCAACAGCTCTGTTGATGGGGAAACAATTAATTGAGGGTGGTATTGCTGATTGCGTTCTCTGTCTTGGCTTCGAAAAAATGAGTAGGGGTTCCCTTAAGGGTGTCTTCAACGACAGAGTATCACCAATGGATAAACATGTCGAACATATGGCAAATTTACGTCCAATCGAATCAGGACCAATAACAGCTCAGATGTTCGGAAACGCTGGTCGTGAACACATGGAAAAATATGGAACAAAGACAGAACATTTTGCAAAGATAGCCTGGAAAAATCACAAACATTCTACCAATAATCCATATTCCCAGTTTCAAGAAGAATATACCATGGAACAAATAAATTCGGCACCCTCTATACATGACCCACTGACTAAGTTGCAGTGCTGTCCCACCTCAGATGGCTCAGCAGCAGCCATATTGGCAAGTGAAGAATTTGTAGAAAAACACAATTTGCAGAGCCAAGCTGTTGAAATAGTGGCCATGGAAATGTCAACTGATTTACCTAGTGTTTTTGGGGACAAAAGCTGCATGCAAATTGTTGGCTATGACATGAGTAAAAGTGCTGCAGAAAAAGTGTTTGCGAAAGCTGGAATGGATCGAAGCGCTGTCGATGTAGTGGAGCTTCATGATTGTTTTTCTGCCAATGAACTAATAACATACGAAGCACTGGGCTTATGCCAACCGGGAAAGGCTGGAGAAATGATTGACAGGGGAGATAACACATATGGGGGAAAATATGTTGTCAATCCAAGTGGCGGTCTGATATCTAAAGGTCATCCATTAGGTGCAACAGGGTTGGCTCAGTGTGCAGAATTGTCATGGCAACTTAGAGGAATGGCTAATAAAAGACAAGTTAAAGGAGCTAAGGTTGGTCTGCAGCATAATATTGGTCTTGGGGGTGCTGCAGTGGTAGCATTATACAAACTAGGTTACCCTGGAGAACAAAGATTACAAGCTGTTCAGGCCAGTGCATCAAAGGAATCAGATTTCAAAAGTGCTGCAGCTTTTAAAGAAATCCAAGGTGTCTTGGAAAAAGATGGTGGCAACATTGTTAAGAAGATTAAAGGGGTCTTCTGCTTCAAAGTTAAAAATAAGGCTGGTGAAAATGGTGTCTGGTATGTTGATGCCAAGAATGGAAATGGTTCCGTCAACTTTGGAGGAAGTGCAAAACCTGATGTTACAATAGTTATGAATGATGAAGATCTTGTTGGACTAATGAACGGCAAACTGAATCCACAGACAGCATTCTTCCAGGGTAAACTAAAGATTACTGGGAATATGGGGCTAGCCATGAAATTGAAAGATATACAGCCACCAAAGACTGGAAAGTCCAAGTTATAAAATGCAAATCAAGCCCAATAAAGACAATGTCATAGTATTCAAAAATTGAAGACAATTTTATTAAAATCTTACCTGATATAAATTTTCATTGTGAAAAATAAATCTAAATATTGTGTATGATTAATTAATTGGTCAATGATAATATACTGCTTTTTACAAATGCTTGTCCACTACTTGAATGTGCCCAAATCCAAATTGCTTCATTGGATTTTATGTCGATTTGTTTTATTGTTGAAAATTTTATGTTCTTTGATAAAATTAGAATTAAACAGCTTTATATGCAAAAATATATCGGAAACTGCTCTTTAAATCTAATAATGAATTAAATTTGTATTCTATTTATCATATGGTATGTATGTATGTATGTATGTATGATTTGTTTGGTTAAGTAAGTTTCTGAGTTTGACTAAAAGATGTATATCTAATTAAGAAGAGTTGAGTAAATTCGAATGTTAATAAGTAAATGCTTGATAATATTGTTTTAATGATTTCATTTACCTGGTGTAATTTATTTTTTGTCTAATATAAGATATGAACATTAAATGTATTTTATACAATTCTAAACAAGTTTTTCATCTCAGTCTGGTGTTATCACCGAAACAAATAAAATGTTTCCTGGTATTTCCAGTTCAGTAGTTCTATGAAAGACAGTTACTCAATTTTAATTCGAACCAACTTTAAGATCCTAGCATATGGTCGCTGCAGTGAAACCTCAAAAGGTTGTATCCAGGTTTGGCCAAATTGTTCAGAAGAACACCAAAATCTTGATATTCTACAAAAACACCACATCAAAATATATTTCTTAATATTTTTACTGCTAAAGACCCCTATGTGCAAGCAAATTATTGAAATAAAATTGAACCATATGTTAGTCCCGAAATGACCTGGTTTGTGTCAAGTGGGTGTTAAACCCCATTTCTCTCTCTATATATAAGAAATGCATATATGTAGTTATTTAAACAACATGAAGCTGTCCGCACCTATTTGGCTAAACATCCAGGGCTTAAAATAAGGACTGAAAGTAAGTAATTTATAGTTTTTTCTAGTTTTATATCAGGGAAATAGATTCACCTTTAATCGCTTGAATATCATTGATAACATGCAGTAGAGGCTCAACAATAATTTCAACAGATACCGAATTAACTGTAAAACCATATGGATGGGCTGCTTGTTATGCTTTGGTACCAAGTTGAATTTTTCATTCAAATTACTATTCTGAGCGCAGTTATCACTGTTTGAAGTGTTGACAAAATGTGTGCATTGATTGTTTATTGTCGTAACCACGATGCTGGTTATTTGAGGCTTAACCTTGCTTCTCTATTTTTAAATTACTTTATTAAATGGCTGAACCATGTCTTGTCATGTTAATAAATGTCTAATTTATATACCATTTAAGGCCTAAAGAAAGACCTGTAATAGGCAGATTCAGCTCTTTGATACAATATCTATGAAACCTGTTTTTATTGGCTTAAAAGTATGTCAAATTAGATAAAAGGATGTGCAAAAAAATTCTGAGTCTAAAGACACAAGGGGTGAAATATGCAAGATACAACCTTTAGACTCCCATTTAATATATGTGGTGAATGTCTACAAAAATTCAAAACAGTAGAACATTGTATGAACCATGGCTACTATTAGCTAAAGTCAAAGTTTAATACTAAAATTTGGTCCAAAATAGCCTAGGTCCTGCAACCAAAATCTCAGTCTGTGCCGTTCTGAATTCCAGTCAACTTATCAATCACTGTTGTGACTGTGTACACCGTACACAAGAAATTTTACTTTACGAAAAACAGACTTAACAAATAATGATGATGCCAAAAAAAACCCTCTCGCTTAGAAACCACAAATTGATCATCGGTAAATATTCGCATGGCTGCTAATAATAAAGAAAGACTTTCGCATTACTGATGCATCTGAAGCAATTTGTGTCCTGCAAAGCCAGTCGCCTGTGAGCACTGAATCAAATAATGAAATTGCCTGAATAAATGTCGCGCATATGTGACTGATATTTAAAAGAAAGTAAAATTAGTGTTTTATTATCAAGTAAAAGTCAACAGATTTCAAGCACTTTTACCTGTCTGACTAGAAAGCAGAATATTTGTTTCCAAAAACATAAATTCATGGTTTTTTTCTCACTTTACCTGTCTGACAGGATAAAGATGGGGAGCAATTACATATAATTTTGTTTTATGAAAACAAATTTATTGCTAAAACAAAAGTTAATAAATATCATAACACAACACAGTTTTATGGATAACAATCACTATATTATATATCAAGCATACAAATTAATAAATATCACGTAAGATTTACATTTACACTTTTTAGCGCCTCGACAGCCCATTCTGGGTAATTTTTATTGGGAAACATGGTAGTAAAAAAGGTCTGTATAAATTTAGGAAATTTGTCTTCTAAGATACTTTCTCTTATTCTTTTCATTAGCCGTAGCTGAAATAAAGAAATAAAATATACAATAACCAAAGGGCAATGGTTCATGACTGAATTAGCACAAGAAACAATAGTTTATGACAAATTTAGTACAACGAACAATAGTTCAAGCAAATTCAGCAAAAGAAACAAATGTTCATGACAATTACAATAAAGAAACAATAGTTCAGGTAAATTACAGACAAGAAACAACAGTTTGAAATAATCATGCTCAAACTGTACCAATGCGTACACTTCTTTTATCCCACCATCAAAATATCTAAGGAATAAACAGCCAACAAGAAATCATTGCTCAGAGTTTGTTTTATTAAGAAATATTAGAAGAGAAAAATATTTTACCTGATAAGCTACATTATGTACTGTAACTAGAGAACACGCAACCGTTTCATTAGTAACCATAGTATGTAGATACGCTCTAGTGTACGATTTACATGTAGAACACTGACAGTCCTTGTCTATGGGTTGAAAATCTTCACTAAAACTTTTATTCTTTAGATTCAATAAACCGGTATCAACTAAAGCACTGCCAAACCTCTGAAAGATATTTTCATACCTTATATTAGTTAAAGTAGCCAAGTCTCCAACTCAATATCATCCAAAATTTTCAACAGTGAAAACACTATTCGTCAAATTAAATCAACATTCATGTTGTGATCTTACCGGAAAAAGATGGGCTTTTGATATCCAATATTTAAGACAAAATAAACATTTTACCATTGGTACACGAATCGTGTACCATTATGCGCTTCAGCCCCAGTTGTATCAAGAGACTCGAGGGACGAGGCTAGACACATTGCACCTAATGACCAGACGCTAGAAATTTGCACGGGCTTGAGACTGCTGGCTTATTTCGCCGAACATAACTGATTTGAAATTGGAGTAAAAACGGAAACCATTGAATATAAATCAGTTTATATATACTATTCAAAAAAAGTAGGGGATATTTGATTTTTAAGTGTTATTAAAGTCACCTAATGAAACTGACGAAGAAACAAATGACAAAATGAAATGAAGTTCACATTCATCGATTTATTCCAACTGATCGTTAGACTAAGTAAGGCACAGACTGACCATTATAAGGGTAAAATGATACCCGGGGTCAAACAGCAAAGTTACCACAGCATCACAACCTTTGGTGGCCGTAAACTCGATAAAGTAAATACATTTAAACCATAAAATTTCTTTATTCTGTCCACCATAGGATTTATAAGTAAACCTTAAACCTTGTACATAGCGGTATTGAAACGCGTCACCGTCCCTTTAACTTGAAACTGCAGCCATGCCGTTACCAATACTCAATAGCCGATGTCTTGTTTACCGTTAGCCTTTCACATAGACACGACGAATTGAGACCTTAAACTAGCAGCTTATACAGTTCGCCATCGACACTCAATATCCGTTAACCGTGTGACATAAGCATTGAGCATCTATAGGAAAACTTTAACGTTAATACCGTTGACAACGGTTTCAAATAGTTTGAGACCGCTGTTTACTTCGCCATCTTTCTTTTGCACGCTTCCCGCTTGCTTACATCATCCTTTTTAATAAAGAGAGTTGCCTCCCTCTAACCGTTAAACTAAAATACATAAATTGATCGGCTGCGGGCACATACCCGGTCCCTAAATTAGGAAATCAATTTACAAACTAATATTCAGTCTTAATAACTGCAGCCGTTTAAACACATTAAAAATTGTCCACGTTAAACCGTAATACCATTAAAGTCATTTAAATACTATTAAACATTAAATCACTTAAAAGTCACTTTAACACGTTAATCACCATCTTCCTTCTCAAGTAGTAGAACCAATTTAGCAATAGGTCGGCGTAGTTGAGTGGTTGACGTTCTAATTTTAGCAGCTCTAACTAGTCCTTTATTATCAGTTTCTGTTGAAACGATTCTTCCCATTATCCATTCGTTTCTAGGGAGACTGTCATCACACACAAGAACAATATCATCAATCTGGACATTACGTTGAGGATGACACCATTTATTGCGTTCCTGTAAACATATCATATACTCCTTCTTCCATCGGGTCCAAAACAGATTGGCGAGATACTGGACTCTGCGCCACCTGCGACGTAGATATAGATCTTCACGTTGAAAACATCCAGGCGGTGATAAAACAACTTGAGTCTTAGTAGTTAAGATGTGATTGGGCGTTAAGGGATCTAAATCGTCTTTATCAGAAGAAAAGAATGTAAGAGGTCTAGAGTTTAAGATTTGTTCGACCTCGCACATTAAAGTTCTAAACGATTCATCATCTAGACATCTTCCATGTTCCTTGAGGAGAAAATTGAAGACCTTTCTAATTGAGCGAATTTGGCGCTCCCAAATTCCTCCCATGTGGCTTGCCGTTGGGGGGTTGAATATCCAATCAACGTTGAAATGCAGTAATTTATTTCTAACTTTATCCTTGTCCATTTCATCTAATGCCTGACGAAGCTCCTTTTCGGCACCAATGAAGTTGGATCCATTATCACTTCGTATCTGTCTAACGGGTCCTCTTCGGGCTATGAAACGTTGAAGAGCTTGTATGAATGAATCCGTTTCCAAAGAGTTCGAAACTTCGATGTGAATACTTCTGCTAGCTAGACAAGTGAAAATAGCTCCGTAACGTTTAAGTTCACGTCGTCCATCCTTAATATAGAACGGTCCGAAATAATCTAATCCCACGTAGGTAAACGGTGGTGAGGGGTTGACTCTTTCGGCTGGCAAATCCGCCATTTTCTGTATGTTTGGTTTAGCTCGGTTGCGTCGACAGGGAACACATTTAGTTATCACCTGGCGTACTGCGGCGTTGGCTCCTATTATCCAATACTTTTCTCGTAGCGATGCTAGAACATGACCTCTTCCTGCATGAGCAAGTCGTTGATGAGCATGGCGAATGATGAGTTCTGTTAAGTGACCCTTTCTGGGAACGATTACAGGGTGCTTTAAGGATTCCGAGACGTCGGCTTTGTCTAACCGTCCACCAACGCGGAGAACACCATTATCGATAACTGGATCGAGCTTCCATAAATTTGACAAATTCTTCGTTAACAACTTTTTGCACTTAAACTGTTGGCGACGATTATTCTGATTGAAGTCTGTTGATCTAAGAACTTTAAGTTCTTCAGCGTATTGATGTTCGTGAACGTACTTAAAAATACTACTTTCTGCTTTCTCCATTTCTAATACAGTTATGGGTAAGTTTAAGGATCTGAATGAGGATTTCCTCCGTTCAGTCATAAAGGCTTCTTCTGATCTATTTAAATGATTATGATCTTTTCTGTCCTTACTCAAACGCAGTAGAATTGATTTAAACCGTAAAAATATAACAACAGCACGTTTTAATCTGTGCCAATCTGAATAGTGTTCAATAAACAACTTCACAGGATTATTATCAGAACAAGTTACGTTCGTTACACAATTAGAAACTTCATCCTTTACTTCAGGATCTGATGAGGGAATTAGTCCAGGTAACACTGGTTGTTTGATCCATTCCTCTTCTGGCTTCCATAAGAATTCGGGACCTTTAAGCCATCTGTTTGACTGTAGGAATGTTAAGCTTGTTAAACCACGTGAGGCGTCATCAGCTTGATTACTTTTAGTGTCGATATACAGCCATTGGGATGGTTCTGAGCAGTTACGAATCGTTTGAACTCTGTTCGCAACAAAGATTTTGAATCGTCGTTGGTCATTATGAATGTATCTTAAGACAGTAGTTGAGTCTGTGTGATAAAAGACAGAATCCGGTTTATCAGTCAACTCATTTAACAACAGTTGGCCAATGCGTGTTGATACTGTAGCGGCCGTTAGTTCGAGTCTCGGTATAGTAACTGTCTTTATCGGTGCGAGTCTACTTTTACCTAGTAAAAATGAACAGTGTATTCGATCGTTATTATCCTTGAGTCGAAGATAAGCAACCGCTCCATACGCTGTAGAACTTGCATCCGAAAATACATGAACTTGCTTTGATAGTATAGGTCCAAATTCAACCGGTTTAACACATCGTTGAATCTCTATCTTCTCTAAAGCCAGAAGATTATCTTTCCAGTTTAACCATTGTCGTTGATACTCCACTGGTATAGCGTCATCCCAATCAAGATCAAGGCGGCATAAATCCTGTAATATTCGTTTGGCTGTTAACGTTACCGGGGAAACAAATCCGAGTGGGTCATAGATTGACGATACCATGGATAAGATACCTCTGCGAGTTAAAGGTCTGTCCTTTAAGGTGATTGTGAAACCAAAAGTGTCCGATGAAACAACCCATTTTACGCCAAGTGCTCGTTCTACTGGTAGGTCTAAATTCAAATCCAACTCCCGAACTTCCTTAGCCCTTTCGTCCTCTGGAATAGATTCAAGAACCTCTTTATCAGAACAGATGAACTTGGTCAACCTAAATCCGCCTTTAAGGCATGCACCTTGTAACCTTCGTATTAAGTCTTTAGCGATTTCTGGAGTCTTGACACTTTTGAGGCAATCGTCTACATAAAAGTTATTACGAATAACATTTGCGACAGTTTTACCAAACTCTTCTTCTGATTCATCCGCAGTCTTCTTTAATGCGAAGTTTGAGCAGCTGGGGGATGAGGCAGCTCCAAACAGATGTACACACATACGGAACTCCTCTAAGTCGTTATCAATGTCGCCGTCCTTCCACCATAGAAGTCGTAGAAAGTCTCGATGGTGAGGTGGGACCATTACCTGATGGAACATTGATTCGATGTCTCCCATGAATGCGATACGTTCGTCCCGAAATCGAGTTAATACACCAATCAATGAGTTTGTCAGGTTTGGGCCCTGTAGTAGCTGATTATTCAAAGAGATACCTTGGTACTGCGCGCTACAATCGAACACGACTCGTATCTTGTCTAATTTACGAGGGTGGTAGACCCCATGATGAGGAAGATACCACGAATGTCCTGGTTCCGGTGAGGCATTTTCAGGAACTTTCTCGATAAAACCCTTATCGATATTGTCTTGAATAAAACGTTTATAATGTTCATAATACTGAGAATCGCTTGACATCTTTTTCTTCTGCCATTCACAGCGTTTAACAGCTTGAAGTCGGTTATCTGGGAAGAGAATATGCTCTTTACGAAAAGGAAGTGGGATCTGATAGTGGCCGTTTACGTTACTTATACCATCATTGACAATTTCTATAAACTTCCTGTCGTCTTGAGACAAACCATATTCTTCTGAGTTTTGATTGATCGGATCCTCGTTAAAGTCTCTTTCGAACATTTCAAGAACTGTTTGCGGTGAGAATATTTCCTTGAACCTTTCTACTTCTCTAACAGTTATGCGATTTACTGAGACTTCGTTTGTTGACAAAGATTCTTCTACGGCAACTGGCCCACACAAGGTCCAACCATGAGGCAAGCGCATAGCAAATGGTCCATTTCCTTCACTAGGTTTTACTTCTAACGGCCCTAGAGCTACGGGACAATTACTACCGATGAGAAGCCCAATGTCGCATCCTTGAATAAGTTGAGGGATTTTCTTTGCTATATCTTGAAGGTGTTCCCATTTACTAACGATTTCTGGTGTAGGAACCTGTGAGAGTGTGACGGGTATTTCACCTACTGTGTACGTTTTAGGTAATTCTATTCCATTATTGCCATCGATGTCAAGCACCAACAGGTTATTTATCATTTCTGAGTCTAACATGTCTTGACCATGCATGGTGCCCAGTTGTACTTTCGTTGAGACTCCTTTGGCATTTAATTTCGTCTGGGTGTCTTTTAGTAGAAAACAACCGCTGCTGCCATTATCATAAAAGGCAAGCGTAATAACCATTTTATCTTTCCACTGTAAACGTACTGGAAGGATGGGTTGTAAAATAATAGAGTTTACTGATCTGGTTACATTGCACACTGTTTTAGGAATAACATCTGATATCAAGTTAGCTGTATTTTCACTAGCCTTAGACGATTCAAGATGATTATCAACCATTTGAAGACTGAATCCATCAATATGTAAAGTTGTTGGATGTTTCTTTTGACATTTACTGCATGTGGCCTTTTGTAAACATCCCTTAGCCATGTGATTTGTTCCGAAGCAACTAAAGCAGAGTCTATTGTTTACCAAGAAAGTCTTCTTATCTTCCATTGTTTTCTTCGCAAAGGTTGGGCAATTATCTAAACCATGAGCGCCCTTACAAAGTTTACAGCTTAGTCCAACTTCTGATAACTGATTTTTGTACCCGGTCCCGTTTGAGCACCCGGAATTCGACGATACTGAACTCGTATTTGTAGCAAAGCTTTTCTGTTTGGGTATAAACGGTTTCCTACCATGTCCATGTAAATCTTTATGCTGATAATGTGGTTTAGTAGCTTGACTGTTCGTTGAACTCGATTTCACCAAAGCGTCTTTACCGTATATGGGATCGTTTGCAGCTTCTGCAGCATCCTTTATAAAGTCTACCAGGTCAGTGAATAATGCAGTTTTCATTTCAACCTTTCGCATTCGGACAACACGTTCTCTCCATCTTGCTTGAAGACTGTATGGGAGTTTCTGTACAATGCACTGCATATTTGGTGGGTGATTCAAGACTAACATATAAGATAAACTACTCATGGCGTTTCTACACTTGATGAGAAACAGAGAAAATTTCTTTAATGCTGACGAATCTTCTTTAACTAAGGACCAATTAAGAACTTTGTCTGTGTACGATATTGAAAGCTTGTATGGGTCGCCATATTCTTGATCCAAAAGTTGTAACGCTTCTTCAAATCCTTCTTCGGGATCTAGATGTAAACATCCGTCGATTAAATGTCTAGGCTCTCCTTCTAAGTGCTGTTCAAGATAATAGAGACAATCGGCACTGTTGGAGACTTTAGACCGAATCCTTGCGTTGAAGGCTTTAATGAATGGCGTGTATTCTATCGGGTCGCCTTTAAACTTATTTACTTCCGGTTGAGGTAATGTCATTGCAGCCATTAATTGTCTATGCATCAAAACCACATCGTGTTGAATATTAGAGCTTGTAGCATTCTGATTTTCGTTTGACCTTGTCTGTAACTGTGTTGAATCCAAACATTCAGTGTTTGTCGGTTGAAATTCATTGGCTGTGGGGTTAAGACGTTGACCTTGCGGTGTGGTATTCTTTGTGCAGTTAGGCAGGGTTTGCTCTCGCGGTTGACGATAAATAAGCGGTGTACTCGAGATGGGTTGATTTAAATTACTTGCACTTGTTTGTTTATCATTTACATGTATCAATGGCGGTATGGCTGTATGTGGAAGATCACTTGGTTTTACCGTACTAGAATGATCACTGTTACTTGAGGATCCGTTGACTTCTGAAAGAACAATATATTCGTTTGACAATCTGTTTACATTATCTTCATCAACGATTTCACGGAAAGCCTTCTCTCTGGCTTGAGCTTTAGCGATTTTCACTTCAAGTTCTAATTTCTGAATTTGTTGAGTTTTAGACAACATCGCCTGTTCAGTCAGCAGTTCTGCAACTTTGGCCTTTTCCCTTGCTCGGATCATAGAACTTGAATATCTTGACGAACTAGACGAATTTGAACTTTTGTGACTTTTCTTCGTGTGCCTTGATTTATTTGAACTGGTGTGTAAAGTACTATCATCATCGCTATCCCGTTCTGCTACCGTATCTTCATTATTGTTATTACGAAGTTCTATTATCAAGTCTTTACGTGAATCCATGTTGATAAACTGTCGACAATTGACTGTAGACAAACTATCAAAACACTATAGGACGTGTCATGCACTTTAATCTATGGAAAGTCACTTAATAACCATTAAACGAAACAGTTTTACAACGTTCATTCAGTCTATATGAGCGGCTATTCTATTTCAACCATTTGACAATACGTATGTATGGCGAGAAGTCAATAATTTTTACTATTTGAAACTAATTTGGTGGCCGTAAACTCGATAAAGTAAATACATTTAAACCATAAAATTTCTTTATTCTGTCCACCATAGGATTTATAAGTAAACCTTAAACCTTGTACATAGCGGTATTGAAACGCGTCACCGTCCCTTTAACTTGAAACTGCAGCCATGCCGTTACCAATACTCAATAGCCGATGTCTTGTTTACCGTTAGCCTTTCACATAGACACGACGAATTGAGACCTTAAACTAGCAGCTTATACAGTTCGCCATCGACACTCAATATCCGTTAACCGTGTGACATAAGCATTGAGCATCTATAGGAAAACTTTAACGTTAATACCGTTGACAACGGTTTCAAATAGTTTGAGACCGCTGTTTACTTCGCCATCTTTCTTTTGCACGCTTCCCGCTTGTATACATCATCCTTTTTAATAAAGAGAGTTGCCTCCCTCTAACCGTTAAACTAAAATACATAAATTGATCGGCTGCGGGCACACAACCAAGTCAGTAACGGGTAAATCCTCCTCTGTTTGCCAAACAAGCATTGATCCGACGTGGCATACTCCTAATGAGACGTCTAAGGTCATTTTGGTCCAGATTGTCCCATTCCTGTTGCAACGCAGCAGAAAGTTCTTGGACATTGGCAGGACGTTGTTGACGTTGACGTAACCTCTGTCCAAGCATGTCCCAGACATGCTCGATGGGGGAGAGGTCGGGACTCAGTGCTGGCCAAGGTAATGTGGTGATGTTCTGTTGTTGGAGGTAACCTGTAACGATCCTGGCCCTGTGACATCTTGCGTTGTCATCCTGGAAGATGAAACGGCGGCCATGACGTCGTGCGAACGGCACAACATGGTCTGCCAAGATGTTGTCCCGGTAGTACTGGCCTGTAACACGCCCTGCAACAACATGTAAAGCTGTTCTTCCAGCAACAGTGATGCCTCCCCACACCATAACAGAACCACCCCCAAATCGATCATGTCTGATGACGTTAACGTCTTGGAAGCGCTCGTTTCGACGACGCCACACCCTCCTACGTCTGTCCAAAAAATCAACAGTGAACCTTGACTCATCTGAAAACATCACATTGCTCCAGCGTCGATTATCCCAGTGTTGACGATCCCTACACCAACGACGTCTTGCCTGAATGTGATGATCTCTCAAACAAGGGATCACGCGAGGACGTCGGGCGCGAAGGTGACCCCTATGCAGTCGATTCCGAATCGTCTGGCCACTCACTCTCACACCAGTGTCTGTTTTAAGACGAGCGCTGATCTGATTTGCTGTGATGACACGATTTCTCAAGGCCAAGGTACGGATAAATCGATCCTGGGCTTGAGTTGTCGCCCTTGGTCGACCTGAGCGTGGTCTGTCCTGTACAGATTGTGTATCACGGTATCTGGACCATAGCCTGCTTATGACAGACTGAGAAACATTTATCGTCCGCGCCACAACCGCCTGTGTTGTGCCGATCTGTAGCATGCCAAGGGCACGTAACCTTTCATTTTGGGTAAGCCGACGCATATCAAAATTTGTTTTCTGGTCACTAAAACAATTAAACTGATGTTTCCACCCTGGAATTCAATGCCACAATGACTGTAACATTCAAAGTCAGAGTCGTGCAAATCTTGGGTTGGACCCCCATGATGATCCCAAGCATCACCTGCATTCCATGCGGTAGCTATTGGTGCGTTTGGACGTCACATGTAACTGGAAATGTTTCTTCTGTTAGGTTCTATAGTGACTTTTTTCGTAGTCATTTGCATATTATGCCCCCAAAATCAAATATCCCCTACTTTTTTTGAATAGTATACATTCATATTACAGTATTATATGCGTTGCGACCCACTTTTGTCAATTTCTAGGTCCCAAATGTTAGCGATTTAGCTCCTTTAACATATCTTCATAAATATATTAGAATTTTTTTTTTTTTTTTAATTCAAATTTTCAAATAAATGCCTGCAAATAATTAGAATAATAGCATTCAAATGTAATGTTTACACACTTATCACTGATTGTATCCTAAGAAAAGCCTTGATTTGCTATCAAACAGCTCCACTATAATCCATGGTGAATATGTCCCAGCACTTTCTACATTTGATATTTTATTGTTTCCTTACCAGAAAAGAATTTGAATGATATGTAAAGAATAAATATATACTTACTGCTGTGCGTGTTGGATACACACAATCAAACATATCACATCCAAGGGCCACACAAACAACCAGATCTACTGCAAACCTTCAAATATAAAACAGAATAGCGTAGGGCTTAATAACTCCTCAACACTAACACTTTACAAAAGCCATTTTGAGAGTACATTTTGATTGGTGGTTGGGTTTCTAATACATGTGGGAACTAAATGATGGCTCAGTGAGTATGGCATGGCCCGAGTTCACAAAGTATTCTCAGACTTAAGAAAGTATTCTCACTGTTTATGAGAAATATCTTTGATCCAGAAACACAAAACTTTACACATAGTTTCTTATTCATATATTTGATACAATAAAACAAGAAAATTTTTATAATGGGCTATATTTTAGTTAAAATAAGGCTAACAATTTTGAGTAAATTCTTAACTTAAGTCTGAGAATGCTTCGTGAACTTAGGGCCTGGTGTTGACCAACAATATTGCTATGGGTTATTCCAGAGGTGTCAGACAGAGAATCTGGCAAGAAAAGAGTGTGTAGTTGTTTGCATGGGATGATAAAATCGAAATCCACCCATGTACACATTGGCGTGTGTAGTGTTGTATCAGGATTGTGGATTTGGTACATAAATAGGGAAGCTAGGAGCCAAGGAAGAGGTAGTGTAGATTCTAAGACATATTTATTCTTCAGCCATTACACAACTCTGAAGAGGGGAGACTACTTTATTGAAGTTACATATGAAAATATGGAAAAACGTAAAAAGAACCCTTGGCAGTTGAAATTCTATGAGAGTAGGTGAAAATGCTGCTGTCCTAGCATAATTTACACCATGGCACACGTTAAACCCCATTTCATTTCTAATACACATGATTTAGTTCATATGGTCTGTTATCTATGGAAACATCATGGTTTTGAACCCATAAAAAGAATACTGTAGCATGCCTAACCTTGAGGGCTTCATTACATTCTCCTGTTTCCTTTCAATGTTAATTAAAGACCCTATTAGGAAATGATTAAAAGAAAGACATACCATGTTAGTCCCAACATAGACCAGACTTGCCCTCTCTTATATGATTTTTTAAAGATAATCAAAAAGGAAATGAAATGAAATGGGGTTTAACGTCCTACTCCCACTGGGCTCTGGGGAAATTTTATCTGGACAGCGGCACTACAGCCTACACTTATATCGAATTCTAACAGCCAGGGGATCTTTTATGTGCACACCAAGCGTACACAGGACATCAGTTTTTCGCTCCATCCAAACAACTATACTTGTCCCTTGCCAGGCCCTCTGTCCTACACCACTGACAAGGGGAAACCATGCTGGAATATCCTGGTGATCTTTCCCGGTCAACACAAGAATCGAACACAGGACCTCCAGCTCAACGGGTCAATGTTTTACTCACTGAGCCACTGTGGCTCCCATTCGACAAATGGCTCTCAGAACCTACCCCATGAGTACGACCTATACTTTGAGCGACATCCTCCATTAAAATTATTTCATTTTAGGGGCAAATTGTCCTAAGGCTAATGTTTGACAATAACTTACCCTACACCCATCAAATATCGTGGTTTCTCATGAGGTAAATGATCTGTCGATAAGGTCACCATTTTCCAAAATAAACTTTTCTCCTCACCACCACTTAACCCTCCAATAGCAAACCCTGCGACATCGCGTTTTGTTAATTCTAGAAAAACAAGCAATCCCAAAATAAATAGATGACACACATTAATTAATTGCACATTTATTTTTTTCGAAAGTATTGAATAATCAAACTGATTATCTTTACTTAGTCTAAGCAAAAAATGTTCATGATCAAAGTTTCATCACTCTCCATCAATTAGAACCAAAGTTATCTTGTGCCAAAGCATCGACCAATGAAATTGCTTAGCTCTGCTGAGCTTTAGCGGGAAAAGTTAATCATTGAACTGAGTCAAGAATTCACCTAATGAACATCTTAATCAAGTTTAACATTGTACCTCAATTAAAAACAGAGTTATGTTCCAAAATCTTGACCAAAAGGCGAAGGACATCAAAATATCAGGAAATTATTGCTGAAGTAAATTATGTGATCAGACATAAGGTCATAGAAAGTTTGTCATTGAAATGACTCGGTTCCTTGCAAAAATGGGACACAAGTTAAACTGTGCTGGTTATAGATTTATCTGGTACTCCTATTGATACAGAACCGATTTTATAACAGCTGAGTACCATATTCATTTATTCTCTTGCTTAGTTTAGTTCTATGTAACTCTCTTTATTAGTGTGCTTTTCATTAACCCTAACAATTTTTTATTAGTATTGATCTTTGATTTAGAGTCATAGTAAATTTTTATTTCTCATTTCCCCCCATATGTGTTTATGGAATACCGCAAATTTGTACTGAATTGGCTACGGATTAAAACATTTGGCAGAGGGGACATCAGCCTCACTGTTGACTTGTAAAGTCAAGGTTAAAGTCACTTTTTTGTTACTAAATAGACCAAATTAAACCATGAGAACAGATTGTTCTAAATGGAATTTCTCAAAACTCGATTTTATACTTTGTTCTACAACTAAAGAGGCTTGATTTATAAAGGCATTATTTTTATTATATATATTTTGACCTGACAATTACAACATAACTATACTTACCTATTGCACATTGTTTCCGTAGTTGAGAATCTAAACCCCCTTGAACTATAGGAAATATACATTGTTCATCAGGTCTCTTATTAGCTTTCAGACATCTATCTAACCATCTTATAGTTCTAGAACATAAATTATATGTGAATGCACATATTAAGATTGTCCAATCATTGTTGAGTACTTGTAATGTTCTAACTGAGAACTTGGCTGTACCACATTACTACTGCCAATTTGAATATAACACATCACTGACATGGTGGTTTTAGCACCTACATGTACATGTAATATGAAATTCACCACTGATCTGCTTGATGCACCACATATGGTAGAGAACAGATGACTTCATTGACATTTTGGTTGCACCATATCATTGGTCACTGGTGGTTGCATCACATCGCTAACATGGTCACTGGTGGTTGCATCACATCAATGACATGGTGGTTTCAGCCCACCAATCCACATGGTTACTGGTGACTGTACCATATCACTGACAAGATGGTTGTAGCACATCACTGATGGCTATAAACAGTAGCTAGGGTTGGATGGCTGAATGGTTAGCGTGCGTGCGCTGTATCATAAAGTCTGTTATTGAGTCGACTGGCGTGGTTTCGAATCCCCGGTTGTACGTGGCAAGGAGTAGGGTCGCCTGTCCAACCTTGTGGGTTTTCTCCAGGTCCTCTGGTTTCCTCCCACTGCTAAAAACCCCTACGCGCAAGCAAATTTTTATAATAAAATGTTAGTCCCGAAATGACCTAGTTTGTGTCGAGTGGACGTTAAACCCCATTTCTCTCTCTCTATAAACAATTGCACCAAATCAACCACATTTCGCTCATGATTGCAGCATACATGTACATGAATCACTGACATGGTAGTTCCAGCAAATCACTCACATGGTCACCACAAGAGATGGTGTAAGTACTACATACATGGTATGGTCAGTTGTCAAAACAGAACGCTCCAAATTGTCAGAATTGCAATCGAGTGATGTGGAATACAGTCCAGTCACAGTTTTGTCAGTCCCGACAAAAGAGCTGGTGTGAGTAGAATCACGATGTTATCAAACACAACGAATATCTTTCAGTTGTCATGGTTGGTTGAGATATATTCTTAAGCAGTTGGCACATGGCTCGATTGTTAGTAGTTTTGGGATTGAGAGAATTCAATTCAGGAACGTTAAATCAAGTAACAACCCCTCGATTTATTATACTAATAATGCTGCACCACTCCATTCAATTGCATCTTTATCTGTGTCACACACTCCTAAACTTTATCTTTTCGACACAAATAATATAAGTCTCTCAATCAACATACTCCCAGCAGTGTTTCGTTTGATTACAGCTAATCCCACTAAACACTGCTTTAATGGGAGCAGATTTATGTTCCAAATTATGACGAGTCAATAGTCCGATTAACAACCAATAGCTAACTGCGTAACAATATGATTACGCTTTAAACAAAGCTCCAAATTGGACCAAAGATGTTTACATAACGTTAAGTCATGACTCACGATTTTATTATGCCCAATTAACCAGTGCATAGCAGAATATTGCAGAAAAACTAATTGCATAACAAATGAGGCTATCAACACGGATACAATGAAAACAATACTGTATGAAGACGAACAAGACTTTCTCCGTTTTTAATACCTTAAATCACTGTCAAAAGTTTTAGGGAAGACCCCAGATTAAACGAAGGGCTATCATGTTGCTGTACTTAGGATAGATTTGATTGAACGGGAAGAATAGACACACTCCCTTAAAAGCTTAAGTATCAGAAGCCAATCCAGCAATGACCTGTAGCCAACACACAGAGACACAAAGAGAGAGAGAGACAGAGAGAGAGAGAGTGAGAGAGAGAGAGATGGGGTTTAACATCCACTCGACACAGGCTAGGTCATTTCAGGACTAACATATGGTTTAATTTTATTTCAATAATTCGCTTGAAGGTAGGGGTCTTTAGCAGTGGGCAAAAACCCACGAGGTTGGACAGGCAACCCTACTCCTTGTCACGTACAACCGGGGATTCGAAACCACGCCAGTTGACTTAATGACACAGTCCGCACGGGCTAACCATTCGGCCATCCATCCCCTCCCCTCTCATCCCCCCCCCCCCGAGACACAAAGAAAAAATGGGTGTGGCTCTGCCCCTGGGGGTTGGACAGGCACCAAAAAACAATAGGGGTCATCCTTAGGGTATAAAGAATAGGTATGCAAAGTTTCAAAAGGATGTTAAGAATTGTGGCATGTAGGTGACACAAAAGACACACAAACATTGGGCCATTGCGGGCTGTAAGTAACATACAGACACACAAAAAGAAAATGGGCGTGGCTCTGCCCCTTGGGGGTGGGGCAATCACAACAAACAATAAGTATGCAAAGTTTCAAGGTGATACATTAAGAAATGCAGCCTGTAGACGACTAAAAAACAAATACAAGAAATGGGCGTGGCGCTGTCCCTGGGGGTCGGGCATGCACCAAAAAACAATAGGGATCATCCTTAGGGTATAAGGAATAAGTATGTAAAGTTTCAAGATGATCACTTACGAATTGTGGCCTGTAGGGGACACACACAAACATACACACAGACAGGGGCAATATACATGTACGTCCACATTATGAATGTGGTCATATAAAAATTGTGACCTGTAGAGTGTCTACAAACAAAATGTGGGCGTTCGGACAGACAGGGGCGACAACAATATACATCCATCCACATGAAAATGTGGGCGTATAAAAATGAAAAAGGGAGTTAACCTGTGCATTGCTTCTTCAACACGAGGACCTGTGGTAGTACTGTGAACTACATCATCTAACTGCATCATTATATCAGCACCTGAAAGAGATTTAGGAACATTTTAACAAATATATGCATATATTATATATTCCTACCCAATCAAGGGGTTCAGTGGGCTATTTTTAATTCTCTCACATTAACATGGTCTATTGATTCTGCCCCCCCCCCCCATTCATTACATCTTTCCTTAGTCTTCATCCATCACAATTAACCAGACACTTCAAGCATCACCCAATACAGAGGTATGATCAAATAAATGGAGTTTAATTTTCTCACCTATAGCATTTTGTATTTCTATAGATTTTTCTGGTGTTAGCATCATAATAGATCCATCATGTGGTGATTCAAACTGTACTCCATCTTCTGTTATTTCAGCCAATTTTAATAATGATACCATCTGAAACCCTCCACTATCCTACAAAACATAGCATCAGGAATGTATTAGTTGCTAATTCTAACAGATGAAAACTTTGAAAATGAAAAATATCTCTATTCTTTTGAGATTAACACAAGGTTATTTATTTTTCTGTATAACTGTCTGAAACTCAACTCTTGTTAATTAATCCCATGGGATTCCCATCACACATTAAAATGCTGACAGTACAGCATGGTTTTATATGTCAGCTGTATCAGATTTTAAAGATTGTACTATACATTATTTTGTCAGGCTCTTTATGGAAATAAACAATTATTATTATACATGTAGTGTGATCTAAAATCAGTTCCCACACAGTAGAAAGTAAAGGGATGACAATGTCAGGTATGTTGTTAAGTTTTAATCATTTTAATTAAAGATAGGTTGCCAGGCAACAAAACATACGCCCATAGCAGCTAAATCGTCTGAGCGGGCGACAAGGGTTGTCTCATTTATTCTTTTGTAGGTAGGCTAATTGGCAGCATTCCCGAGACAATTTCATACAGATCAGATTATAATTTTCATTGTTTGAGCGTTCACAAGGTTCTACAAACTGAAACAAGGGCGTTAACTCTGGAAGAAATTTACCGAAATTGTTCGAAGTCATTTAACAAATATTAACTAATCTAAATGATGCATATAAATTTTATACAGATTGGATGATAACTTTTGTCATTTGAGCAATCACAAGGTCCAACAAAGTGAAGCAAGGGCCATAACTCTAGAAATATTTAAACGGAAATGGCTGAAACTCCATAGACTTCTTCATTTCACTAATTTAAATGATGCATATAAATTTCATACATATCAGAAGATAACTTTTGTCATTCGAGCAATCACAATGTCCAATAAAGTGAAAAAGGGCCATAACTCTAGAAATAATTAAATTCAATAGGCTTGTCCATTTCATTAATTTTAATGATGCATATAAATTTCATACAGATCGAATGATAACTATTGTCGTTAGAGCATTCACGAGGTTCAACAAGGGCTGTAACCCTAGATTGAATTAATGGAAATTGCTGAAATTCAATAGGATTCTTCATTTCACTAATTTAAATGATGCATATAAATTTCATACAGATTCATTGATACTTTTGTTATTAGACTGTTCACAAGGTGCAACAAAGTGAAACAAGGTCCAGACGAAATTAACGGAAATTATTGAAATTAAACAGTCATTGTTTTTTGAGGCGAGCAGTAGCTCCTGAGTGCCTGCCGCACACCTGAACGTCGATCAAGGGGAGGGTTTTCTCCCTCGCCTTAAAATTTAAAATCGCTCTCCTTATTTCTTAATCATGGACATATGTATTTTTTTTTAAAAGAGTGTGAAAGAATCACATTTCGATCGCTCCCATGCTGTCATTGTGAACATTTATTTGGTGTATTCAATTAGTGTATAATGTGATTGCACATGGTAATAAAATTCAGATGAATGTGTTGCTAAAAAAAGATGGTGCATATGCATCATTGGTTAATTTAACTAAAATGTAAATTAGAACTCTCGCGAGATGTGTGAAATTACAAGAGATGGCACGTGAAAAATTTCTGATGAGAATAATTCCAGAAGAAATAGATTATATTGTGATGGAATTTTCAAGCGTTTATGATTATATTTTTAATAGGGTTATGTTTTTAAACACAATTTATACAAGCTATATATATATTTAGTAACCATATATAGTTTTAGACGATAGCAAAAGTTTGACTTGACCGTACGACTACAAGTACTATTATTTAGCAGACGATGTTTATTATCATCTGTTTTTTGTAACCAGGAATGACCCCTTACACGCAGTTATTGATCTTCAGAACCATTTCCAATACATACAAATAATCAATCTCCTAGGGATCAGATCACTCTCCTTAATTTCTAACTCACTCTTCTTATCGAAACTGGGAGAGCTTTTTTACGGGAGCGATATTTTCAATTTGTTCACTAAGGGGAGTTATTTCGGCTCTCCTCTAAAATACAAAAAAACAATGACTGAATTAAATAGACTTCTTCAGCGCACTAATGTAAACAACATAATTATATCAATTTCAAAACAATTTTGTGAGTTTACCCATATTTAAACTGCAATGACGCCGCCCTAGAAATGGTTCCACTACTGATGTCTTCCGTCTTGCTCCAGCCACAGTAGTGGACCGTCCTAATGCCTTCCTTTGAGCAAATTTTGTAGTCATTTGACTACAAAAAAGTTACTGGCCTATAACTCCCTTAATTTCCAATTACACTGACCCCAAACTGTCCTGTACATAGCTTAACATATAAAAAACCAATTCCCATTGAAATAAAGGTGAAACCTTACCGTATAATTATACGATTTGATTAAACCCAACTGCTATGCGAAATTTCTGTTTGTTTTATAATGGCTGCCGAACCAGAATCATGTGATGTCATGTAACTCGAAAATGTAGAAAAACTGTTCGGTAAGATACATGTAAGATTATGATTTTAGTGTTCCACTCTTCACTATTTGTAACATGATTACTTATTTCCATGCAAACTGTGATGATATGTGTTGAAAATTTTGCAATTTTATTTGCTCAAAGCCTTGAATAGTGTATCAATTGCAGCCGTAGATAAGAATTATCACGGCTATAAATTGCAGACAGCGGCGCCAAAGGTATTTAGCTGGAGGGGACATATTTTTAACAGCGTGTTACTGATATCACATCATTTGGGACTCACGTCATTTGAGACTCAACATAAACGACATTTGGGACTCAGTTGACGACGTTTGGGACTTGATTGGTGTCAATTGGGACATATTTAGCTGGAGGGGACATATTTTTAACAGGGTGTTACTGATATCACATCATTTGGGACTCACGTCATTTGGGACTCAACATAAACGACATTTGGGACTCAGTTGACGACGTTTGGGACTTGATTGGTGTCAATTGGGACTCAACACAAACGACATTTGGGACTATTTATTTATGAGATATATAGTAACAGCTGTCTTAGTTGTCTTTCGTTTTATTTAGTTGATCAGCGATTGTTGAGACCGCGATTAACACTGCTAGTTCTCCATTGTTTTGTTTTATCTGCGAGTATAAAACTTCTCCTTTGTTTTGTTTTATCTGCGAGTATAAAACTTGACAATAATATATTGTTGAAAATTTGTGTATATTTAGTAATACTTTGTTGTTTCTCTTTTTCGTGAAACGGTATAACTGCAATCAACACACGGCCGCCATTCTCGATGATAGACAACTCACGTTTTTCCTCATCCACCAAAGAACCGTTAGGTTTCTTTGAACATACTGCAATAACATCGGGATTATCAGTTAATCAGCTTTAATTATCCCGCTTTGATCGTTGCCATTTCTCATCGTTTGGTTGAGCCTTTTACTAACCACATGTTTCATGTTAATAAATATTTTCTTTCGTGTTTTGAATTGGCCTATTTCTAATAAATTATCCCGAGTCCCAAACGACGTATACCCGAGTCCCAAACGACGTATACCAAAGTCCCAAATGTCGTATACCCGAGTCCCAAATGTCGTGGTCATATTTTTTTGAGTCCCAAATGACGCGAGTCCCAAATGACGTGAGTTCCAAATGACATGTAATCGTGTTACTGACTCTAGTGAGGTAAGCAAAGTCTTATTTTCTCACTAAAATGTACAGGCGTTCACAAGGACTGACACACGACCGTTTAGCAGTAAAAAGTTCTCCAGTAAAATTTACTGGGCAGTCAAAAAGTTTTGACAAGGAGCCAATTGGCTCGTTTACACTCGCCCTAGCTGTACGTTCAAGAGCTGAACTACTGTGTCTTTGGTATAGAACCCTATACACTGGGGCACCAAAAGCTGCACAGGTGTATTACACAAATGCTAGAAATTTTATTTACTGTTAAAAGTGATCTCTTCCATCCCATAAACTTGTGTAGACCTCCAGCTTTTTCTAATAATTCAGGACCCTGGAATAAATTAAAATCAATTAAGTCTATTTTAGCAAAGAGGGTGCCAGTGAAGTCATCCACAAGCAAAGTCGTCCACAGTGAAGTCGTCCACACCCATTGGTGGAGTCGTCCACAAGGCATTGGTGATGTCGTCCACAACTATTGGTGATGTCGTCCACAACTAAGAATAAGACTCGTACACAATTTACTCGTACTCAAAACGCCAATGTTATTGTTTGTTTTGTTAGTTTCTTGTTCACCGATGTTTTTGCAATGAAGTATACTTGTATTGTTTGTTAATTGGCGTCATGATTGTAGCATTTTTGATTGTTTGATTAGTATTAACGATGTTTTTTTAATAAAGTATATTCGCTTTTAATTGACGTTATGATTGTAACATTTTTGATTAGTATCAACGATGTTTTTGTAATAAAGTTTATTGTATTGTTTGTTAATTGGCGTTATGATTTTAGCATTTTTATTTGTTTGATTAGTATTATCGATGTTTTTGTATAAAGTATTGATTATTATTTGGTGTTATGGTTATAGCCACGTTTCTGTGTAGTATGCTCCAAGCATGTGCGTCTCCGACAAAAGGCATTGCAATGTGATAGTTGTGATCGCTGGCAACATCGCATTTGCAATACGGCCATGAGTCGGGAGACGTATCGTCAGATCGTTCATGGAGAGTTGGAGAGTGTGCAGAGTGTGCAGTTTTATTGTCAAGATTGGCCAATAGAACTGTCCAACGCAGCATCCTTCACGAGTGATCTGGAGGCTGATGTCGTACTACTATATCCAGAAATTATACTAAGTCGTGTGGACGACTCCACCAACGAGTGTGGACGACTTCACCAACGGGAGTAGACGACTTAACCAGATTTTTCGTGTGTACGACTTTGGTTGTGGACGACTTGACTGGCATTCAGCAAAGAGATGCACTGTCGATTTCTTTTTCTGTTGTTTACTATTCCTAACTAATAGTCATAGGGCCTACACTTAATCTTCCTTGTAAACCTGATACCACTTTTCCTTTGAATGACGTATCAAAAATAGGAAATAATTAAAATCATAACTGCTACTTTTAGTTTATAATGGAAATCCCTATGATGTCATTTCAGTTCTTACTGGACGATGGCCAAGATGATAGGTATTCCCCAGCATAATTCTGCAATCCAGTTCGTCTAGCTGATCTAATAGCAGACCTTTCAGCGTTCCTTGTGTTCCCACTGGCATGAATACAGGCGTCTCAACGATAGAATGTGGCAATGTAAAAAGACATGTTCGAGCTTTAGTCGTTGAACATTCAGCAAATATTTTGAGCGAAAACACATGTTTTGCTTTGGCGGCCATGTTCGGGGTAATTCCCTTTTCACCCAATCATATTTGAAACTTTTAACAGGAAGTAAACGAAAGAATACATGTGCGCATGTGCTTATGTCAAGTCTAAAAATGGCAGGTGGCCAGTCGACGCACCCAAATGGTCCAATTCCCTTGGGAAAAGATGGTACCGACAACGATATAGAATGGTCTGCTATATCAATGACTCATGTAGAATATCCTAAAGGTACAATGCATATTGCACAATGTATGTAAACAAAGCTGGAGGTGATATATAAAACATGACACGTGCAAGCCTTTTTTTCTGTATTATTATGATGAATGAATGGAATGAAGTGCCAACTTCACATAAATTTGATCAATGGTTTATCAAGCTTCTTGCCACTAGCTAGCTTTTAGACAGAAATTTGAAGTGGAGTATATTTTTATGTATATTCATATTTTTTACAGTTAATAATTTCAAAAAAAGAATTATAGTCTGAAATCTAAATTCCCATTCATTGTCATTACTATTATTACTGTCTGAACCATCATAAATTTTAAAAAGATTTCTTGAATCATAAATAAACTACTTAACTTTGGTTATTATAAACTTACCTGTGTGTTTCACATTACCTCCCGTTAAATAAAATCCCAGCGAATAAAAAAGTTCTCTCTTGTAAAACTCATCACAAACATGGACATCGAGATATACGAAAATGGAAGCTATAGATCATTTCGTACGGCAATTCAAATTTAGTGTTTGAATAAGCTATTGCTCTCGGGCCCAGTAATGAGTTTGGCTGTTTACAAACATAAATACACCAGTAGTCTGATATTTTGTTTCCGTCTGGTATTAATTATTTGGTTAGAGAGTTGGGTGGGATTATTTCTTTTGAACACTGGTGCAGAACAAAAAGAACGACATTCATTTTATGGTCCTTAATTCTCACCCTTGAATATCTTTAATATATCCTGATGAACTGAAGCAGTCCTGTCAGTTTGCTGTAGCCGAGGTAAATCCTTAAATGCCGATGTATTTTAAATTTACCTCGGCAAAATTAATAGCCAAGGCTTTTAATAGCCAAAGGCTATTGAATCATTGAATAGGTATATAACCTGGGTTTGTTTTATTATAGATTCCAAAAATTATTATAAACAAATCATACTGCCCATCGGTTTAATTATTGAGAGATAGGTCCATGTCTATCTATTTCTCTTCGTATATTATTTCCGTTGTGCAAAAACTGTTCAGAATTTTATAAAAGTGCGTCTCGGTAACACAATTAATTTCCGAAAATCCTATCATCGTTTCTATGTGCAAGCAAATCATAGAAATAAAATTGAACCATATGTTAGTCCCGAAATGACCTAGTTTGTGTCAAGTGGACGTTAAACCCCATTTCTCGATCGCTCTCGCCATCTTCGTTTTGAAATCCACAGGGCAATGTATCCATACGATTATACTGTCAGTTATTAACTAAATATTAATCACAAGTACAACTCCATTTTGAAATCCATGGAGAATTGAATTTTCTGATGGCATTTCGTAGATCGTGATCATACCTCAGCCAATCAACACTTTGAATTCTATTACTGTAAAAGGTACCATGCCATATGAATTTTCTGATGGCATTTCGTAGATCATGATCATACCTCAGCCAATCAACGATTAGAAATCTATTACTGTAAAAGGTACAATGCCATATGATTTATGATTTATTATATGCTACACAGATGCAGTGAAATTGGTTAAATTTAGCGAGAAACTTGCACAAGTTTTTCCCACGGTCTGCATAATTAACACATAAGACCCAATAATACTATAACCGCTAGGTTCTTCAATAACTAATAAGTCTGGAATGGTTCTTCAATCTTTTAATTACTGGAACTTATCTCTTACAAATGACAATAATTCAATACATACAATGTACACTTACAGCACAGTGGAAGACCGACGTAGCTGCTACTAAGTCGGGTGACCTAATGACTTCCTATTGATGTACATTAGTCTTTTTATATTCTAACTATAATTGGATAAGCTCAAGTGTTGACATCAAAACATATACTATACAGGATTATCACTAGAGACATTAACATAAATAAACAATAATGGATTAAATACTTAACTAATTAGCTTCTATCCTGATTTATATTAACCATGAGAAATTAAATACTATCTAAAACTGACTGGTCATTATGCTTGGTCATAATACACGCAATCTGCGATGCCTCTTTTGACAAGTGATTTTTTGTTTTAAATACATTTTTATAAAGAAAATATATGTTGTTTAGACATGCGAATATTTCGATTTCAGTATCTGTCGAATAAACAAAAAAGAAAGTAATTTTAGCAGGAATATTATTAATGATAACAATAATAATGAGGTTTTATATAACGTCTTCTCCATGTTGACACATGCTCAAAACACGTCTAGTAATGGCTCTACTGGTAAAACTGTTGAAACAGGAAAGTCTTTAGTGCAGATTTAAATTGATAAAAAGGCTGATGATTCTTGATCTGTTGTGTAAGTTCATTCCATAAGCTAGGACCAGTTGAACTGAAGGACCTTTATGACTTTAAGTTGTATCTTGGAACAACTAGTGACTCTTTATTTTGAGAGCGAAGTGATCTAGGGTTCTAGTCATATAAGAGTTCAGACAATCATTAAGGAGCTGCATTATTGCAACATTTATACACTAAAATTTACGACGGTTCAGACAGTAGTATAAATTACAATAAGACAAGTTGTGGCTTGTAATGTAAAATTTATTTCATCAGGCTAATAATCAAATGCTTTGATATTGATGTTTCTCTTCAGAATAGGATCAGCACGGGAGTGGATTTTTAAAAATTTACTAAGTTATGTTAGTATCTTGAAAAAGTATCATGTAGGATAACTCTTAGACTCAAATTTTTAAGTCATTAATTTAATAGATTTATATCCTGATTTAGATTAAAAGTTTCTTGTTCAAGCAGTAATTGACATTATTAGAATCTTTTCAATAATTTCCTTGTCTGGAATAGATATGTGTTTGCCCAAATACATATAAGTGACAAGTGTTAGATTCTTTCCCTGACTTCTTTGATTATGGTGATTTTTTTATATGGGTAGAGGATAGTTCAAATTTCTGACTGTTCATAACATTTTGAGACGACTTCTTCCTAATATTCCCTACACTCTATGCTATTTGAATGCTTTATTAATCATTTGCCTTTTGAAATCCCCAACCTGTCTACTACCAATTAAGCCAAAGTTTTGTACAAAACTGAAGAACCTTCATGGATTTGGGAAATCCTTGGCCAAAGTCCCGCTTTGTGCATTGCCCACAAAATAGCCATTAAAAAAGCCATGGGGAAGAATCAGACTTTTAAGACTTTTTTTTGTTGATTGACTACATCGATTCAGAGTGATATAGTCAGGATTTATTTCTAAGGGCTTTGCTGAAAGTGTGACACAATTACTTCCTCTTTGTCTAGTATACAGATAAAATCTCTAAGCTCTTAGATTCTTAGATAAAGCTGTGACATATGTAATTACACCAATCTACTGGTACACATTTACAGCTGGGCAAAGTGTCTTTTTTTTTTTTTAAAAATGGTAATGGGGGGGGTTGGGATGGCCTAGTGGTCTAGAGTGTCACGCTTCGACCTCTAGTTGGCCGGTCACCTCTGGCTTGCGGCTGTGGTTTCGATCCCAGGTGTGAGCGTATGTGGCTTGGAGATAGGGGCGCCTTCTCAACCTCGTGGGTTTACTCTGGGTACTCCGGTTTCCTCCCACAGCAAAGACCCCTGCGCGTGCGCTAAGATCATTAAAATGAACTTGCCTGCGATATCACCTTCGGTGGAAGCGGACGTTAAACGCTAAGAACAACAAGATTCTTAGATAAAGCTGTGACATATGTAATTACACCAATCTACTGGTACACATTTACAGCTGGGCAAAGTGTCTTTTTTTTTTTTTAAAAATGGTAATTAATGCATTATTTCATTGAAATAAGAAAACATTAATGGTTCAAATCATTACATGGATGTCCAAAATGTAATTTGTACCCTGAATGTACCTTTATATTGATAAAGTAGGCTACATGTAATTGTTTATTTAGTTTCACTATAATATTTTGAAAGTAATCTACTTGCAGGTGACTTGATTGGTAAAATGTTAGCTTGGTTCAGTCTTCTACCTGTGTTTATTTTGGTTGGTTTTGTAACATTAATATTATTTAGACGAGAACTTCATACTGTAAGTATTTTGCTACTTAGGCCTGTGTGAGCCTGTTTAAATTGCAAGTTTTGAAAAAATGTCTAGACCAACCAAACCAATTGGTGTCCAACTGATGTTAAATATTTGGCATACATGCACATGCATGACAGTCGGAGATATCAGTGGTTTTAAACCGCCTGTCGGCAAAATCACTACGTAGTAGTTCAATGATTTGAAAATATTGCTCTCTTTTTATTGCTCTCTAAACAAGTCACTGATTCAACAGAGGAATTTAACAAATGAGTTAATGACAATCTAGCTATCATTTCAGAGAAGCTCAATATTTAGACATGGTTAGTGCCAGTGGGGTTATTTTTTCATATTTTGGAATTTGATTTACATACTTGAACCCAATGTTATCAAAGGATACTCTGGGACTTATCCTCTAATTTTATATTATACATGTATATAGTTCAAGAAATTATTTAGACATGGTTCGGATGTCATTATATAATGAATGTGAAGGCAATAAATCTGGGCTGAAAGAATTTCTGCTTGCTTGCAGAATTATTTTCGCAGCAATGATAAACTAGCCAGAGATATATGTAATCTCCTGCTTATTATTTCAATATTTATTTCTATATCTTTTTCAGATGTGTTATTTATTAGGAATGATAGTAAATGAATTTATAAATTGGGTTTTAAAACATTTAATAAGGGAACCAAGACCTTCTGTACGAGGTAAGCATATAAGCATATTGAGAAACAAAGAGAAGACATGGATAAATATACCGAAAGGAGCTCGACCTTTTTGATTTACAACACAATGAAGTATCGACATAGAATTTTCAAAGAAGGCAGGTTGTTATCCCTCAAAAGAAATCAATACATAAAACTCCATGAAATCAACGGTTTTATTTTTTGGACCCAAACTTGTTGTTTTAAATGACAATTTGTGCATAAATTTTAATATTATTATACCCATCAGTCAATATTGTTGAATTCCCAAATGCTCTTGTAATCCCTTCGCATTTTAAAGATGCTGTGGATTTTATGTGAGTGAAATTAAATGTTTAGAAATATTAACAGACAGATACTTTTTTTTCTGTTTCAGATAAAGAAGGGTTATACTGCGAATATGGCATGCCATCAAGTCATGCACAATTTATGTGGTTTTTTTCTATGTATATAACATTCTTCCTGTATATTAGGTAAGTTGTCCTGATAAATCAGTCGACTACTGACAATATTGTGATAAAGGAGTGATAATAAAATCTAACAACCCCCCCCCCCCCCCAAAAAAAAAAAACCCAGCATTCCAGGCAAATGTGTTTCATTGAATATTATTGAAAATTTTATATGTATTTATAGATTATACCAGTGGTTCTCAACCTTTTTTTGCCAACGGCACACCTTGGAACACATGAAAAAAAAAGAGCACACCTGGCTAAATATACATACAAAATATATTTGAATTTTGCGAAATAAAAACATGGCAAGTCATAGACGACATACAAAAGTAGACACAGACTAGTCATAGACACATAGAATGACTCAAACTAAATAAAGAAAAACACAGCTATGAACTTACTTTGTTGCAGTGTTTCGAATTTCATCAGTTATATAGCTGGCTTCTTTAGTGAAAATTTTTCTTAGTGTGCCGTTCAAAATTTTCTTAGTATGCCGTTTAAAATTTTGTGGTACACTTAGGAAGATCTTGCGGCACACCTGTCACAGGATTACACCATGACACACATTATTGTCCTTCAGATTTCATACCACAGACATGAATCCATGCTACATTATTTGATTGAGTAAACCCATTTATCTAATTTCAACAGTTTTCTATCTTGTTGAATTAAACCATTTGATTGATCTGGGACACAATAGTGATGACATTTTGTGTATAGTATCATTACATCAATAGCTTGACTAAATTCGATCTTTAATATCATTAATCTGTTTATTTTGGGATTGGGTTGGGGGACATCAGTCTCACTGTTGGCTTGTTACTCTTTATAATTCTGTCATTAACATCACATCATCAATGATATGTATATTGTATATTACAGAGTATATAAAAATTATAATTGGTCTGATGATCTATGGAAGTATATTGTTAGTTGTAGTTGTTTTATAATAGCTGGGATAGTTTCATATAGCAGGTATAGTAAATTAACGTTATTTATTTATAAAAAAAAATGACAGAATTTATATTCATCCAGATCACAGGACTAAGGAAATGCGGTTTACCTCCAGGATCACTGTAATTATTTCTGAGTCCGATGAAAAAACATAAGTGTAATATTTCCCTAGGGCTCAGATATGAGAGTCCATGCACAAATATTGGGAGTGAAATATAGAGGGAGACAAAAATAGGCTTTCATATCCACTTGACACAAACTAGGTCATTTCGGGACTAACATATAGTTCAATTTTATTTCAATAATTTGCTTGCGTATAGAGGTCTTTAGCAGTGGGAGGAAACCAGAGGACCCAGAGGAAACCCATGAGGTTGGACAGATAACCGTACACCTTGTCACATACAACCGGGGATTCGAAACTATGCCAGTTGACTCAATAACAGATCTTGTGATGCAGGTGACATTTAGAAGAATTTTAAGTTTGGTGAATCCCAGGCCTTTATTGCAAATGTGTCCATTCCACACATAGTTTAACAGATATTGATTGCAGTTACTTAAAAACAGAATGACTGATTATATTTTCCAGGGTTTATTTAGCTTATCATACAGTTAGTCAAGTTTTGTGGGGAGCAGTTACAGGCCTTATTTTAGGTGCACTGTGGTTTGCTGTTGTTCAGTTTTTATTAACGCCTTTATTTCCATATATAGCATCATGGTGAGCAATTTTTTTTATTTATAAATGCTGGTGTTATCAAAAAAGCTTATACTCACCCTGTTTGTTGATGGTCTACCTCAGTGAAATGGAGTAGCTTATTGATTTTCAACAATTTTCGATAACTTCTGAGTTCCTCCCCCTTGTTACGATTTTTTGTTCGACTTTGGATTATGATTCTATCTGTCTTAAATTTGTATTGGCTGTCTATTTCTCATGAACATTTTACAGACTACATTTACCATCCTATCTTTTTAAAATTTATATTACATTTGTGAGACGAAGTATATTGAATTTCAACAATTTCCTTTAATCCTAGGGTTATAGACTTCATTTCACTTTGTAGAGTCTTAAGGGCAGAAGTTATCGAATCTGTATGAGATTTATATTTTACTAAATCTAGTTAGAACTCTCTAGGCTGCAATTATTAAACTATCTTTTGGGAATTTATATTGGTTGTCTACCCGTCATATTGAAAAGAAGAATCTTATTGATTTCTGATAATAACTTTCAGAGTTATTCCCTGTTGCTACAAAATCTTGTTAGCACTTTAGAAGCTTTAATTCTGATTTTTTTTCAAATTTTTCTTTAGCTTATATCTGTTTTGACAACTTAAGTGCTGGTGTGTGTATGTAAGTGTGGATGTTAGTTTGTTTGGTCTTCATCACTCCTGTCCAAATTATTTATGCTTCAACTGCAACAAATATTATATTATATAGTGTTATACAGGATCATACAGGGATTTCTGTCTGCCTTACAATTGCTTAAGATAACAAAAAATGCCTTTATCTTTCATTTGAAGTATGCAGAATGCATTGTTAAACTGTGTATGTGAATAGCCAGTGTCATATGTAAACAAATAAAACTTATATGGACCTCACATTTTGTTGTCCTGTTATAATTGTTATGGGATATATTTAAAGAATACAAATTATTTACTGGTAATTATCCATCCAGATTTATTTTAATTTTAGATTTTCTTTATGTTACAGTCCTATAGGCGAATTTTTAATGATTCGTGATTCGACATTGATACCCCATGTTTTATGGTTTGAATATACCTCATCCCGTACAGAAGCCAGGTACATCATTTTGTTTTTCATATTTTGCATAATTATGGACTAGTCATTCACTGGGTTGAATGACCAGCAGGGCTGCCAACAACCAGTATCGCAGCGCAATTTGCGATACATATTTTGTCCGTTGCTAATCAAAAATTAAACTCTAAAGTTTTTGATTCGCAGTAACTGCGAATCATTAATATGCCTGTCATTTTGGATATTGACACAAGGATAATCCGCATTTGAAGACTAGAAGGCTTTTTCAACACTTTCAACGTGTATAAAATGTTGAATAAAATTTTATAAACAAAACTGAATTCTCCGAGTGACATTTTCTACTCGAACTACCCAGACACAATTCATTATACGGTACTATATAATACAGGGACATAACTCTATGAATAAGGACTATTAAACCGGAAATAGGGAATCAGGTAGTACCACTCACGTTGCGAGACATCAAGTAATTATATCATATTCATTTTGAAAGAAATAAATCCAGTGTATCCCCCACGTATTGTAAATAAAATATAAAAAAATAAATATATGTTAACGTATTGTAAAATGATAAATCAAAGTAAAAATTCCCGTAAAATATTGCGTGTGTCTAGTTAATCGAAGTGCGCCCGATTTAACAAAAGTAGCAATACACGATAAAAAGCAGACGAAATTGTTTTCTAACGAAGATTTCTAACGTAACATAAAATAACAATTAAAATGATTGGGGCTTCGGAAGTCACTGTTAAGAATTGGCTTTAGACATAAGACCTAACTAAATGTCTACATCACATTCACAAACTGTCACAAGTACTTGTGGCAGTGCTAAAAAAATCTAAGAATAGTAAGAATGGAATCTAATCATATTTGTTATGAACTAAAGTAATATCTTGTTATTTAGGTGTTTTATGTTCAAACTGAAAAACTGCTAATCAATTTTTAAATTTGCTAATCAAATTTGGCAAAAGTGGACTTTTTAATTAGCAGTGCTGCTAATCAACTGTGAAAAATTACCGACAGCCCTGATGACCAGTCTGAACTAGCTTCCAGATTTGTTCTTTCCACGATATGGTTAGATGAGAAGTATTTTAAATTCACAGACGCCCAAATAAATATGATGTTATGAAATTAAACTTTATAAAATCTCTCAAATAGAATATATTTTCTCAAATGTCATCTTCAAAAAGTTGCTCTGATAATAAAATCACTACTACATGCTAGCTATTGAATTTATGAAAATACAGATTATTTTCTTTCCTTGCTAGGATGTTTTACTCAATAGATAAAAGCATAATTACAATCTGAAAGGAATATATATCGTAAGGTTTAAATTATTTGAGCAAATGTATTTAGAGAATGATACCTGTTGTTATATTACAACACAAACTAGGTCATTTTATAATATATCTGAGCTACAAAGAAAGTACTTTGTACAGTCATAGTACAATGGAGAACTTAATAAACAGCGATAATGTTTTGCACTACTGGCGATTCTTTTTGTGAACTGGCGGGAAAAAATCTTAAAATTATAATCGTATTTATCCTGGATTAACCATTATTGAGCGTCAATCATGTGATGGCATACTATAAATTAATCAATGGGTTAAAAATCCAGATCACGTCAATGAGTAATACTAATCGGTTGTCTGGGATTAATGATTAGTTGATTGATAATTGCCAATGATATATATATATATAAAGCCTATCTCAAGTCATTATTTACTCCAAATGATTAATCCAAGCATTGATTATTTGATGTTTAGTTTTGTCTCAATCTGATTAAAATACAGATCAATATTTTGTTTCGAATTTTTATAATTTCGATGGCGTCAGAGGTCATACTAGCGGCTTTTGACCCTATGACATCAGATATTAACTAATCAATCAGCGTTGACGTTTCTAGTGGTTTACCCACAGTTTTGTGCATGGCACGCCAAGAAGTCGCCATAACAGATGGTTTCATTGGCTAGTCCCTCACGCCATCCAGAACGCCTGTTATATAACAACTCTTCCAGATCGTAGTGTAGTACAGACAAATAAAACAAAATTTTGAACTATAAAAAACGAAACGAAATAGGATCTGTGTTTTAATCAGATTGGTTTCATCTTAAAAAAAATGGTAATACATGTACATGTAATTAAGATGGCTGACAGTTTCTTTTGAAGAAAATTAAATATTTTGATAATTGAATTCCGTTTACTGTAGCTTCATATACAGCATGCCTATCGGATATCATTATTTCAAATTATATTATTACCACTGGTCGGAAAATTAAGAAGGAGTTGAATAGTGTCGATTCTTGAGCAAGAAAACAGTTCACTATTTGTATCATATTACCGTCAACAAAATGTTCTAATAGTGAACGACAGATATAATTGTAAGCATCTCTTACAAATATAATTGAAACTTATATCATTCTATCAGGGTACCTGAAAATAACAATAGGCCTATTGTACCCACAACAAATAAATTTATAGAAAATTGGAAATGAGATATGACGTGTAAATACTGAAAATATATTGTACAGTACGGTGGTCAAATAAGACTAAAGTTACCAAAAATAAAATCTTATCTTATTAAATCCATACCGCATGTGCTAATCTATTACGCAAAGACAGATTTTTAAAGTTGTTATATATTGTATTGTATGTATCACTAATTGTGTTATAATAAGCCTAGCTGAGACATAAAATTGTTAGATGTTGTCTTTTTTATCACACATTTTTGACAGATAAAATATTCCAGCTAGCGGAAAAAAATATGAACATTTTTTTATATGAAAATTATCCATTTTGGCGGGTAAAAAATTGAAAGCCAGTGTGAGCCCGGAGTGTATAAGTACATCTTACCGCTACATGAAATTTATGTTGTGTTAATATACAAGAATTTATGTCGATTATTTTGTTTTACAGGAGCAGGCAGCGTAAAGTTACAGCAAGGAAATCCCAATGACGGTGGTACAGATAAATACAGATTATTTTATTATTTTTTATATTTTTTATTTAAATTTGAATATTATTTTCTGTCTATCTTGTAAATATTTATTTGTGTAAAGATATTTTTTACATGAGGATATTTTGTTGTTTTTCTATTTTTTGGGGGCCAGATGTATTAATATTATTGGCCTTAATTGTTAGGATTTGAATTCATTCAGTTACAGATTTCTTTCTTTTGATTAGCTATAGCCAGTAGTATCCTTACAATATTTTGAGTTTTTATGGATAAAACTCCTACATACTAAAAAATGAGTGATAAAATCACAGTTATTTTAGTATTGAAAATGTCTAGGGTTGTCTGTATTAAGGTCTTTGAATTGGACAAAGATCACGCCCATTTTAGGTTAATTTGCAAAAATCATTATTTACCTTCACATGTATTTTCGGTTTTTAGGAATTGAGCTATTTTACCAAAATTTCATATTGTACTTGAAGTTATAAGAATTATTAAATACCAGAATAACACCATGTATTTGAAGTAATACGAATTGTTAAATTTTATAGAATTGGTTAGCTATGTCTCCTTCCCTGTGAAAGAGAATTAAAAAATTTGATAAATATGGAACCGGAAATAAAGTTTTATTGAGTATTTAATAATGTAGTGCTAAAATTAATCATAGTGAATACACAGGGTATATAATTGGTCGAACACCCCAAAACTGAATTCCTCTAATGTCCTGACGGCATCAGTGCATTGAACATGACAATTTGGTTGACAAATAATGCAGCAAATCAGCCACTCACCATAGTCGTCACTTGCATCACTATCCTGGCTGGCGTGCAGAACCCAATTCCATGTCACTTGAATTGAATACCCTCAATTCAAGATTGAGAATAATACTATATTTTGATAAAAGCCATTCTCCAAAAATTTTGTTTTAAATTACTTTGATGACATTCTTCTGAGGTTTTAACATATAAACTCTCTCAGTTTTTGGTTTTTTTTAAAAACCAGTCAAAGCTACAACACAATCTTTAATTATATCAACTATTTGGGTTTCCATTGGGGTTTTTTTTTGGGTTGGGGTTTTATTTTTCATAACTAGTACTACTATAGTGAGAGTCTGTCTTGGTAGTTTCCCCTGTAAGGATCAATGGACTGATCCTAATTTGTCTGTTGTGGGTTAGTACTTTATTTATTAGGTCAAAGTATTTTAATATAGTATTATTTATATCTAAAATAATAACTTATTATACAGGGTTTTCAGGTTTGTTTTGAGGTTAATATGCAATTTTAAATGTGTTCATTTATCTGGTTATTTTAATTTGGTTCAAAGAATTATTTTGCTGATATATACATTACATTACAAATGTATTTTTAGGGGTGATTTGATGGTATCTTTTTGACGAAAAAAAGAGCATATATTTATCAATCCCTCTATCAATAGATGTTTTTTCCACATAATAACATGAAAAATATGTATAGGTCCATGCCTCTCTCAGAATCCAATTTTATAAAGTGGTAATCCCATGCTCCAGATATTCTATAATGGAACTGCCCATAGCAGATTAAAGCACAAAATATTGTTGTATGTATCAGTCTGTATAATGTGTTCTTTATTTTTGGTAATATCACTTTCAGCTAGAAAGGAAATGTGTTTTATTTTAATTATTTCATATACTGTTAGTTAAAGTCTTTTAAGTAAGCACATGTATCTTGGTAGTTGATCTGTTGATTGATAACAAATAATATACTTAAACTATATAAATATTTCATATCTGATTGTATTACCAATGATTGTTTTTTTTGTGATCAATTTTGATTATCAGAGCTCAGAGTGATAGGGCCTCTTTAACTAACGATAAATATGTTCATCTTTACCATTTTTAACAATTGTAAATATATGTTATCAAATATTTAGTGAGTCTGTTTAAAGTGACTATGATGTGTATGAAGATTGCATTCTAGTTTTCATTTCAGTTTGTGTATTTCAAGATATATTTCCTTGACATTCCTAAATACAGAAAAATCCATTGGAAAACATCCAGTTTCACCCAATGAGGTGTAAGCTAAGATAGCAATGTGGTTGATGCTTTATGATAATTAACTTGTTTAATTTATTGTGGGCTTATCCGGCTCTTTACAATTATTCACAGGCGTTGATTTAATCAATTGATGTGTTGAATTGCTATGTGAAGTAGGTGCCTACCTACATTTAAGATATTAGGTCAGCAATTAGCCAATGTTGAGACATAGCTGATTTTCTAAAATTTGTAAACATTATATATCCAAATGAAAGTTTAATACTTAAGAGTTTGTTGTATCACTAATCTAAATAACACATCAGATCAACCATATTCCAAACTTTTTTTTTGACCAGCATCAAAGAGATATAGCTGTTTTAAGTTTACAGGTCTAACAGATGACCCGATTATTTATGAGGGAATATATCTTTAATGCCCAAAACCAGAGTTGTTAATTACCGGCTATAGTTACGAAATTAGTGCAAAGCAAAAGCCTGAAACGAAATGCCATCATAGAAACATTTTTTTTTCATAACCAATAAAATGAAAACATTAATTTCTTAATTAAATTGAGATATATCTAAAAAAAATCATCTTATTATGAAAAGGTCATTAGCCTCTCTCGCCCAGACCATCAATTTGTATCTCGACTAGCAGTTGTAAGTTATGTATTTTGTTAATGGGTAACGGAGGCTAAAGGTTCATTCTAGAATATTTTTATGCTAATTTATATTCGTCATGGTATCTTTCATGGTTGCTCTCCACATGGATGGAATCCTGTAAAGTAGTTTATTCCATATTCTTGTGCTTATGCAAAAATCTTAATACACAATTTCTCTTCTGAAAGGACCAATTATTCTCTTCTTTCTATAATATTTTTTTTAAGGATTTATAGGCATCTATTACCCATAGGCACTTAAAGGGATTAAAATAAAACTTCTTACTACTGCTTGACTAGTATTACTAATAACACAAAGTGTATCACCCGACATATTGTTTTGACTCGTTGAAGATAATTGCTATCATCTCACAATACTCACTAGTTCTAACACTTCCAGTCATTTTTATTGCAAACGAGACTTTATTTGATTATTATACACCTTCCAATGTAATGAAATTGCTCATATTACAGTGTTATTAATTACAAATCAAACTTGAAGCGTTATCACTTGGCTGTTCGTATCTTCAACGGACCGGAAGTACGAAGAAATGAAGTCAATGACGTCGTGTTGGGGAAGCCCTGATTTTTGATTGGTTGAGGCGTGTTACTAAAAACTAAAATTGACCGCGAATTAAGAATCTCAGAACGACAGCTGAATACTCTCATTGGTAGGTAACATACTTAGAAAAATTTAATTGATCAAAAGTAAAATGACTTTATAAAGGTGATATCTATAATTAAACGATTTATTTCTGCAACTTGCATAGGCGGAAAAGTGTTGGGGGGGGGGGGGCATATCTCTCGAGTAGACAGGTAAAGTGATAAAAAAATTTTGGGAAAAAATATTTTGCCTTTTAGTCGGCAAAAATGAACTGCCCGAGATAAAGAAATAAACCAGACATCTCGGGTTTCGGCCGATATCTGCAATAATAGATTTTTCGAGCATCGATCATTATTTGTTCCATGAATTTTTCAGAAACCGTTATTTTCTTAAATTGACTAATAAATTTAAAATATATACATTAGTGTGTAAAAAAAAAAAAACGGTGTCTAGTGCCACTCTAAAACTTCAAAGGCCTGACATTTTTCATTTTAACCCGACAAACATGCGTGTTTGTGTTTAGGTGCAGTCTGGATCACCGAGTCCGTAGGCACATTTCGAGTAACAGATAGGTTAATGAAGGAACTGGGTGATACAGACTGCTACAAACAAAAGCAAAAGGGAATTCCTTTGAACTCATAATTTTCGTCTTACTTACGGTCCAAGTGATAACGCTCCAAGTTTGATTTGTAATTAATAACGCTGTTAAATGACAAATTTAATTACATTGGAAAGTGTATAATGATCAAAGAAAGTCTCGTTGACAATAAAAATGACGGGAAGTGTTAGAACTAGTGAATATTATGAGATGATAACAGGCGTAATATCTTCAACGATTAAAAACAATATGGTGGGTGATACACTTTGTGTTATTAGTAATACTAGTCAAGCAGTAGTAAGAAGTTTTATTTTAATCCCTTCGAGTGCCTGTGGATTCGAACTTTCTGCACGTTCTCATTAGACTGGTGGATTTATGTAATTGATGTTTGAATAATATATCAATGTTTCATGTAACACGTATATATAAATATATAATTGAGCTCATGACTAGGCCGAAATAACGAAGAAGACCAACTACACGTACATCTAATCTACATTTTGAAGTCTATAAAATTAAATCAACACCTAATCAAAATAAATCATTTGATGGCGATATAGTCAAATCATTGATTTGTTACTCTTAACAAAATGAGACAAATTCTACCGTCTGTATGGAAATAAGAGTTTAGACAAACTTAGCTCACACGTGGTCCTTAGAAATAAAATACAGATGTGACTTCACCCTTTGTTGGCGTACTATTATTTCAAATAATGGTACGGGCAACGTGCGAATGGTACATTATTTATATAGATGGAATATTGGACTCAAGTGACGATTTCATTAAATAGTGTCTGTATTTAAGTTGATTAATGGTCTTGCCCAAGACATTGCGTAATATATCTATATTACGCGAGGACGATCATAATGCCGGATTTACACTGTCGACTTTTTTAAATTCAAAATTTTGAAATCTGATTCAAATCCCTGATTTGATCTACATAGAATTTGGTGGTGTGTTGGAAATCATGATCGCATTTGATGATGGGTATCTGCTGACACAACTTCGGCGTTTAGATTCTCTAGTTTTACTCAGCAAATCGCGAAAGTTCATTATCGTAAATATTTACCAGCAAAAATATCGACAGTGTAAACATAGCATTCTATAGATGCGACTTTAAAGATTGCATGTCATGTAGCTTTAACTAGTATTAGTAGTTCTCTGTTAATTTTTTATACGAAATATAGAGTTTATAACAAGGTGAAATTGGAACTTGGTGTTGTTAATACTTTTTAACCCACAAGGAATGCGACTATTGATTTTGAACGATAACACCCTTTAAACAACAAAGGCATAACATACGAGGGGTGTCCAAAACGTTTCCGACCTCATCATGAACGGATCGGTGAACCAATCTGCTCATGTTGCTAGAAAAGTATCTCAGCATGCATAAAATAAATCCCACATGCTATAATTTCCTATATATATAGCTGTCAATTTCAAACAGCATGATCCTCTCTCATTTGCTCTCAAAATGGAGAAAGGCGAATGCAGATCCGTGATTAAGCATTTGAAAAAAAAGGTTACGCCAAAGCAAATTCATGATGACCTGTCACTAACATCAGGTGACAGTGCTCCTTCGTATAATACACTAAAGGCGAACCACGGTCTGCTCGCAATTGTGGAACGTGGAGTGACCACCCAAGATAAATTTGATGCTGTTGTCGACACAATAATGCAGGACAGGTCAGTAACTGTTGAACGGTAAGCTACTGTACATGACAATGGCAAAACATCAGTGACGATGGAACGAATAATGCATGGACATTTGCCCATGAATAAGGTGTCTGTCAGTATGCAGTGAAAGTACCTGGCGTCACCAACGCCCCAAAACATTCAAAAGGGCGTCTTCTAGGGGCATAATCATGATAGATTATCTAAAGAAGGGTTCCACCATAAATGATGCATATTACTGAGATGAACTGAATGCCAGGTATAATCCTCAATGATTATATTCATCATCAGAGATGAGTCAGTGGCACAGTTGCAAGATCAAATCTGAGAAAAGTGCAGAGGTAAACTTCGCTGAGATGGCTTGTTGCTCAAGGACAGTGTCACAGTTCACACTGCCCAAGCAGTAGTGAGCACTCGGCAGTACTGTGGCTTCAAGATTCTTTTTTTTACCCTGCTTATTCTTCAAACCTAGCTCCCTCTCGCATTTTCCTCTTTCCACAACTCAAATCTGTCGGGTGACTATTGGTAAGGTATGTTACATGATTGGTCACTTTGCAAACACATTATAGCCTACTACATGTAATATGGAAACGGTGTGTCCATTTTTATAAGAAAAGGCGGAAGGGGGGGGGGGCACCCTGTTTACATCTCGAGACTTTGACGAAATCTGCAGGTCCTAGCCCTTACCCTAACCTCTCCCCCAAATTCTTAAACCTAACCCACAGTCCTTATATCAAAATATTTCGTACGAATTTGAAGATCCAGTATTGTGCAAGACAAGCAAATATATGTGTAAGGAATCATTTGCCAATTTGCTGTACATAGAATGAAGTGTCCTGTCATTTAAATAATTTCTAAGACACACGCAGATGCTTTCCATTCTGCTGGGCTATACAACGTTATATTTTCCATCAGTTGTTACATTCGTAGAACTTATAGGAAAGGCCTATAGTTTGTCTCAAGAAACTTCTGGGATCTAGAGTATATTCCCAAATCCCATTTCCTCACGCGTTCAGCTGCTGTGATAGTACATTCAGGATCCATGGCATTGGCACAAAAAAAGTGGTTACAAAAGCTTATTAAAGGAGATCCTGTAAAGATAACAGTATGTGCAGTATAGACCGTTTATGGCGTATGTTCTAAAGACCCTTTAGTGTCATGTTCCAATAATCCTAATATACATTTTATATTATGGGTAATAAAGCCAAAATTTTATAGTCTGACATTATATGTCTATAATATGACGTCATATTACTTTTAATGGGCTCATTTGACATTATGGGGGGGGGGGGTGGATGGCTGAATGGTTAGCGTGCGCGCGCTGTATCATACAGTCTGTCATTGAGTCGACTGGCGTGGTTTTGAATCCCCGATTGTACGTGGCAAGGAGTAGGGTCGCCTGTCCAACCTCGTGGGTTTTCTCCGGGTCCTCCGGTTTCCTCCCACTGCTAAAGACCCCTACGCGCAAGCGAATTATGTAAATAAAATTAAACCATATGTTAGTCCCGAAATGACCTAGTTTGTGTCGAGTGGACGTTAAACCCCATTTCTTTCTCTCTCTCGTGACATTATAATATCATAATATTAATTATCATGTTGATATTGATAATACATATAGGGTCTTAAACCAACCGTTTAGGGTTCTCTTGTACAGTGTACACTGATTAGGTGAATGTCGGCCATTTTGGATTTTACCAATTTTAACAGGGAAGGGTTGAAATGGTTCCACTACTTCATCCACAGTAGTGGATCGTTAGCAGTTCCTTTTAACACGTTTTGTAGTTAAATGACTACAAAAACGTTAGTAGGCTATAGTTCCCTTAATTTTCACATAAACTAACACCAAACTTTACTGCACATAGCTTAACATAATAAACCAATTCCCATTGAAATAAAAGTGAAGGAAAGCCTTAGTTTAAGAAGACAAACTGTTTGAGATTAGAGGCAGCCTGGAAATTTAGAATATACAAAGCTTAAAGATACATTAGATAAAGAGCTGACAGTTCTCGCTATAATAGTTAACAACTGCATAATGTAAAGAAAATTTGCTGAAAATTTCAGTCAAATTGATCCACTCTGAAAGGACTTTAGCGATTGAATTTTGGGCCTGGCCTCGATCATCATTACTAAGGTCGGTACAATAAAAACATAGTCTCGATTATCCATTTCATGATTAAACCAGAAGCAGCAGACCGGGTTCTAATCCAGAAATATCGCAGGCTAGCGATGCCATCGAGAGTTGATTTTATGGTCTGGATAAGTTAGTTAAACCGATATCCTAACGAAAAGTCCATCAAATCACTTCCCTGTGTAAAAGTGTGTCCAAGACTTGTTAGCACGCGCCTCTTTAAAGTAACATTTTGATTCAAATGTTGGTGGTGTTTTTTTGGTTTTTTTTGCAATTTGGATTTAATTTTGATTATTCTGATATCTGTGTCTATCGCTAACGGTTATCAATTTATTTTTATAATCTTATTGCCAAAATAGTTATTTTCTAATGAAGTTGTGGGACCGATGTCTACTGTTATTGTTGTTCATTTAGATATACCCTTCGAAAAAAAGTAGGGGGTATTGAAATGCAAATACCTATGCAGGTTGTGATATGATAAATAGTCATGGACACTTGACATGCTTTGAGAGTATGTTCACAGATGAAGAACTTATCGCCCCAAAAGAACCACTGAAGTGCACCTGTGACACGCAATAAGCGCCATACACGTGGGAGGGGTTCATTGTCAAATTTGACACTTCAAGAAAGGGTTGATAAAAACTGTCGCGTGCTAGTTTATCCTATCCATGTTTGATTTCCTATCGGTTCTTGCATAAGATTTACTGTTTAGCGTATCTTTGCTTTAGTGTGTTACGTTTAATTTGCAATGAGACGTCTTCAACATGATGAACGTCTACGTGCTATTGGCATGCTTCAAATGGGTTCTTCACAACGAGCAGTAGCCAACATGCTTAATGTGTCACAGTCTGTGATCAGCAGACTTTGGAACCGGTACCAACAAACACAATGCTGATGATAGACCTCGTTCTAGAGCCATGTAACCGTGTGCCGGTCATTGATTGCTATGAATCAAGTTCGCCCCCACTAGTTAAAACAACCCGCAGTGGCCGTTCAGTTCGTAGGCCATCTCGATTCAACAATCAGTGAACTTATATCATCATAATTAACCAACGATAAGCGCTCTTAGTGCTTCAGTAAGCCAATCAGTTATTGTGTAATAAATGAACAGCTGATTTTCAACGGAAACCATTGTTTCTAAGCAGGGCCGTATCTAGCGGGGGTGCAGGGGGTACATAGCACCCCCAGAAAAATATGGCGCCCCGATAAATGGCGCCCCCCCCCCCCCGCCAAAAAATAAAAAAATTTGATAACCTTTCAATTATAAAATAATACACTTATAGGCGTACGAGCTGCGAGGGGGGGGGGGGGCAGCTGAATTTTCGGGCAGACGGGTAAAGTGAAAAAAGATTTTTTATTTCATCTACTTAGCAAAATAAAGTGCCCGAAATTTAATAAAACACTAATTTTACGGGCTGGAATAGCAGTAAAACACCTTTGCGGCCGTCAAATATTCCAAAAATTTCTTGGGGGGTCCATACAAGGTCAGCTCCGCTTCTTCGCCTCTCGAAGAAAACCGGTGCCGCTGTCTGTAAACCTGAAATTTTTTCGGGCATCTCTAGTTTTGCTTCCCTAACTGTCATCGAGCCCTAATAAAACACTAATTTTACTTTTCTTTTAATTGAATACCACAAAAAATTTGTACTGAGTTGACTATGGATTAAAACATTTTGTCTGGAGCCACTCTTCTTTGTGCGACATTTTGAATGGGGTCAAATTTTCTACACGTACACCAGTATGATTTTGTGGTGAGGGGGGGGGGGCAATGGGATGTTATGTACGCATAAGATGTTTTGAATTATATTTGTATTTCCATGATATTACTATTTGGGTAATATCACCGAAAAAATGATTTTTTATTATTATTATAATTAATTATTAAACATTATTTAATGTTTTTTATACGCCTACACTGAAACAAAAATTTCCGTGAAAAAACGTAGAAAATTCCGGAAACAAAAATTACCAGGAAAATTTTATCCGTATTTGTTTTTCCTGTAATTTACAGAAATTCCCTCAATTAACATAAATTCCATTTTCAAATACAGAAAAAAAATCCTTGTAAATTTTGTTTCCTGACGATGAAGGTGATAAAATTTCATTGAATTAACCATTGACTTTATACGCGGGCGTGAAATAGCTTTATTTAACGTCCGCTTCCACCGAAGTGATACCGCAGATAATCTTTAAACGTAACCTATTTTCACTAATATAAGAATCGAGAGCAAGGTATCAGCTACTCGTCAGTGATTGGGGGCTTTCAGATGTTAGATTGGGGAATTATCAATTCGCAGGTATGTAGACTCTGCCATAGAGACAAACCGACTTACACTGGCCAACCGGTTGCACTAACCGGATTTAAGCGTGCTTGATAGATAATACAACCTCAACACAAGCAGCATTAAAACAT